GCGGTGGCCACAACAGATTAATAGACAGATCGCCAAAGGTCTGGATGAAGGAGAGACCAGCATTTCTCACTGATTTCAGCGCCATATCGTGGTAGTGGTCAATGCAGTAACTATTAATACGTTCCTAAGATGAGCGTCTCATGCTCATGAACTCGTCCGGCGGCATGTACGAGATTTATCTTTTCGTAGCGTTCGCGTATTTCGGAAAGGACAGAATTTTATGATGTTATAATAAATAAATAAATAAATAAATATTAACCTGACCTATTATAATTATTTTTTAATAAATGTTTCATTATTATATTATCATCTAAGTCTAAGTCGTTTAATTAATTTTTAGTTTTTTTAATAATTAATTTAATTTATTCTAATCATTTTAATATGAAAAATACTAATACGTATACGTTTTATAATGAATTATATATTTCGAGAGTCGAATTATAATATTTTTAATATATAAAAGTGTTCAAAATTATATTTGACTTTAATTTTAATTATTTTAGCAAAGAGTTCCGAAATCTCTTACACACATAATAGGGATTTTGTTCATCCATATAATTCGCAATTAAGTATATATGTTAATTATTAATTTTAATAAAATACAAAATTAAATTAAGGTCAAATATATTTTTGAAACATAAATATATTTATTCGTTATAAAACGTATACCCGTGATAGTATTTTTCTCGTACAAAAATAATTAGAACAAATTAAATTACTCATAAAAATTAAAAAATAATTAAATAATTATATTATATATGATAATAATAAAACATTTTATAAAAAAACAGATTCAATAAATATAAGTTATATATAACATGTACTTATATTTATTGAATCTGTTTTTATAACAATGTTTTATAAGCTTAGAAAACTTGACTTTGACGTAACTAGCAATTTTATTTAATTATTTCACGACGTTTGACGTAATAAAATGTTTTATTATTATTATATAAAATATAAGTTTAAATTTTTAAGGGTTATACTACCTGCAAGGTCTGAAAAACACGTATTTTTGGGAATTTTTTTTTTAAATATTGAAGTGCTTTGAAAGGAACATTTATGTTTCAAATATATATATTTCAAAGATTATTTAGTATTTTTTTTAATTGCCAAATGTTGATAAATAAAAAGATATGCTTAATCTTCCATAACAGTTTTTTTTTTAAAAGCGTTTTTGCGGTTCCCCATCTAACTTTGAACTGGTTTACCAAAATAAAAAAACCCGAGAAATTTTAGTTAATATATAAGATTATCTAGTGCCCGTCGTTCATTTTTTTTAAAAATTAATTTGCGACAAAAGTGGCGTGATCTTTCAAATTTGAAGGTATGATTTTGCTACCAAAAATTCGCTCGTTTTTTTTATTAATTAAAAAAAAAAAATACGCAACGAAAAACAAAAGCCACGATCGGCACTAGATTTTTTATATATTAAAGATGTCTAACCAAATTTTATATTTCAAATCGATGCAGCGTTTTTCGAGATTTTGGTCACCGATTTAAAAAGGCGTTTTGAGAAAAACGCATTTGAAGTTTCAAAATTAAGTTCACACCAAATAATATATTTATATATATATTTATATATATTTAATATATATTTTTATTTATAAATATTTTGAGCTTTGTATAGAGACCGCTTTTTGTCGCGCGTCGCAGCTGCCGTTCGATACCTGAGACCCGTTTCTGTACCCTGCTTCTAACAGCAGGATACGTTCACACCAGTATACCTTTAAACCACATAACTTCGTTATTTTTGTCGAATCGACTTGAAATTTGCAGGAATATTTTTGAAAGTATGTACATTTAAGAAAATATCAATCCCAAAATCGATTTTTTGAAGTTTATAAATAGGTTAACCCCTTAATTAATTTTTAATCTTTTATGATTAATTTAATTTACTCTAATTATTTTTGTACGAGAAAAATACTATCATGGGTATACGTTTTATAATTAATTTAATATATTTGTGTTTAAAAATTATATTTGACCTTTAATTTTAATTTTTATTTTATTAAAATTAATAATTAACATATATACTTAATTGCGAATTATGGATGAAAAAAATCCCTTATGTGTGTAAGAGATTTCGGAACTCTTTGCTATAAAATAATTAAAATTAAAAGTCAAATATATTTTTGAACACTTTTATATTATTAAGAATATATAATTCGGTTCCCGAAATATATTAATTCATTATAAAACGTATACGTGATATTATTTTTCTCATATAAAATGACTAGAATAAATTAAATTAATTATTAAAAACTAAAAAGTAATTAAACGACTTAGACTTAGATGATAATAATAATGAAACATTTTATTAAAAAAGATTCAATAACTAGTAGGTCAGGTTATAATTTTTTATTATTTTTATAACATTATGAGCTATTAAGCTCATCATCTCGTTCGCTCTCTGTCTTGCTTTCATTCGGCAAGTCACAAACGATATATGATACTCGTATGTTCCTACTTCAACTCTCGAGAATCTGAAACAAACGAAACTCTCGTGTCCAATATACAGGGTGTCCGGTAACTAACAGACCAATGATTACAAATGGATTCTTTGGTCAATTTGGGAACGATTTTTCCTCAGCGAAAATGTCGAAAAAGGTCATCATTTTTTACAACTTTCCAATCTTTGTCATTATGTATCTTTATAACTAAGCCTTAAATTAAAATTTTATTATAGTAAACTCTACCTGAAATTAACTGAAGAATGTAATTATGTTAGACTTTTAACTCCAAAACGTTTAGTTTTCAAAACCTATTTTTTTCAATCGCTTATAACTCGAAAATTATTGACTTCTCAACATTTTTGCTAAGGAAAAATCGTCTCCAAATTGGCCAGAGAATCCGCCCTTAATCATTGGTCCGTTAGTTACCGGACACCTTGTATATATTATATAAAAGTGTATAGCACGTCAGAAGCTTGTGAGCTTACAGCGATAAGTAAAAACAATTGCGTATTTATTTCATTGCGTTTATCTGTTTTAAACGCGCGCTTTAATTTTTCCAACGTTTTTGCCTGTTTATATTTTAAAGGTCCTCTCTTCTAAAAATCTTGTTTTAAAGATCCTCTCCGCGAGCAAAATTCGAAAACATAAATTATTTAATATTTTACTTTATTATTTGTAAATCCTCGGTAATTTCAAATTTTTCTATTTGAAAATTATTAATTTTCTATTGCCAATTAATTTTATCACAGACTTTACTCTTACTCCCATTGCACTTTCGTTTGCGGTTTTCAGTATACGATTTTTTATCGTAGTTACTGAAAATTATTATTGTGAATTATACTTGTGCAGTGATTTGAAGAATTTACAATTTCGTTGAAATTGTTGATTTTTCAAAAAAATTACGAGATTCGCGGAAATTGCGTGCTTTCTTGGCATTTTCCGTTCGCGGCAGGCGGTTTATTTTTGATTGTTGCAAGTGTTTTTTTTTTTTTTTTTTATTAAATAGATAATAATAATGTGAAATAAATCACGATATTTGACAGATGTGCATATATATAGAAATTGTAATAATAATAATATTATATCATAAATTGTAAATTGTTTCAATTTTTTATAGACTGCGATAAAAGATTTTACATTTGGATAAGAAACTGCGGTAAGTAAAAATATAAAATTCTTGAAAACGTACCAAAAATATTTGATAACGTAAAAGGTGAACTTTGAAAAATAAGGAACTTAAAAATTGCACTAATAAATGGGCTATATGTGAGCCGTGCGCGGATGTAAGGTGTGTTATATCGAAATTTAATTAATAGAATTGAGAATTAATCCCAATTTTAAGTCTTACAAATGTCCAAGCTAATTTTTTGTACCTCGTGTACATTTTTGAAAGTTATATCGAAAAATTAAATTTCAATATGCGTCTTACATCTCACATTTCGCATACGGCTCACATATAGCCTATTTATCTCTTATACTTTATTTCAACCCTTATAGAAATTTATTACTAGTAACGCCAATTTATCACTTATTTCGAGTAATTAATCACTTTTATTTCGAATACTTAAATTACTGTATATTATAGTATTTTAAATACTCAAAATAAGTGATTAATTGGCGTAGTGATAAATTTCTACAAGAGAATAAGGAGCCTTTAAATTCTTAATGTAAAAAATTTCAAGTAATTTTTCTTAATAAAATTTAATTAAAAATTTAATTAAAAAATTTTTGAACACTGTTTATATCACATTTAAAATCGTGATTATTTCAATAAAAAAACATTTTATGTGTAAAAAATATATTTTTTATATTTAATAAATTTTATATATATGCATATATGTAAAATATTCTAAAATCTCTCTCTCTCTCTCTCCTCTCTCTCTCTCTCTCTCTCCTCTCTCTCACACACCCACACCCCACAACGGGGGCCAAATCTCTCAAATTGGTCTCATGATCAATTAGCCTGGATTCGCACCAGGGGCAAAGTCTGTTGGTAATGTCAAACGAATTTAGCCTGGACTTGCACCAGGGGCAAAGTCTTTTGGTCGAGTCTACGAAATTTAGCACGGACTCGAACCAGGGGCAAAGTCTTTTGGTTCAAGTCTACGAATTTAGCACGGACTCGAACCAGGGGCAAAGTGTGTCGGTAAGGGGCAAAGTCTATCGCACGAAGATGGCGGTCTCTTCTTTAGGCAGGCCTTTGGCGATCTGTCTATTAATCTGTGGCGGGGCCCCGTTCCATCAACTCGACTACGCTGCGCGCGTGCATCGCGAGCGTCGTCGCGCGAGCGACCTTTGGCGGAGCAACGGCTGCCTGACAGTGTGGGCGCCCGTAAACCGTTCGGAAAGTGGCACATTCGGCGGGACGAGAGAAAGAGAGAGAGAACCGTGGTGGGGGGCTGGAGCGGGGGGTGGGGGGAGGGGGGACAGCGCGCTTTCCGTGTCGCCCATTGTTGTCCTCGTCGCGCGTGTAATGGCCACCGCGAACATTCGTTAACGCGTCGCACGCACGGTAAGCCGTATCGCGTCCCAGGCTTAGCCCGTGATCGCGGATAGACGCCGGAAGTGGTGTCCGATCGTGCGACATCGTCTTCGGCAGCTTTTGACACCGACGTTCGGCGAGGCGGACAGAGAGAGAGAACAAGCGAGAGAGAGGAAGCGGGATAGAAGGGGAGCGACAGAGAGAGAGAGAGAGAGAGAAAGAGAAAGGACGAGTACACGTCGAGGAGGAGCGGCGGCGGCCGCGCGTTCTCTCGTACAGTCTCCTACAGTCGCCGCAACCGCCACCGCGCCGCTCTACGCAGCCGACCATGATTTGCGCGGGCCAACGCTGCCCGTTGACAAGCGTGTGATTACGACGAGGTGATTATTCGCGCGCGCAGACACCGACCGCGTGTGCCGAGGCGTTGCGCGAGCGCGCGCCCAGCCTTCAACCAGCCAAGCCAAGCCAAGCCAAGCCTCCTCGCTCCTCGAAAAAGAGCGGCTGCTAGGCGCGGGAGTAGAAGCGAGAACGAGAACGCGAGAGAGCGAAATCCCGCGAAACGGCCGGAGAAATCGGTGCGCGATCTTCCGGACGACGCGCGGTATCCAGCGGCGCCGGGGCAGAGTGGGAGGGAGGGGAGAGAAAGGGTGTCCGAATCAAACGCCGGGAAGGAGCGCGTCCACGAGTAACGAACGCCATTGATTCCTCGCCGTGAGGAGCGTCGCGACGTGGGTTCTCTTCCTCGGGGATAGATGCTGTTGACTCGGGCACGCGTATCATCTTCCTCGTCTTCTAGAGTGATTTTCCACGCCGCGCGGAATTTCGCGCGTCGCCGTCATGGCAACTAGAGGATCATCGGTTACCGCTAGGCAGCCGGACGTTTAACCTCCCCCTCCCTCCCCCCTCGCGGCTCCTCGGACTATTCACACGTGAGTATGTTTATCAGTTAATGTTCGGTGTATCGTGTCGATTTTTCGCGCGCGAGCGGGTTTCGCTTCTCGAGATTTGTCACATTCTTCTACCTTCTCGTCGTCTTCTTCTGCATTTCGCACTTCTTTCCTGGCTGCGTGTCGCGGGTCAAAAACTTTCGCGGCCCTCCTCTTTTAATACCCTTGGCGTGGCTTTGATCAGAGGGTTCGTCCTCGCTTAGGTAGAATCTTCCTCTAGTTGCTCCTCGCATACCTTGCACGTTCTCGCTTCTAAGCCTTTATAGTTTATAACGACTGCCTATTGATTGTGCAGGGTCAAAGGCAATACATCAATGGCCCTAGAATCAAATGGCAACAACGTGGTGTGGTTGAACACAACCCGTCCTGATCAAGTACAGCAGGTATGCGTCGCGTGCAAGGCAACTTGATGATTAAGCGAGGGAAACTTACATGTTTGCGAACAATGATCAAGTGCTGGTTTCGATTTTGATAAATTATATGTGATATGAAACTCGTGTTGGAGATAATTGCAAATACAAGCTTACTGTAATATAATTTCTCTCTTATCGTAGTTTTGATTCTAAGAATCTTGTCTGACGAGTCATTTTGAATTGACAGAGTCAACCAATCGAGCAGCCATTGAAGTGTTCTATGTTTACTCAAACGGAGCAGACTAACAGTTTCACTCAGACAGAGCAGAGCAATTCGAGTTACGGAGATCAGAGACAGGTTTGTTTCTCATTTATTTTTCGATGAATGGAAATTGTAATAGAGAAATAAATACGTTTATTTCTCTTCTCAACTAATCGTGTTAAATGATTTTTTGTTCGTACAGCAGCAACCAACAATGTTTGACCCGCAACAGATCCAGCAGCAACAGGCTGCGGCACAGGGCCAGCAGTCGCAGCAGCAACAGTCTCAGCAGATGTATGTGACAGACAAGAAGGACAAGACTCAGCAGCAACAACAGTCCACTACCTCCGAGTTCCCTTCCTCCTTTTACTACAATGTCAACATGCTGCAGAAGGTCCAAACAAACGCGGTGAGCACAATCAGTGCAATCACCGACGACAAGGGTTGTTACCGTTTCGATGTGCAACCTGTTGGTTATAACACATTACTGAATCAGATGAGCATTGCCGCTGCCACCAATGCGACTTTCAAGTGTGACATTTGTGGACTGGTCTTTGGCCACCTCAGTCTGCTGCAGCATCACAAACGGATCCACAACACGACACCCAACAGCAATCTGCCGCAACAGCCGCAACAGATTGTTGTACAAGGGCCGACAACAGTGACTGTCGCCACCACGCCAGAAAGACCATACACCTGTGACACTTGTGGAGCGTGTTTTGCATTACCTGGAGAATTAAAAGTCACAAAACAAACATGCATCAAAACCTAAGGTGCAAATCTGTGAAGATTGTGGCAGTGAGGACCCATGCGAACATCATCCAACTAAAGTTAAAAAGAGTATGTCCTTAGCAATTATTTTCAATCATAGTCAGTGTGTTTGTCTCACAGTGATATCATTCATTTCAATAGCAATACAATGGTAAAGAGTTTAAATCGACTTGCGCTAAAAATTATTATTAACTAAAGTTTATCACGAGTATAACTTATTATAATTCATGCCGCCTGGATTTAGAATACAATTATTCGTGGACTTTGCTTTAGTTGTAATGCAAATTGTTGTCACTGCGATATCACTCACTGTCGGATATGCGAAAGTTATTCAACATAAAAATAGAGATATGCATTCGTTTGTGTAGCTATCAAACCTGGTCATCATCCCGTGAAACGGAGGGGTGTTACCAGTGTCACCAAATGTCACAAGTGCAATGGCACTGGGATCATTTTTATTGGTAAGTATCAATATTGTCAACTTTTCATTGGATATCACTTGATATCGTTGATAGGCCGAAGAAAGATGTTGCTGATAAAATGCTGCGTTATTTCCCTTTTCAAATTTTAAAATTTAGATTCAATTTTTACATTTGACATTAATATATACATATCATTTTATATATATGTATAATATATACGATACGCACGCGCACGCTATTATATCCGTATCGGCAACATCTTATTCAGATATTTGGTCATCCTTTTTCCATCCATACGTTTCATTATTATCATGATCGTACATCGGATGATGTATGGTAGGTAAACACGACGAAAAACTAGATTCCGGAATCAGTTCCCTCGCAAAGTGTGGCGGCTGCAAGGCTACAGGCCGCATCGTCATAGGAAGTAAGTCGGATATAATTATCGTCAACACACAAACGTATGGGATCTGTTTTGATTAATATGTCTCAGTAATTTGTCTTTCTTGGACGGTGACAGTTTAATTATTCATTTTCCGCGTTATATTCAGTATTTGCACAGATTTATTGATATTTGAGCCAACAGTGCGCCGACACCTATATGATTTTATATATAGAAGAATATTCAATTATTACGTACAAAATATATATTGAGATTATATAATTTAATATACATAGATTATATATATGTATATAAAGTTCACCGACTCTCTCAAACTTGATATTTGAAAAATATTAATTTATATCGAAAAGCTTTTTTACTTTTGAACATATTTATTAAAAATACTCGAGACGAAAACTTTTGAGCATTTTCAATAAATATATCGAAGAAATGAAGGGTTTACGGATGAATCTAAATTGATATTTTCTAAAAATCGAGTCTGATATTTATTTTTCTTTAATGTTACTTTACTTTTGCTTGCATGTATATTTTTGTAGATGAAGAATATATTTTTGTATTATTTTTCTTTATTTATTTTACTTAATTTATTGCTATGTTCCAAAGTGATTGTGACTTTTTGTCTTTTTTTTTTGCTGTTCCTTTTCCTTTTTGGTAGAACTGTTGACATCTAAATTTAAGGACGATGACAGAATAAAATCCCCTAAGGGACAGTTTTATAAATTTATATTACATTATAACGTTTTCCATATATACGATAAGCTATATAATGTTAAATTTCCGTTCAACCGTTTACAATTTTTTCAATTTCGCGATCTGGTCCATTAAAGATCATTTTTCACAAACGCGATAGATAGAAACAAAATCTCAGAATTTCATATATCGCTCGTGACATTCAGATTTTCTTATAGTGCACTAACTTTTATACAACAGCCTGCATGATCAAATTGTTCACACAATTGTTACATTTAATTATTTCATTTTGTGATTTCATATTCCATGTGTATACATTTTCCCTTTTTTGTATAATGTATAAAAAAATATTAGTACCATAAACAAATATGCATCGCGTAGATTGATAGATTTTTCACAAATAAACTTCGAGCTTATCACTTTTTTGTAGAACTGGCCCTTTGAGGAAAACTAAAGTCTTGTCTATATTTTCAATTTCAGGTGGCAAGCAAAACAGTCAGAATCAAGCGGAGAAACCATTTCACTGTAACGTTTGCGATGGTACATTTTCTCGATATTCTTCGCTCTGGTCCCACAAGAGACTTCACTCGGGAGACAAACCATTTAAATGTGAAGTTTGTGGTTTAGCATTTGCAAAGGGTAAGTAAATAAAGAATTGCGCAAGCCGCAAATGACAATGAGGTATATACTTGTGTCTACCTGTAATGACTAATCAGCTTATATAAGCTTATTTTATGGCAAAAAAATCTTATATCCGTTTCTTTTTTTTCCCCGCCAGCTGCCTATTTGAAAAATCATGGACGAGTTCATACCGGCGAGAAACCGTTTAAATGCAGCGTTTGCGGCATGCAATTTTCGCAGAGTCCACATTTAAAGAATCATGAACGAATTCATTCCGGCGAACGACCGTACCAGTGTGAGGTTTGCGAGAAGACATTTGCCAGACACTCGACGCTCTGGAATCATAGAAGAATCCACACCGGCGAGAAGCCATACAGGTGTAACATTTGCGGTTCCGCTTTCAATCAAGCCACGCACCTCAAGAATCACGCGAAGGTTCATACCGGCGAAAAGCCACACAGGTAATCGTCGCGTTTTCGCGGAATTTTGATTGTCGTTTGCATTTTCTCGATTGCGTTACGATTAAGATTTTTAGATCGCCGCACTCATGCTGGCTTGTGACATCAGAGGCAAGAAAGTACATACTGAATTCTTAGATGCCATTTTTAAATGAAACACTATTTCAAATGGCTTTTAACATACTTTTAAAATATCTCTTTTCCTTTGATAGTCGATCAACAACTGTAAAATGAATCGTGAGATCAGACTTTGTCATATGGAATGACTGCACGTGTAGAAAGACCAGATGTACTGGACCTCAATACAGTTATTTTACAGCTGTTAATTGATGATAAAAGAAAAAAGGATAATTTTTAAAGTATTTTAAATGTGTGTTAAAACTGTCTGAAGTGCTGTTTCATCGAATTATCTTTTTCTCACTTTTGACGTCACAATTCCAACATGGTTGGCGAGGAACCAAGGGCCTTAAATTGATTCTTTTGTTCTCTCCAGGTGTGATATATGCGAGATCGGGTTTTCCGATCGCTTCGCGCTTAAACGTCACCGTGCGATCCACGAGAAGTACGGTCAGACGGCACGGAATCAGAACGCTAATAACCCGGCTAACGCACAGCAAGCGAACGCGAGTAGTCAACAACAACAGCCGCAGCAGCAGCAACAGCCGCAGCAGGCGCAACAAGGCCAAGTCGTGGTCGTGAATGCGACCACTCCCGTCACCGTCAGCCAAGCGCAAGGCCAAGTGATGCTCGACGAGGTCTACAAGTGTCAGGTGGCCTTCCCAGAGCCTAAATGATTCAGCTAGAGAATACCTTTCAGAAGCTGGTAAAGAGGTTAACTTTTCTAACCTTTTTTTTAAACGGATATTAATCTTGAAAACAAAATCTATGAATGTATGATATTAAGGATATATGGACTATGTCCTAAGAGAATCAGGTGAGTCCGACATGAGTGACCGAGCAGTGCGTCTTTTTTTTCTCGTGTACGATGACTCGAATTCTATGGAAGCATATTTGGTGGCTATTGGTAGTTTGAATATAAATATGGATAAAAATTTCAAAAAAAAAGGAAAAAACGGACAGAAAAACTCTGCGACATTGCGCGAGTGAAAAATTTGGTGGAATGTGTCCTCGGAAGAGTTTGGCTCACATAATACTATAATCGGACGATTTCTCAGCCGCCAAGATCAACGAAGTCTCTTTGTGAAGTAATAGAGAAATATATCTACCTTTCTATTTTGTCTTTCGAAGAGGTGGAAGAATAATAATTGAATCGTATCGCGCGATGTATTTCATATATATTAGTTTTTTAAAGTGAAACGGAAAAAATGTAATTATATAATCGTATCATTCTTTCTTATGTGTGTAATAATCGTTGATTTGTCCTTAAGAACAAAAATTACACATTTTGCCAACATTTCATTGCAAATGGCATTGTGCAATAGTTTTGACCAATTTTGCGATTAAACCGATGACAAAATGTGCTTTCGAATGATTGTAATAACAGAGGACTGCGGCGGCGTGTATTTCGGCGATAAAAAGCGCAAGTATGAGGTATTAAGTATTTTTTTAAGCAAATTAGAAATTTCAAATGAAAAAGACGAATAAGTTGCTCGTACAATGCCCAAACCTCGGCCCTTCCGATTTTTGCGTGATATCAATGTGGGAAATAAATCATTAGCGCGTCATTTCGATGCGTAAAATTATGTTTAAAGATTTTAATACCGAAACTTTTATTTAATTTCGATCGCAAGAATCAATTATGAACGCGAGAATATGGATATATGAATTTTCAACGGCACTTAACTACGGATAGCGTGGAACGGAACGACATCGCGATCTGTGCGAGCCCTCTTCCGTCCAGTCATTCGGGATCAGAAAGCATCGCATTATCGAGATGATAATAACAACGACCACGATAACAGCGGCGAAAGAGTAGTGCGGCGTACCTATATATAACTCGCTGGAGCTGCAATAATAATAGTGAATATCGACCGGCAGACTAATCCATTTTATAATTTTAAGAGGCCACGAACTATATGAATATATTAGTTGATGAATAGTTGCTAGTTTATAACGACAAGTAGCCGAGCTAGGATATTATTCTATACATATAAATATATAAAATATATATATATATATATACATTAATTTTTATATCCCCACTTGTTAAAGCGATCCCGCACCGTCGCTACTTTTAAGTATCAAGAATCACCAAACGAATAGATTGTACATTGATAGCTCCATACATTCATGATTGGTAACTTGTGAACTGTAAAGTACAGTCATGATATATATGTATATCGCTTTCAAAGCTATTATTTGGATACCCTTTCGAAAGCATCGATATATGGTTCTTCCTGCAATTGTTTCACGAGCATTGCTTTTTTTAATATTATTTGATTATTGTTGTATCTTTATTTGCAAACTCGTCACAAAAAGTTATACCGGAGAAAAAGGGGGATTCTCCTTTTTATATGATTTTACAAAAGATTTTATAACGCATCGTAAAAAGAAAAATAAATACAAATGGCTTGAAGATTCCTTGAAAAATAATTCTTTTTATACGAGATTACATTTATTACATTTTCGCGGAGTATTAAGAGACATGTCGCTAAGTCTACATGATTGTCAATATAAACTTGCTGCTCGAATTTTATACGGAATTCAGAATATTTCTCTGTTTTACTAATTAACTTGTAAAATAAAGGTACTCAATTATATAACGTTACTTTTATATAATTATAATACCTGTAACAGTATTTTTTCGATTAGATTAGAAACTTTTATGCGCTGAATTTCCTATCTTTGTTTTTTGGTTTATCGGGATTAGAATAGAACTGTCTAAGCAGTGACTTATGAGCCAGCAATTAATTTATCATCACTTTGTTACATCTTCGATTGCAGTTTTTTTCAAAATGTAGGAAAAACGGTAAATAATTGTGTTATAATACATGATAAACTATAATACGGTCAAAGATTACAAAGAGAAAGTGTGATGATATATGTGCTCAAGAAACTAGTGAGTCACATATTAGATTATCACCTAGGTTAAAAATATGAATCATAGCACATAATGCAGCATCGTAAGATTTGCTATGGAATGGCATATTTTGTTCTCTCTTTCTATATTGTAAAAAAAAAAGAAAAATTTCGTTTCAAGGACTAAAAATTTTTAATTTGATAATATAAAAAATATATAATTTATATATATATATGTATAATTTATATATATAATAATTATGTTGAATTTTCTTGAGTTTTTTGCACAAATTCGCGATAATTTTCTTTTTTTCTATTTATTAATAGAGAGAACTTATCCTAAATAGTTTTATTAGAGCAGAAATGTCACTCTTCAGTATTCTGTATATTCATTATAGTAAGCGCAATTGTTTCACGCGTAAACAGTATTGTTACAATTGTCAAACATTTTTAGGAGGATGTACAGTAATGAACGAATGAACTGCGAGAATGACAAATTAAATTTATTCCATTTGGCGTATAGATCTCTTTGCGAACGAATATTGGTATTCAAAAATTCAATAACTTCGTTCGTTCATTGCGTGCTCATTTTTCACAAATGATTTATGACTTAAAGATAATATCAAATATATCGAGAGGGGGCCACATTAAAGCGGCTTTCGTACACTTCACACTTATCAATCGTCTTTGCATTGTTCTATAAGATAAAGGGAAATATCCACAATGTTATCGTACAATAGACGCTTAGCTGTTAATTATATTACAAAAATAACTTTTTGAAATAACATTTAGAAATTTTCCGTAATTCTTATCTAAATCTTTGACGATAGAATTTTTTACTTCTTTTTTGTCACAATTAATTGAACAATTTGTCTTATGACAATTGACATAGACGCCTAATTATACTACATTTTATTTTGTCGTATCAACTGAGAGAAATCTTCTATATCTTTCCGCTGCTCTTAATTGAATTTTAGAAACTCCCTCTCACATGCAAGAATATATCTGTAACATTATATGCACATACACAACGTTAATTATGTAAATATAGAGTTTATTTTTTTCATACACTTTTATTGCGTTATAGAGTCGAAGATTTTTTATTTTGATCAGTTTGTGAACACAATTATGTTTATTCATAGATAAACGTAATAAGAGTGTAAAAACGCTACTACCATTACAAAATATTTCGAAAAATTGAATAGCAAATTACTCTACTTATAAAGGAAGATATAAAAGACTAATAAAAATGTGGTCCCATAGCGATCGATAGCGATAATACAAATTATCCTCTCGTGTGACACGACACATTTTCAATTAATAATCCATAAAAACGTATTTTTGGGAAAAGCGTCTATTTTGATTACCTCACTATCTCTATCAAAACTGTGATCCGATGGTCAAATTTACGGTAGCACACGGCTTAATAAGCGTTCTCGTCAAAACTTGAGATAAATATACTTCTAGAACTGTTCACAAGCGAATACTTTGTTAACATAAGCGCGAGCCCTTTTTCCGAAAATACTTTTATATACTTATACCTATGTCAAGAAGAAACTAATCGAGAAAAATTGTAGAAATCATGGATAATACAAGAGCGAAGTGTACGAGTATAATTACGAATCGTTAGTAATTCTAAGTAGTTTGTCGAGAATTGCTGCAGGAGATACAGGCTTCTTGTTTTGGAATTATTATTATTTCATTATTCCATACAATTATTGTGTATCTATATAGAATTATTTTTTATAAACGAATGTTTTCCAATAATGAATTTCTAATTTTCTAAATTACTAGTGGTCAAATAATTTAAAGTAATCAAAGAGAAGCGACTTTTCATGATGCGTACTCCTGCAGCAATTCCATGTATTCCGAGATAATATTTCATAGGCAAAGAACTTAGAGCTTCCGTTTGAATCAAAATCGTCTGGAAGCGTCTTCCTTAAATATCATGCGAGTACTCTGGTTTCGCCGAAACTTTGCGATTTCGCTGTACATACATTTGTAAAACAAGAAAGAAAAAAATCTCTGCATACAGAGATCCTGAAATTTTATTTTATCGCTATTATCGTGTCCGTATGTAATTGTAAGAATCTTTAAACGTAAAAAAACGAACAAACTTGCGGTTCGACTATAATTTTGAACTCTTTAACTCTAAGGGTCGAGGTTTCGGGGTGGTGATTTTACGTTAGACGAATTTTTTATTTGTCCGATAAAACTTGCGTTCTCAGAATAATACCTCGTACGTAAGGAATATCCCCGAAATTTCTTCAGCATTCGACCCTTTTTTTCAACAAAAATTTTTAAAGGCCTGAGACTTTTTTTTTTTTTTTTTTTTTTTTTTTTTTATAACGCATATCTGCGTCAAATTTATATATTTCCATTCCGCTAAAGCGTCGTACTATTTTTACCTGTAGCACTTTATCCGATTCGATCAATTTCATATTATTAATTATATGATAATAATTTGACGAGCAATTATCATGTAATGAATAAAGAGGTCATGCTATATGCAGATTAATTTGCCACGCCTCGTTGGATTAATTTATAATATATCTGTGGACAGTATAATGACGATCGTAGTGATTTTTGATAATAAAACACGTTCCTAATAAATTATCTGTTCTTTATAATGTACGATTAAGGCGTAACGATTGTAAAGGCGATACCCGGATACTAAGTATTGTGGATATCGTTACCTGCTCTGAGCGACGAAATGTAAATTAGGATTAAATGGCCTCTCGTAAAACGTAAGGAAGATTAAAAACCCTTGGACAAATTTGCAATTTTTTAAGCTAATCTATAACGCATTATTGTGTGAATACGACGACATGTGGACTTAATCATGATTCATCCTCCAAGAAATATTTTAGTAATTTGTTTATTATTATTATTATGTAAAAAAATGTCGCGCAGCGAAGTGAAAAAGAAACGTGCCGTTAGTTTCGTTAATAGGATGCCATCATTACGACTATTCGTCGGTATTATTACATTAATTTTACGGGAATCCATTGGATATCACATGTCTTTTTTTCCTAATCCGCGTCTATACTAGAATCATTTAATTCAACTACTTTGTATCATATAAGACGACGATGTAGGAAAGAATGTATCTATATATGATGCGTTATTTTAATGTAAGTTAAATCATCCTCATTATCGCGCTGTATTTCCATTTCTATTATCTGTTCTTCTCTTCGATCCAGCTATCATGAATTTTTCTAATTCGCGAATGTCTGCGAAAAGAATCGTTATTAAGTTTTCTTTTTTATTAATTGTCCTGCTTATTGCGTATGTGAATGCAACCAGAACTCGATGAACTCTTGATTGTCTGAAATTGAGAGAATGAATTAATTATAAAATAACGTAATGTATGTTATCTTAGTCTTGTAACTCTAAGATAACAAATATTCATCTGCTATTTATATATTAAAGAAAAATTTTATTTAAAAGAGAACATTTTTTGAAGTAGAAAATAAATTTACACATTGTTCTCAAAAAATAAAAATGTGCGCAAAAGTATTGTAAATATTTGTGAAAACCAATTAATCGCTTTTATTTTAATTAAAGAATGATCTTCCGCTCCAAAGGAGTAAAACAATTCTCTGCATTTAACTAATTAATTTTGGATAATAAAGAGTTCGCTGCGAGTTATATGAGACGGCCGTGACCGACAAATTTATTCATGTATACACCATTTTATATACGAGGCGAGAGGAGAGAAAGAAGTCATAAGAAGAGTGTCACTTTAGATTAGTCTGCTGTCAATATAACTAGAATGATAATTTTGAATGTAACGTGTATCATACTTGACTATCGCCTAGATAACGAGCAACCGTACCGAATAAAGGAAACTAGCGCACGATTATATCAGACCTTAGGTAATAATAATAAATGATGTCCCGATGGACATTTTCATTTTTGAAGACTCCTGAGTGAATTTTATTTTTCTCGTGTTTGTATGTGCATGCGTGCGTGCGTGCGTGCGTGTGTGTGTATGTGAACGCGTGTGAGCTACAAGAGAAACACATGTTATTTTATACATTGATTATATGGAAAGATAAAACTTTGTAGATTTCGAAAGGTCACAATAACTATTTGCAAAGTTATCACTTCATTACCAGACCCGATGTTATCAATATTTCGATACGTTAATTATTCATTTGCGTAATTGATTTTCTTTAACATTCTACATTGTATTATATTCTCTAGAATTGACAGAAATATTTTCGGATAATTCTTTATTTTACCAAAAGGAGGAAGAAAATCATATTACTTTATATTCTTTTTTTTTAAGTTTATGTTAATTCATGTTTAACTGTTATTTTCAATTTATTTAAAAATTAAGTTTATTTCAGCGCACACATGATTTAAATATTTTATTTGTTTCAGAAAAATTCTTAAAGGAGCCAATTTATCGATCATTCGAGATATATCGATGAAAAAATATATCCGTAATTAAAATCTCTAAAAAGCAAATGCTACGTAACAATATTTGTGTTATCTATGGTTGTTTACGACAGGCCGTCTCTTTATTTCGACAATTTTTAGTTTGGACGAGTCTGAAATTTTTGTCATGATAATTAAAATAAATGATACGTAAATGCAAATTTTTCCGCGCGACGTGATCGCAACTAATCGACTCCGATGACGTTGCGCACGCGAGTAGGTGACGTAGCCGCCGCAACTGTCATGGCGAAGTCGCGAGTGTCCGTGTAGCCTCGACGAGAGATTTCCGTGCTATTTATCCGAAATACTCGGAGTTCTCGATGTGACATGATGTTAATTGTAACGTCAGCTGATCATCGCTGAGGATCGCGTTCGGCCGAACTAATCGCACTTGGAAACACAAGGTAAACATTGCGAGAACGAGGCTTCCTTTCGGACGAAGATTTCGTCACGATACGAGGAAAGCCCGGCCTCCTTCCCCTCTTCCTTATTTAATTACCAAAGTAACGTATCATTTTTTCCTAATTTATACATTTCGTAAATTTCTTCGTATATCGATGTTATTTTTCAAATCATTAATTGCTTTATATTTATAAGACAGCGATTTTACTTCCTTTTAATGCGATTATGCTAACCCAAATTTTTAATTTTTTTCTTCGTATTATTCTACGGGGACTTGTTAATACTTTTAATTTATTGAAAACACGCACACTCGATACATTTTTCAATAATACACTTCATAACACACTAAATCGCTATATATATTTACATCGCATTTGCATTCGCGAAAGAGACAAATTTTAATTCATGAAAGGATAGATCATTTTCTTTCTGTCATCCAATGGCTGTATCTGAAGCATAATAGATCTCTGCGACTCCTGACGATCCTCACGTAAACGATAATACAGCCGCATAGTTGCAAAGTATACAATCTCCATGAATGACAGAAAACTAAAGCCCAGAAAGAGACCCAGCAAGCCTCCTGTACTTGCTGCAAATTGCGTTCGATTAATTCTACTTAATAATTATAAATTTATCATTCAAATATTCTCAGAGATCGCATACTTACACAAAAATTCGGTGAATCCATAAAGCTCATTTTTTACGTATTTTGTGAATTGAGAGTCCACAAAGAATAGATGAACTACCGCTGCATTTTCCCTGTGCAGAAATAATTTTAAGGATTAAAAAATTAAAACTCGCTACAAAAAAAATAGAAATGTATATTGTATGTAGTTTTAAAAGGTTTTAGACGTTTTACAAGGACGTCTGTAAGTATACGGTTCGTAACAAAATAGTGTGTCGCGAGGATAGTATACTTACAGGCGCACATGCAAGTTAATGTTCAAAAAATTCGACTTTTTTCTAATAACTTATGTCAACCGATTCCAATTTATTGCTAGAGAGAACAGATATAATTGTTTGCAACTTTTCCATATAATCAAAATGAATTTTGCATTCAAGATCTAGTGTAAAAGGAATTTTGTAAAAAGTAAAGAGTCTATACTTAAAGATTTCCGTGACATATCTTACACCTTCGAATCTAAATGTCAACCTGTTGCACTCTTTTATTCACGTTAACGAGTAGCGATTGTCGCGATATGTTTGACATTAATTAGATAATTACGTGAAATATTCCGAACTCTTCTTCACGTATCGTTTGTCGATGGTGAAGGTCGATGATAATTTATTCTGAGAGAGCTCTATCCTATAACTGATTTCGAAACAGCCTGGCCAGCAGTTGCAACTTGGTCTGCGATAAATAAAAAGCTTGAATAAGCAATTTTCCTTTATCGTTAGAAGGATATACTATTTCAAATTAAACTCACATTTCCGTGACGTTTACCAGACTCGTCGATTCCTCATCGTAGAGCTTGGTTTCCATAGCTCGCCTGGCTTTTATAGCACATAATTCGTCACTTTTGCCACAGATCGGTGTTTTTGCCGATTCTGCAAACACAGTACCACTTATAGTAGAGAATTAAACATTTTGTTCGTTTTGAAAAATCAATTTATACTCTATTTTCTCGCAAACATGTACGTAATGTTAGTGCATGTGATAATGGTTTTAACATTATTTTAAAATTCAGAATACATATAAACCGGATTTCAAAGAGTGCAGAAATTGTTTTTGCTTGTTAGTTTAAATATATATTTTACTCGTTGTCAGTTAAAATATGTAATAATATTTTATCTGGGCTAATATTATTTAACAATATATTATTGCGAGAGATTAATATGTAGTCGATGATTAACACATTGACCGCCAAACGAAATTTATGTCTTATTATGGATATCGAATTTAAAAATGAAAGAATTTTTATTATATTATAAGTGATAAAATATGAAAATAAAATATTTTATTTTTGATTATAATATCATTATTCTATTATAATAAATATTACTAATTGATAAATGTCAATTCATAAATATTAATTAATATTAATATTTATTATAATTATTTATTAATATTAATGCATTATTATTATTTAATTATATTATTACAACATATTAATATGATAATTACTTGGCATATAGTACTGCACGCAGTCGCAGATCTGCTGCGTAAAATTCGCTTCGCACTCCAGAATGCAATTCCTCTGCGTGTACGTCCGATAATAACGTAACTTTCTTTCTGTCGTAAAGAAGCATTTTCGCTTCTTTTTTGGTATAGACTTTATCGTCTTGCTAGCAGTAGATATCCGCGGTCTTATGATCACCCGGGTTTCCTCACCGGGGGTGATCGAGAACGAGAAATCGGCGATTTTCGGCGTCTCAACGGGATTATGGAGCAGCATCTATCAATTAATTTATTTATCTGTTTATATGTATATATAAATGGGAGAGAGAATAATACATTATTTATTTAATATCGTTGTTTGAGGCACGTGTACATGATTATGTAATAGATTCGAGGCTCAGTCGATGCTGAGAAAATTCAACTTTGAACTTTATACATTTCAACATCCACGAAAAATCTCATTTAGTATTTATTAAAGCTTCTGAGCGAAAACATACGCAAAAAATTCTTAGATGCCATTTCGAAATAAAAAGGTATTTCGATGAAACAATACTTCAGATGGCTTTAGCACACTTTTAAAATACCTCGAAAACTAGTCTTTTTCCTTTCTAATCAATCAACAACTGTAAAATAACTGTAATACGAGGTCCAGTTCGTCTGGTCCTTGCACGTCTGATATCAGGATCATTTTATGGTTGTTGATTGACTGTCAAAGGAAAAGTAAAATTTTCGAGGTATTTTAAAAATGCGATAAAGCCATCTGAAATAGTATTACGAAATAGCTTTTCATTAAAAAATGACATCTAAGAATTTTCAGCATGTGCTTTCCTCTGACGTCACAATCCCACATGGCCGCAGCGAAAACCCAGAAGCCTTTTTTAATCATTTAGTCATTTTTAATCATTTCATATTCACGTTTGGTTTTTCTGAATGGCAAGTGACTTCTCTGAAATCGTCTTTTAATGTGATGATCGAAATTTTCACTGTGAAGCAAAGAGAAAAAATAGCAGATTGTGTAACGCGATACCTTAAAACCCATGCCAGCGGTTGACGAACAAAAATATTCATGTGATTCCACATCAAGCACCAAAGTCAAACCGTAATATAGTCCAGCACCATACGGTCTCCACGGTATAACATCCGCCGGCATAGATGCATCATATCCTTTTTCGGCGTTCCAATCGACGCTCACGGATGGATACGTTATATTCAGATCGGGCCAATCGGCTCTAAAAAATATATATATATATATATATATATATATAGATATATATGCCATTCTTTCGTAAAATATTTTCCATTCGTATACATCAAAATTGCATAACGCATTTACGTAGGTTCCGATTTAATCGAGCCTCACTCACGCATTATAAAAGAGATGTTTTTTGGTCACCGAGTTGAAATTGCAGCAAATACCCTCATCGGTCATCGTAGGATTAAAAATTCTCTCGCACTCAGTCTGATTTCCGTGCCATAAACAATAATATATCATGTCTGTGCACGGTTGAGATACCTGAACAATAAAAAATAAAAAATTATAAGCTGAGATAAAATATTCTCAATTATCAACTTTTAAAGAAATCGGCAGATTTTAATTTAGCACAAAATTTAAACGAATTTAAATTATCTTAATGAATATTTTCTCGATATGTCTACCCAATATTCCATATATAGAAAATTGTATTGTGCTACGTGCATTGATCATAAATCGCAGCATTCTGTCCCAGTTTATAACCCCACTATCAGGATGGATGTGAGTACGAGTTAAGTTGTCTGAGTCCGAATTGCAGAGATCTTCCATCATTATTTGATCCACTATGTCAGACCTGATCATAGAAATCGCACAAGAGAAGCAATTGAATCGCATTTAATTCGCATTAATTAATTCCAATAATATAATATATATAGTAGTTTTTTTCTAATAATTTTTTTAATTTATAATAATTTTGTGTATATATAAAATTATGCTAATATTATTTATGTTAATGATAATTATTGTAATAATGACTTAACGTGCACTTTACCCGCTCAAGATCCGATTTGCTTCAGTCCTCTTGACATTGTTCATATTGCAGATTGTTACAGAGGGAAAAGGGAATTCATTAAGGGAAACCGGCTCGGGGCTTAACGAAATGATGACGGGTGATCCATTCCATTTTTGATAAAGAAAATAGATATAATATACAGCCACTCCCAGCGCGACCGTGAACGAAATTATCCAGAATATTCTATACAAAAAAATGCGTTTAATATGCTAGAATTTTTCAGTCTTAAGAATTTTTTATATAGTAATTAAATAATCAATTACGCAATTTCGATATAATGCATATGTAATAAAAATTGTTTTTCGAAAATTACTGGAAAGTTATTTCAAACATTGCAATCTCTCTTGTTTCGCGAAATTCTCAACTCGAATTTTATCAAATTAATTGTTAAAGTGTCAAAAGTATGTCACGTTGTACTTTTTTAAATTTCCTGTACAAATTTTACCTTTCTACGATTGTCAATTGCGAGTTACCGATGTAACGCAAACCATGAAGAGTGCTGTTTGTGCAATATTGCTTAGTGAGTTCACTAAGTTGGTTCAATAGTTGATGCTTCTTTTTCTTCGATCTAAGAAGAAGAGTCACAGTAGGTTAGACAAAGATGTAGGGTATTTTTTTTGGTTTTAAAAATTTTGTCCTTACTTTTCAACTTTTTCGTTCTCTTGATCGTTGTTTCTATTTGCAATTGATTCTTTTGTTGTAAGTAAGTTGTTGTTGTACCTCGATCTTAGCGTGAAATCTTGCGATCGATACATACTCTGAACATGATAACATATATATTAATTATATATAATCAGGATAAGTAAATTATACACTGACAAAAAATTTATTACTTGACTAAACTTTTCAACTAAATATTATTTTAAAATCATCATATTTATCTCGACTAAAGAGCCAAACGCGATGTTATTGCGACAGATTAAGATAAGAAAATTTGGAAACTAAGGAATTTGAATCCTATGGTTGGGATCTCAAAAATTTCCCTTGTTCCTTCTTTTACTGTAAAGAAATAAACGAGAAATATTGGTCCGAAAGTCGGCTGAATCGGGAAACGACTTTCGGACCAATAATTTCTTTACAGGGGATGTTAGAAAGGTTTAGATCCCAAGGATTCAAATTCCTTAGTTTCCAAATTTTCTTATCTTAATCTGTCGCAATAACATCGCGGAGTCGAGATAATATGATGATTTTAAAAGGAGAGCCGACTTAAAAATATTCTTATTAAATATTATTTTGTTAATTGAACATTAAAAATGTTTCAGTTAAATATAACATATTAAATCTAAACAAAATATATTTGACTTAAATACTAATATGTGTTCAATTAACAAAATAGTAATTTAATTGAAAGGTTTAGTCAAGTTAACAATGTTTTCAGTGTGTAAGGGATGGAAAGCATAACAGACAAAAATCAAAAGAAACCAGAGTAATCTCGTTTTTAAATTCATTAATAAAATTAATATATTTCGTAATAAGATATTTAAATTTTATTACTATCTAAAAATACATTTTTCAAAAATATTTAATTAATTAATTAAGTTCAAAAGTATTAAATTAATTAGAAAATTCTTTTTATAAGAATTTTGTTGTAAAATATTTTAATATATTTTATTTCTCCTTTAAATACACTTTTTACACAAATTACACAACTTTCGAATAATAGAAAAGCAATGATAATATTATAATTAGCACTTGTCTATTATATTATCATGGCTGTGAAACATTTTATCAGTAAAAATTTTAAAATTTTATTATTCTTACCTTTGAATTGTCACGGGACGCAAATCCTTCCAATCGTTGGGGCGGTCTGTAAGGATTTTGTAGATGCACAGTGTTGATGGAATACGGCATGGGATTGTTAGTTTTAAAATAATCGAAGTTCGATTTGTCAGTGGTATTGTTCTCGTTTCCGAGTTCCTCGGAATTGCGGTTGAAGGATTGCTTCGGCATTTTATTCGTATCGAATATCCTTAGATGAGCGAAATTAGGTGTTCTGTTTGAAACGACATGCGTTAAAATACGCGCATCGTTCCATGGATTAAAAATTGACTTGGTCTTTTCTAATTCCGATGATGAATTCTCCATTTCACGATCATGCTCTCCTTTAGATCATTGCGATCATCATTCATTCCTCGACAAATTCTCTTAATCAAGGAACGATTTAACTTCTTGATATAGGCTACTTTATTTTAGATTACCTTATTAAATAAAATTATTAGTTACTTAATATTCGTATATTTCTTTTTCAATATACGAATTCTATCATTGTTCTTTTATTGAAGAAATTTATCCTGTAAGAGATTCTAATTTTATAAATAAGAATATTTCTTTCTGATAATTTTGAAGTAATTTTTCTCTCGATATTCAAATATTTTTCTCGGTTTTATCGTAGATTAATTCTTTGTCATACGATTCGAAACGCAGTTTATGAGTTCTGTCAGATAATAATACTGTCGTTCAATTACAAGATAGGGAGAGCTTTTTCGATCCTGTGTTCCGACGTCCCTTTCTCAAACCACCCCCTAGGACGGCTGACAGCTGACTGAAGGGTAACAATAGCGGTCGAGCATCCTTCCAACTTTGGCGATACGATACTTGTACTTGAAGTCTTTTAGCTATGCGTATGCGCGCTCATAATCTTCTAGAGATAAACGATATTGTCCAATGTTTTCATACTAACAAGGCATAGTATGCGACACGATCTTAAACTAAATAACAAATTGTTATGCACTTTTTTTTATTTAGCTTTAAAGGGACCGATTAGCCTTATTTTTAATGGCAGATTCGATTGATGTATTTGTTTTTGTAAAGAAAGATTGCTCGATGAAATCATTAGTCGTTTTGATTCGTGAATTTTAATTCCAAAATTTAGCATCGACTTTAGTGATTCTTGAAAATTCGGTTTTTCTCACAATATATATGGCGTGTTTCAATATTGTTGTTCCTTTCTGAATTAGCCATTTAATGTTATCTGACATTTATATCCGGTTTTTATTAACGTAGGTAAAAAACTAACAAGAGTCATTTAAAAATATGTAGTTACATTAGCTGTAAAATAGGGACATATACGAGATCGTGTCTTTTCTGTTACAAATATTTATTTTGTTATATATGGGGTGGAATTATGTTTAAATATGAAATGTAAAAGATGTCTTTTTTCTCAGTAATTGAATATATATTTATGATACAAATCAATACTGTGTTTACATTGAAAAAAATTATTAATTTTACTAAATTACTATTTTATTAATTGAACATATATTAATATTTAAGTCAAATATACAGAGAGAATTGTTTTTAGAATTTTAGAAGAAATTTATGAGTTTTTCCACAATAAATTATTTTACTATGTACAATTATAATAAAATTAATTGAATATATATTTTATATTTTATTATGGTTAGATATTAATATTTTTTTATTGTAGTAAATATTTAATTAGTGTAACTTTTATACAATTCCAATACCATACTGTCCCACGATTACCATGATTTTCAGGGTAAATTCTAAAAGAAAATTCTCTCCGTGTAAGTTTTGTTAGATTTAATGTTGTATTTAATTGAAATATTTCTATATGTTTAATTAACAAAATAATATTTAATTGAACGATTTAGTCAAGTTGACAAATTTTTTATTGTAGAGAAGTGCATTTCTTGAATAATTTTTAATGTTACGGTCACGAGTCCATTGTGCATAAATAAAATTAAAAAATAAGATTCGAAGGAATAAGATGTCAAGTGTAAATATTACTACGGTATTTTTGTTAATTTTATTTAATTCAGGAACGAGCCCGTTTATCGCATATTATAGGATCCTGTGAAAACATCCATTCCTCCTTATTTGACACTTTTTGACGTGTTCGAAAAGTGATCGTAATGCAAAAAATATAGCATTGTTGTTAATAATGCATTTCTCTCACTTTCTCTCTTGCTTAATTACAAACACGCGCGCGTGTATATAGTGTATAACAATTTATTATCATCATTATGTCGTTATCGATTGCATCGGACGCGTATATCACTGATGCAAAGCAGGATAGATCGATGCAAGTATATACAAAAAACGCATATATATTGCGTGATTATGAACTGTTATGCGTTTTAACGACGCGATGTTTAACGATAAAAACATTTTCTTTACTCCGTATGCGATTGTTATCCTTAAACAAAGATGACATTATTATTTAATAAAAGTATCTGTAAATAAGCCTATTCCGTGTTACTTTTCAGTCGTACGTAGAATTTTTTATAATATAGAATTTATTTATACTATCATCAAATATGATTAAATTAAGATCTCTATTTTATTTTTTTATTATGCGATTTTAATTTTTTAGAGAATATATATTAAATATGTTTTATTATATTTGTAGGACAATCGCGCCTGCATAAATTGCCAAGATTGCACAATAAACATGAATCAGTTTATATTACAACGTAACGCAAAACCGCTATATTCGACTATCTTTTCATATTTTAAATTCAATTAATTAATTATTGTTATTGTCAACTAATTATTAATTTTATTATTATTTATGTAAACGCATTAATGTTGACGTAATAAAATAAAATATACAATGATAACAATAGTATATTAATGAAAAGCTACTTCGAGATAATTTTGACATGAATTTCGACATTTATATATATATATATATAGACGAATTGTAAAATGAGTACAAACTTGTCTGCGTTTGTCCGGTGGAAAAGTTTCGTGACTGTCTCTTTAATGGATCGTCTCAGCGTAATTACAAGACAAACATTCGTGTTATCCTTATCGATGTTCAACGGCACCATAAACACGAGTCGCGACCCGGTCGCTTATCCAGCTGATGGTCTTGAACAATATATATATATATATATATATATATATATATATATATATATATACATATACATATATATATACACACACACATCCTTTTTGAAGTTCATGGAATAGCAATGATAACGTTTATATAAGAGAATTATTGGCCTACAAAAAGATAATTTGTGTCCGATGAACATTTGGTCCAATCAGCAATTTATCATCACACACTTTGATTCGTTCAAATTCGATGATGACGAGATACGCAAATTGAGTATACGCAAGGGATTAATTAATGTTTATTTATTCAGCTATAGCTATAGGCAATGATAAATGTGTAATGTTTTCCAAAAGAGAAGCTACTGAATAATTCACATTAATTATAATAATGTGAATTTTATAAGGGAATTTACTATTTAACAAGATTATACATGCAGATAATGATTATGACAAGCTGCATACTTTAAATGAGGAAACCTTCGTGAGCAGCGGCAAGGTCAAATTCTTCCGAGATAACACTCTCTTTGTACAACAACGACACTAGGTCACCATCGTTTGTTTTGCACTGACAATGTCATGCAGATAGATGATTATGCACAAGTGATGAGAGATATTCTTTTTAAATACACACATGATTCTATCAACTCAATTAATGGTGTAGAATCCTTCGCGTGTAATTATGATATTTCGATAACAATGAACTGTGATATTTCATAACGTTTCACTTTGATGTCAATCATGTAATTAATAATTATGTCGTGGAATTATACCAAGCGGTAAGAAAAAGTGTAAAATATATAGGTCTAGGCTACTCTATATTAATACATATGAATAATTCAAAAACAAAAACTGGGTGATATATATGTAAATATTTTTTTCTATTACGTTTGCAGAACGAACTAAAATAAAATTGATGCATTAATCTTGATTTAATTGTGTTGCGACTTCTTTTTTTATTTACAAATTGTATTTTTTTTATTGCAGATAAAATGTCACGCAAAAACAAGAAACACAAAACGGAAGAAGAAAAGGTAAACGATGGGGAGCAGGACAACTTTTTCCCCGACGAGATGAAGGAGGAGATAAAAAACAATGTGGGAGGTAATTGGAATTATTATTTCATCAGTGAATTAATATTATCGAGACATATAAAAATAACAAAAACACCTTTTATATTCTTTCAGATACCACAAATTTTCCATTTTCTCCATCTAACGAGAGAATCCCTCAATATACCTCAGTTCTCCATATACGAAATGGAGAGGATGCTGTTGATGCCGAGAGCCTCGAAGCAACTGGCAAACATCATGACGTGTTTGCTAAGGTTATTATAATATATAAAATTAATTTCAATTTTAACATACTGATGTATAAGAAGATAAAAAAAGATATACTAATTTTTTTTTTTAATTGTAGCTCCCCAATTACCAAAGCAAAGCTGCGTAAAGTGCCACCAATGCCGTATGAATTTTGGACTAACATTATCGCGCATAAGATGGCAAGCTGGTTTAAAGTTTATCACGCAAAGCACAAAGACACAACCAAAGTACGTATTTTCATAAATTTCCGTTAAGGACCAATTAATTATCAATAGTTTTATATCAAGTATATTCGCGGTGTTTTCGCGGAGACATATACTTATATAATGTACACCACAGTGACTGAAGATGTGAACAAAGATTTTTAGGTTCTAGAAACCATCGGCGTCGAACCAGAATTCTGGAATGTCTTTCCCGATGCCTCGTTACTCGAAAAAAAATACTTTGAAAATCTAAGCTTCAAACAGAGAGTCTGGCTGTTAAAAACTGTCTGTGATACAATCATGGTAAGTCCGCGATAATTTTAGAAAAGAAAAACGATGTAATTAAATAAAAATTAAATTTAAATTTAACAATTTCAATTCTCATAGCATACCAGAAAAACAGTTCAGGAAGACATAGCGCAACAACCATGGGAGGATCAGTTTGAAACAATTTTAGGAGTTGATCGCTATGGAACGAGATACAGTTACTTTCCACAATTCATCCCAAACGATCTCAGAATTTACAAGCATTGTCTAGACAATAAAATTTTGTCGACTGTCGAAGTAATTATTTGATCTTCTAATGCGCTATTTTTTGTTAAATTATTAAAACTTGAAATTTTTTAACAACATAGTAAAATTACACGTGCTTCTTTTTACAATCTTATCTATAATAGCATTTGATTTTTTAAAATTTTTAAGGAAATGTCATATTTCCTAATTTTGTTAAATTATTATTTTTATCCGGATTATTATATTTTTTTATGTTATTTTAATGTCAAAATTTTTGAAAAAATTTCTTTTACTTTAGATTATAGCACCGATGTCCATAGTATAATGGATATTATATTATTAATTTTTGCATTGCTATTAAGAATATTGTCCTTGGAAATTTCAATATCCATTACAATGAACACTTGATATCTCTCTGAATGAATGAAGACGTTACATAAAATAAAATAAAATATGAGGTTTTATATAGATTGTGTATATATATTATATATAAATATATTAATTTTATTAATTATGAATTATATGTATTGTTACAGCTTGTCAAAGTAAAAGAAGAAACGAACAAATTAATGGGCACAAGATTGAATAGGCATAAAAGAAAAAAATTGCAATCTTACGCATCGTGTCGCAGATCAACCAGGCACAATAATATTGATAAGGACCTAAATAACTACAAGTGTAATAATGATAGTGCTGCGAGTTCGTTTATCAGCGACGATACGAATATGAGTAATACGAGCACGTGCACTAATAATAACAACATAGGTTTGAATGCCATAAGTAGGAAGCGTTGTAGGAGTTTGTCGAAAATGTCCGAAGAAAGTACGCTATCAAATGTAAGATCCAGCGGCTACGATACCAATACTTCCAGTGATAATAAATCTGTCGACAACGAGACGTCGTCAATGTTCAAAGGTTTCATCAACACTCAAAGTGATAATTGTGGTATAGAGATAATTAATGAAATGTTAGATGACTTAAAGTCAGAAATCGATGAAGAAAGGAAAACGAATGAGCATGGAAATAATAGTAGCGAATTATCATCGCAAGAAAATATTGTAAAAGTGTGTAAAGGTACAATAGATTCTTGTGAAATTTTAGCTGCTGAAAGAGATGAGAATGAGAGATCGAGCGATAATTTGTCCAGCAGTTCAAAAACGGACGATGAGAAACTGAACGACATAATTAGCGCCGAGAATTCTAAATTACCTGAAAGTGTATATGCCAAAAGTATTTCTGCCAGTGATAATGTAAGTGATATTTCAACATTGACATCCAAATCGGATGACGAAAAGTTAAGTGAAACAAAAACGAGTGGTAATAATGTTAATATACCTTTTAATGACTCACTCTGTGCATCTCCTTCTCATGATAGTGTATCATTAAGTGAAGAAATGACTAAAAATGAACATTTAAACAAAGTAAAAGTTTTATCAATAACAAAAATAAGATCTAACAATTTTATTGAAGAAAAAAATTTAAGAAGTATACGTATATTACGATCTCGATATAGAATAGGACAACACAACGAAGAAAGTAAAATGGTAACAGTAAAAAATGAGGTAAAGAAAAAGGAGAAATTGGAGGCAGATGATAAAATGTACGAGATAGATGAACAGAATTTCTCTATGAGCAAGATAGACTTGGAAAAAGACGTAGAAGAAAACGATCTGGATGATTATACAAACAATTCTGATACTGGTTATAATTTGAGAAGATCCAAAGAACCAAAGACGGATGAATGTAAGAAACATTTCGACAAAATGTTATCTGATCTTGGAGTTTCTGATTTTCAACTAGTAGCCGACACTTTGGAAGGATTAAGGAATCTCATTAGCAGTTTTTCAACGAATACCTCAGAAAACAATGCAGTAAGTTTTATGGGATTAATATTTTTATTTATAATATTTCACGTCTTATCCATCCATTTGTAAAAAAAGGCATTTGTTAAGTCGATACTCGAATATATCGAAGTGTTGAAGCCTCTTTTCTGCGACGCTGATTGGTTGTCTCGATTCGTATTGTGTGTTATATTCATAACATCAAACAGCTGTTATTGTGAAGGTTAATAGTTTGACACTTGTTCAAAATAATATTAAATCAAAGCATATAACATCAATGACGCGCGCAAAGCACGCGCTTGTATTGTCTAGTTTACTAAAAAATCGGTGTTTATAGATAGAAATTCCTGAGTGTGAAGCAGCATTGGTAACGAAGTTAACTGAATTATTAAATTCCCTGGAACCAATGGAAGCGACTTTGAAGGATACGATACGAAAAACGAAAACGAAACTTCAAAGGGAATGGTCTAATTTTAAGGAAGGGTATGTATAGCAACTTCCATGCTTTAATCCACGAGATAATCGGACATCATTTTTCAAAACCTCATACATTATCACACATTGAAACAATCGTAGAAACATATAAATAAAAAGATATTAGATTATATTATTTCATTTAGCTTCATTAACGCGCATCTGCAATATTTTTTCTTTCCAATTAATGCATAAAATAACATTGCGTATATCTTCCTATATAGCTTCACATCTTCATATCTTTGTAGTTGAATTTTCATTATCTGAAGACTTCAAACTGCCTGACGCCTTCAGATTGCTACAATAATCCATGTGTGATTTACAATGTGGTCGCTGTCCGTACTTCTCTTCTAGTAATATTAATCTCTTTGTCGAGTATGTATGGTAGACAAGCTGGTGGTGTGTTGTAGCAATGTGGAGGATCAGGACTCATCCAGTGAGGGTGGTCTCAGCTCTAATTGGTGGATTCTTGGATCGCAGGGCAAGGATCCACTGTCAGCTTCCGGGGACGCAACGTTACAAACGTTATCGCAACTTGCCCTATCCCCACCTGGCACCCAAAGAGGCCAGCAACGATCGACCGAGCGCGAAAGCACGGTCGAAAATTCCGAGCAAAGTCGCCGCGAGAGTCGGGAAGCGAGTGGAGACGAACAGCGGAAAGATAACAACGAGAGAAAAACAGACCTCGAGGGATCACCGACAGGAAACCAAGTTGAGGAGAGAGGAGAGAAGCAGGAATATAACAAGCAACAAAGAGAAAACGAAAATGCGTCAAACGACGAAGGTGATTCTTTTTGTCGTTAATTTGTCCATTTTTCGTCCAGTGTCTTGTTTATCGAGAAAAACATTACATTCCTTGCAATCTTTCCAGATACGGAACAGCAGACGCGACGAGTACTACGAACGCGTGGAGTCTCCTCGTACACAGAACAATTTTATTCAGATGACGAGAGCGACGAGAACGAGTTGGAGGAATGGGCCGACGTTGAGGCAGTCTATGCGGCTCCCAGCGCACAGGACAATACATCCGCTTTTCACACTGCTCCGAAAATCCGACACGCTGATGATCAGTCAGAAACGGAGGACTCAGACCAGGATTGGATTCTACCGGGCTCTCGCAAAAGGAAAAATAAACGTCCGTGTAAGTGCTGAATCTGCGAGAAAAATTAGAATGTCTCTTATTATTTTTTCTCATTTATATATTTATATTTATTTATAGATATAGTTTTTGTTTATAATTATAATTGATGACATTTATTCATGATTATTAATTTATTTTATAAAAAGGACTTTCTACTAACTTGTTAGTAGAAAGGTCTAACTGATAATCTCTCATTCAATTCTCTTGTAACGTGTAATATTTATATTATTTCAGCTGCCAATCGAAGATTAAAATCATTTCAACACAAAATGCAGAACATCACGGAGAATACGTCTCAAAACAATATAACATCTGGTATGCCTCAGCTTGCCAATGTGAAAAATGGCAAAGATAAACTCAAGATTAAACTCAAACAGAAGGAGTATAAACAGTTTGAGAAATCCGAAAATACGGAAGATAAATTGTGTGATAAATCGAATATCGTCGTATCCGAATCAAACCAAATGGATCCTAAGGAATCAGTGCCTTCCACGAATGAGATGTGCAAACTGGAATCTGTTGACAGTGTCCACTCGGAACTGGATATCAAAGACGAGGGTCCAATCTACATGTCCGGTCCAAATCAATATGGACAGAACAGCTATGGACCCGCGAATCCACAACAGAATTATTATTACGTGATGCAAAATCCTGGAATCGCCGCGGGAGGGAGTGTCATGTCCTCGCTAGGAACTTCGATGATGCAACAGAATGTCATCGTCCAAGGAATCACGCCGCCGCAAGTTCAAAGCTACTATGTAGCGCAACCAGGCGCGCAAGCAAGCTACGTGATGCAAAATTCACAGACAAATTTTTTACCCGTTCAACAGCAGGCCGTCTTCCAACAGCCAAGTCCGCAAATGATGGCAACTCAACCATATGTCAACAGCGTGAGTTATGTACCCTATATGGTAACCACGAGTACGCAGCCTCAGCAGTACGTAGTCGCATCTAATCCAATAACGAATCAGCCGAGACTGCAAAATAGACTAAACTGTAATCAGAACATTAGATTTATAGCGACGTCGCGACAGAGTTTGCAAAATCCTACGGCAAGAATTAATAACACACCTGTTAAAGATAGTTGTCCAAAACCTACGAACGTTTCTCAACAATGCATATCCAATTCAACATCGCGGCGAAAAGTACCACAAACATGCGGTACAGAGAACAGCAGCCAGAAAACGATGTCTTTAATCGTGCTGAGTGATAGCGATGATGAGATAGAGATGATAATTACCGAAAAAACTAATACAGAAAGAAAGATCGATAAATCTATATCGGTGCAAACTCAGAGAAACGTTAATCAATCTAATAAGCAAAAGCCTGTAATTACTTCTGACATCACTGTTGCCTCAGCGAAGGACGTCATCCCGCCACAGATTATTCAAAGAATGAGTCAAGGCGGGATATCTATTACACCAATAAAAAATACACCTCCGCCACCGACGACAAATACTAATACGCAATTAGTGGTAGTCGTGAACGAGACTGGGAATCACTATGCCCTAGCACTACCCAATGGCAGCAAACTTATACTTACTCCGGAGCAGGTGGCGCAAATCAGAGCCTCAAATGGAGGAAAACTGATCTTGTAAAATTGCAATATTATACAACAATTGTCGATCATCATGGAATAATCATGTGTCATCGTACGTGGCTATGTATGCTTCAATTTCTTATACTTCGTCGCGTGGAAGATAATATCCCAGGACAAAATTTTTATATATAACAATATCAAATTATATAAAAATATATAAAATTATACGTATAAAAATTATATAAAAAATATGTTCATACATAATTAAATAAAAGTGTTTTTTTATATATAATTATATAAATTTATATATAATATATAATAAATAAGTACTTCTTCATATATATATAAATATATGTATATATGAATTCTTATAATTTATATATAAATTTATTTAATTTTGTATAAAAATAGACATATTTTATATATAATTTTACGATTGTATGTGTAATTATACGATTATTTATATATAATTATATATAAAAAATATTTTCCCAGGATATATATAGAATGTGATACATTTCCTTTATATATTTAATATTGTAATAAATATTAATATTTTAAAGGCGATTAATTAGATATTTAGTAATATTATCTTTATTCATTTCTCATCTTCAATTTTTACACACACATGCATATACATTTATATTTATATATGTACATATAATATGTACAATTAAATACTGCTACATTAATAAATTACTATATAATTTTGTTTGAGAATATCATCCAGATAAATGTACATCTATATATGTATGTTATTGTCATAATATAATTGTCGATTATTAAATATCATTTTTATTTATTGATTATAATATGCAGATAATATGATATATATATATATATATATATATATATATATATATATATGTCCTTAAATATATATATTACTCTCTGTATAAATTACAAATGATTTTGTTATAAGATTGATTTGTCTATATTTGCTTAAATTATCTCTTGCAAAACACTGTTTATATACTGCAATAGCTTCAGATTCTTCATTTATATTATCCTGTGCTTTTTCTCCACTTCCTTATATATCGTGAGTGAAATATCTTCTGAACTTATTGTTAACGTCTTTGCAATATTGTTGATTTGGAACTGATTATACATCCTCTTTCTCATTGAAATCCGACAGCATATTTCTTTCACTCACATATTTATCTCTGAAATAAAAAAAATACATCCTTGGATGTAAAAATATCTAGACAACAAAGTGATAAATATAAGGCCAACTTATCGAGCTGAATATTCGAGATGTTCAGTCAACTACCATTTATTACATGTATAAATTATAAAACTACAGTCATTATATTAAAACTAACGCAAATTACAATAATTGTAATGCATCTTATGTAGGCCAAACAAAGAGGCAATTGCAGACGCGAATAAAAGAACATAAAAATAATATTAGGTTGGACTCAACGAAACATTCAGTAATTTCTGAACACATAATAAATGAACATCATACTTTTAATTGGGACAATGTTAAGATCATGGACAACGAAAATAATTATTATAAAAGACTCATTTCTGAGATGCTACATATCAAGGAACAAAAAAATGGACTAAATTTAAACAAAGATACTGAGTTACTTAGCGAGTCGTATTTTGATATTTTGGATATATTAGCGAACAAGAAATAATAATAGGACAAATAGGACATTAACGAGTAAAACATAGATATTAGATCATATATAAACACGCACGCTCTCCGATCAAGTAGAGTTTAAAATGAGCTGTCTTTCTGTATTGTTGGTTTGTTATGTGTCATCCTTAATAACTGTTAATAAGTAGCAAAATTGTCAAGAAGAACGATGATAGGTAAGCATACTACCGGTTGTAGGGGATACATATTATAATTTGGACATACGTTGATCGGTAATTTTTTATTAATCGCAGCGCCTACGGAACGGGTTAATTTCTCGCATATTAACGATGAAACTATCCGAGATCTGAACAAAATCAGGGATCATATCGAGGCGAACATTGTTGGACAGGACGGATTGAAACACGCGTTAATTGCTCAAAAACTCTTGATTCTGAATAACTATAATTAAATTTCGATATTATGTGAATTGTAAGAATTTATATTTCAATAATTATACTGAAGAAGACCGCGTGCGGTCGAAACGTTTATAGAATGATTGTAATTTGCGTTAGTTTTAATATAATGACTGTAGTTTTATAATTTATACATGTAATAAATGGTAGTTGACTGAACATCTCGAATATTCAGCTCGATAAGTTGGCCTTATATTTATCACTTTGTTTTCAATATACGAGCGACAATTGTATTAATTTATATCTAGACAAGATTAAATTTTTATGATTAAAAAGAAAAAATATATAAATACAAGAATATTACTGTTATTATATATAATAAAATAATAGTATGATATATAAAGTTGTAAAAAAATATACTTTTTTTAAATATATATATATGTAATAATATATGCGACAAACAATTCCAATATTTTATAAGGAAAATTATACTTTCCTATATACATAACAAATAATACAATATGATTAAAATTTATTATACGACAAAATATTTTGCTTTATAAAATTTATTCAATATTGTATGTATACAGGGTTTGTCCGGAAAGTAATGCGTCGCATTTTTTTGTGACGCGACTATACATCGCAGAGCGATGGGACCGGTTGGGGAGGAAGGGGGGTACCCTTAGCTTTCCAACGGTAGGTCGCTCAATTGTTTCCATGCGCTTGGAGGGTTAGGACGGCTTATTCTGTGAACCTCTGCTTAGTGGTCGCGTCGAACTTGTGATGGAGAGAACGATAGAGCAACGCTATGCGATAAAGTTTTGCGTGAAGCTGGACAAGACGCCGCTGGAAACTTTTGAAATGCTCAAGAAAGTTTTCGGGGACGATTGCCTTTCCAAATCGCAGTCAAACAGATGGCACAAGATGTTTAGAGAAGGTCGGAAGGAGGTCGCCGACGAGGCCCGCGCAGGACGCCCGTCAACATCGCGAACGGACGACAATGTGACTCGTGTGCGCCAATTATTGAATTCAGACCGTCGAATGAATGTTCGCAAGGAAGTGCTTCAGAGACTGAATCACAGGTTCGCCCGCGTCCGAAAGGAGATCCGCGCTTCATGGAAACTCCATCACGACAACGCGCCGGCTCACACCGCCTTTGTTATTACGGCCTACCTGACCCGGATCGGTGTGGCAACGGTGCCGCAGCCGCCCTACAGTCCCGACTTGGCCCCGGCGGACTTTTTTTTATTTCCTCGGCTGAAAAGGGAGCTCAAAGGACAACAGCTCGAGTCGGTTGACAACGTACAAGCTACTTCGACGGCCTCCCTGAACAGCATCCCAGTCAAGGAGTTCCAGAAATCTTATGACGCATGGAAATCGCGTTGGCAAAAATGTATTGACGCAGAAGGGTCATACTTCGAACAATTTTAAGTTGTTTTACCTATGCGATCAATAAATTCTTTTTTAAAAAAATGCGACGCATTACTTTCCGGACAAACCCTGTATATATTTTTTGGAAAATCTGTTAGATCTAAAATATAAGTACTCAAACTTAAATTTGGACAGTTTACAATTTACAGAAAAAGTTTGAAATTTTTAATAAGATATTATATATATATATATATATATATATATATATTATATATTGCACCTTATATTATTTATCAGAAAGAAATAAATTAAATATATATTAAATAATTACTTTGATACCCAGTAAGCAAAAAATCATTGCTACAACGTGTTATTTTTGTTGGCAAGTATATAGTTTTTAACATTGTATGCAACATATCATTACATGAACAAACTTTGACATCGATTTAGAGGTTTCGGTAATGTTGAAATTAACGTTTTTAAAATATTTTATTAATATTTTGAGCAATATATATATATGTTATTAAATAATATTTTAAAACATTTATAAAACATCAGTTAATTAAAATATTTTTTTAGAATATTTATTAATAATATTTTAAACATATATTTATATATATATAAAAAACATTATATCATAACGTTTAGAAAATTTATATAAAATCAACATTATAAAATGTTGATTAAATATTTCTTGCTTACTGGGTATATATATATATATATATATATATATATATATATATATATACATAATATATGATTTTGTGTATACGCATATTGAAATTTAGAGAATTATATATATATATGTTAACCAGACTTCCTTAATTTCTCAATTCTGATTTTTTTAAATTCTTTCTAATTAAATATATATGAATAATTTTTGAGAAGAATTTCGAATTTGTGCAGATGAAATCTTTTTTTTCAAAAATGCATTTATAGATATAATATATAAATTATTACAAGTAGAAATTTTCCAAAGAAGGAGAAAATATTCAATTTAAATGTCTATTAAATTTATAAATATTATATTCAATTTTAATCTGCTTTCTTTCTTATATATATATTATTATTTTGCGATTAAAACACAATTATTTTCATAATTTATTTGTCAATATGTTTACAAATTATTTATTCATATTCTTTTAATTTAAATTAATAAAGCATATAATCTTATGGAAATTTATCATTAGTATGTTAGTGATTAATTGGTGGTAGCCAATTAATCACTGTATATCATAGTAATTTAACTACTCGAAATAAGTGATTAATTGGTGTAATCACAAACTTACTAGTGATAAATTTCTTTATATATATATAGATATAGATAAAAATTATTACCCATACAGCACCGAAAGATTGCAAAAACATTACAACAATCTTTCACCGCAATATTGCAATATTGCAAATTCACTCAAAATGTTGCTACATCATTGCTGTTGAATTGCAGCAATGTTAAAATGTCCGCTTTTTGGAAGATTGCAACAAAATATTACAACAATATTGCAATATGTTATGAGTTTGCAATAATGTATTGTTATTGCAACCATAAACTAATGTTGCATATACAGGTATATAAATGTAAATAAATCATTAATGAAAATACGTTGTAGTTAATTCATATATATTACAATATATAAATTATAGAATTTGGATTACATGCAATATTTCCGAAATATTAATGTCATGTTGCTACAAGTGTGCTGGAATTTTGTGCACTTATATCTCTGCAATGTCTTTATAATGTTGCATTGCAACTTGCAACATTGCAACGTTGCTGCAATATATTTGCAATAATCTGTGCTGTATGGGTACGTATGATAAAGAAAAATAAATATTTGCTAATAAATAAATTATTTCTTTGGCGTGAAATGAATGAGTATATCTTCGCTTGGTCGAAAAGTAAGAGTGGCTTCACTTTGAACTGCATCCGGCTTTTTTACACTTTTTATTCTCCACTTTCTTAGAATAGCTGTTAATATCGTTTTTTCTTCGAGTAAAGCAAATCTTTGACCAATACAATTTCTTGGTCCAGCGCTAAACGGAATGTAGGCATATGGATTCCTATGTTTTGAATTTTCTGGAAGGAAGCGATCTGGATCAAACTTTTTTGGATCTGGCCAAACTTCCGGATTTAAATGCATTAATGCGATTCCTAATACGATTGTAACACCTTTCGGAAACGTATAATCACCTAAAAAAATAAAATAGATTGTTATAGATTATATAGACTACATATCGATTATATTCTGCTATATAAAATTTTATATACTGAAAAAATGATTAAATTAATAAATATTTATTTAAATATACTGCCTAATAAATCATTTATTTGAAATAAATAAATATTTATTTGTTGTGAAAAGGATTTTCTTATATCAAATAAATATTTTTCACATCAAATCAATATTATTAATTTCAAATAAATGATTTATTTGTGCTTCAGTATTGAAATAAATACTTATTCGAATATTTTTTTTAGTGTATTGATCAACTTTTTTTAATATACATTTTTAATGATCTAAAAATATAAATAGTAATATAAATAAAAATAATAATCTAAAGTAAGTTTTATAAATTACTTACTTGGTCTTTTGTTCAATCACATTTGTTTAGTCTTTAATAATAAATAAGAGAAAGATATTTCTCTAAAGAGAATTTAAGTGAAAATATCAATTAAAAATTTTGCAAACTTATATACAATATTAATGTAGATTTTATTGTTGAGATCTCTTTTATCTTTTTATTAATACACTTAAAAAATTTTGGTAATTTGATTAAACCGTACAACTAAATTACTATTTTGTTATTGAATGTATATTAGTATTTAAATCAAATACACATTTTGTGTTAGATTGAATATGTTAAATTTTTTATTTAAATATTTTTATATGTTCAATTAACAAAATAATATTTAGTTGACAATTAGTCAAATTAACAAATTTTTTTAGTATAAAAATAAAGTCTTGTCATACCTATTTTACGTCTTCCGCTAATCTCCTTGTGATCATAGGTACGCTTGGATATAATCTGAGCGATTCTTTTATGATCCTATTGAGATATTTTAATTGCGCCAGCTCTTTTACGCTGGCTGGTGTCTCGGAATCTTTGAAAACTTCCTCGAGTTCTTCATGAACTTTTTCTTGATGCTCGAGATTATTGCCCAAGAGAAAGAGGGTCCAGGTTAACGCAACCGCAGTTGTGTCGTGACCCTAAATTCATTATCATATTCTTACTCTATTTTATATACTAAATACTCCTTTATAACTACATTATTACTAAATTTGATAAGAGAGAGATTTGCGTTAAATTTCAAAGATTTTTTTCTCTTACCTCGAACATGAATGTATCAACTTGTGCCCTTAACTCATCATCGGTTAATGGAACTTCGTCCTTCTCGTTTTGATCTAGTAACAAATCCAGAAAAGCTTTCCTTTTCCGTTTACCTAACGCAATCAATTTTACAAGAATAATTTTAAAAAATATTCACACAATCAAAACACATACGTATAACAATAATTTAATATAATCACCTATATCTAGTTCATCATCCTCTTTTTCCGATTTGACAGTACTATTTCGCGATTGTCGTGCAATCTTTTTCTTATTTATCACCTGAAATTTATCATTTATTTGTTGTAAACTTGTCGAATTCATCCAAATAGTAATAGCATGAATGATTTAAGAAAATTTTTAATTTCTTATACATAATATATAATTAGCGATTTTTTACGCGTACTTCTCTCGTGAATTCATGTATCGTGTTAAGCCCTGATTTATATTCCTTTCCTGAAGGCACTAAGTTGTACAACCAATCTGGCCAATACCACGGTCGAAATAATCGCTCGAGTATTAATCGGGCGCCTCTAAAATACAATAAAAACATTAAACCAATATAATAACGTATTTATACTGTTATCTTAATTAATTAATCACACAAAATTTACTGTTAATTCTTAAAATATCTTAATCGATACTATATATATATATATATATATATATATATATATATATATATATATATATTAACTATATATTCTATTACTAATAAAATAATATAACTCATATTTTTTCACACCTAAGTATTGTTTTGGTATATTTGGTTTCAACTTCTTGAGCACGTACGTCCACGCCCATTGCCGTTTCTGCAAAATAATAATTTAATAACTCTCTGATCAAAATATGTTACTCTGTTTATAAATTCTAGAAAAAAAATTGATACTTATAATTTTCATAAATAATATAGAGCCGAATAATTAATTTTATTATACACAGAGATTAATTTATCAAATTTGTTCTTATTTGATTTATTATGTAGAGAAAATAAGCCTTATATTCGCAACTAAACAAAACGTGATATAAGATTCACTTTTTCGTGTCAGTTTACATATACAACATCGGAAATCAAGCTCATCAAAATTATACTGATATTTTATAATCCGTGATTACTGATTTCACATACAAGAAAGAATTTTGCTGCTGCAGCAAAACCATTATATTGCCACTACATATTTAATAAACTTTGTTTCATGAGAATGAATGGCATTCAATACAATAAATAATCAATTATTTTTTTTATAAAACTTATTTTCGCGACAGAAAGAAAGACCTTATGTGTTGGTTAAATTTGATTGTAAAAGCATGAATGTTAACATAAAATAATTTATTTTTTCAGCAAATATTTTAACCGCATTGCTTTGATAACATAATAAGTTATATAAGCATTCAATTTATTATCATAACGAAAGAACTTGTCCCGCAATTCAGCAAAATTTAAATTTAGTACTCTTGACAAATCTTTTTATGATCCGTATTATAATTGACACAGTTTGTTGCTGCAGCATAAAATATAATGTGTTAATTATATATACTTTTTTATCCAAAAGATATTATATATTATTATTATTAATAATATATATATTTATTACCACATATAACATCGAGAGCAACATTGTTAGTAAATGGAAAAATATTGATAGCTTTTTCTGGATTCTTTGCTATTTCCCTTTCGAGACATTTTGTCAGGATCTCTGCTTTTTCAGACATTACAATGGCAAATTGATCTAATATACTAAAATGGAACGTTGGTCCTATGAGTTTTCTATCATGGAACCATTGTTTTCCTGAAATAATCAAAATATTAATCAGCGATAAATATATTTATATAGTACTAAACATATCATAAAAAATATATGAGCGCATATTTAAGTGCGCATAAACAATATAAATAAAATTCTCAAAAGCATTATTGTTCCTATATATCTCTCTTTTTTATTGCATTTTAATTTTGTTTTTGTTACTATTGAATATTTGCAAGGTAGGTAAGAAGAGTTTGACAAATAACTTATTTTTAAAAAAATAATGTTTTAGCGCTCCAATTTATATGATATTTTATTACTGATACCATGAATTTAATAGCAAATGTAAAATCAATTAGTTTTCATCTTTAATACAATAAATAGCGACATGACACTGGAAAAAAAATTTTGTTGGATTAACAAAAATTCTGTTCGAATAAAATGGATGAAACGGAATTACTGGTTGAATCTACCAGAATTCCTTTTAATACAACAAGCATCTTGTTTGTACAACAAATCAGTTTGTTTGTGCAAACAAGATATTTGTTGCATTAAAAGGAATTCTGGTAGATTCAACCAGAATTCCGTTTCGTCCATTTCCGAACAGAATTTTTGTTAATCCAACACATTTTTTTCAGTGTGAAAGAGTTTATTTACCTGTAGAAGTGAGAAGTCCTTTGCCTAACCAAGAATGAAGCATTTCATAGGGTTGGCCTTTCTCGATATTTACAGTGCTGGGCAAAATAATCTGTAAAAATGAATTTAAAAAGATAATACAACCATGCGTGTAATAATTTATCATATTTACTATATAATATATTTTTTCTAAATTTTCAGTTTTTTCGAAAATAGAACTTTGTACACAAAAATCTATATTTTCAACTAATTTTTTTTTGTTTTATTTCTGGTGCATCGTTTATACGGAACATTTTATATTCTAAAGATGAAATCCATAATTAATTAGATCACCAAATTTACTTGGAAAGTGAAATTTGGCCATTCCGTTTTTTTCTGATAACGCAAATAAAATATAATAGACACAAATATTACCGTTTAATCTGAATAATATCTTCTTTTTATTATAGAGAGCTTCAACATATCTGAATTACTGTTTATCTGCATATAATATAAGTTCATCGCTTGAACTTTTTTGTCAATAAGTAGAAAAAAGATTACAGACTCGGCAAATAGTTCATATTTCATAACAAATTTAGATCGATTATTATATAAACAGTGAAAATATTTGTTCGGAATATAATCTTCCTTGCTAAAAATAATTTTACTGGCGCAACATACAAACACAAAATTATTTTTAAAATAATAAATTACTTATTTCTAGTCTATCAAAACAAAACGCAAGAAGCATAATTAAGAATAATAGGAATTAAATTTAATATGAATAGAATATAACTATTTTACTTTAACAGCAAATTTTTTTATATTTCTACAAATAAATTTATTTATAGAAATATAAATTAATTATATATTATTAATTAATAATATATTATTTGTAGTTATATAATAGCAAAATTTAGTCGTTTTTCTCATATATATGCAAATTGTATATAACTAAAACAAAATTCTTTCTCTTCGTGTAATTACATTGAGAATTTTTTTAATATTTACATTTTTTAATAATAATAAAATAATGTTTAATAATAAGTTTATAAAAATTTGGTTTAATATATATATATATATATATATATATATATATATATATATATATAACCGATACTTTTTATTAGTAAGATTCTTTCAATTCTTTTCATTCTTACCTCTAAAAATTCAGGTTTATAGAGATTAATCAATGGTTGCATGCCAATCCAATGTATGAAAATTCCTTCTTTAAAATGTAGCATACGTTGTACAAACCATTGTACGCGTTCTGTGGCACAAACATTTATTCATTATTATACTGTTTTAAAATATAAGAAATAACATAAATTTAAAGTAATGAATTTTTATTTAAATTTTTTTGCTATAAGTATATAAAATATGATATTTGTCAAAATATAATAGCAATGTCATATTCACAAAATTGTTTACCGTATTCTGTCAGCTTTATCATTTCAAATGCCACGCCAAAAGGAAATCTACCACATTGAGGAATATTTTTCAATTTTCGTCGAAGAACATATTGATGATACACTATCGATGTAATTATAGGGATTATTAAAACAACGATCACAGCACACAATGTCAAAGAAATTACGTCCATTTTTGTATAGCCTGTGAATATATTAAATATAGTTTGAGTTATCAAAAATAAATGCATAAATTAATATAAAACTTGCACTTCAATAAGCGTTTACAAAATGAACTAATATTGAATTTTTAATCTTTGGTCAAACATATTTGCACAATAATGTCATCACATTATTTTCATTATTACTGTTTAAAATTAAAACGATGAATTTCGGAAAATTATGAATTGCAAAATTTTAAAAAACAATTAATTCTGTTCTCAAAAAATTACTTGCTATACTTAATATAATACGGTTTAAAAAATCGAGAAAAGGAACAATGATTTCATCGTAAAATATATTTCTTCATACTTCAAATTTTTTATTAAATCACATTTTAACTTTACGCAAATTACTTTGTGCTTTGAAAAAATACAAAGTAAAAGGGCCATTTTTACTGTCTCTTAACTTTTTCAGATTAACTTAATCAGATGATTAAATTTAAAAATTGCCAATTTAAAACTGATCGACTTTATCTAAATTTATAATAAGATCTGTGATTTGCATTTGGCAATTCTTAAATTTAATCGGTCGATTAAGATAATCGGAGATAGTAAAATTAACGCAAAAAGTTTTAACTACAATTTTAACTACACGAAGAAAAATGCAAGATTTCGATTTATCGAGAAGTTATATTTAATATTAAAACAACATTTCACCAAGCTAATTAACACTATACATATATATTATCACTACTTCACCACTAATTATATACATATATATACACACTATATCACAATTTTATCATATTTTATTTTTTATTAGATTTTATTATTTATATATAAATATAATATATAATTAAATACGATATAAGATATGGCTGAGAAAAAAAGAAAAAAAATAAATTATTTTCTTTCTCAAAAAGAAAAATCTTTATTAAAACAAAAAGTTCTATAAAATCTACATACTTATTCAAAATTTAATTGCGAAATGACTGCAAATTTCTTATTCGTTTTGCATTACTCGAGTTTGCAAAATATAAATACTAACACAATGTAACAAATGAGACTGAATCATTTAATTATCTTATCTGAGTTCTTCTTGCGAGAAATGTCTCGACGTTTTGCAAAAAGATTGTATCGTGAACTGACTTTTATAACGATGCACGAGATAGACCGACACATATACATACACATATAGTACCTATATAAACACCGTTTATATGTACATATAATAATAAAAATGCTCATGTTTAGAAGATACAATAATAAATATACATACATACATACCATAGTGAATTCCATCTTATTATATTAGACAATGTGAAGTAATCTCTACCATTTCGCGTATATATACCATATATTATATAAGAACATAATGTACATATTTTTATTATTACGATCTCATATCCTTATGTATCTTTTTAATCATGAATGTTTCCTGCTAAACCGGTTAATTATACTTTATAATTATTTTATCCTTGGTTTATTCTCGTAAGAAAAATTGAATTTTTTACAGCCGGTAATTAATCTTCCAGTTTAATATATACATTAAAATATATGTAGAAATTACAAATTATTATATACATGTCCATGTATATAACTAAATTCATCGAAACACGCAATTTCCGTATAAACATTTTTGGATAACAGTGTGAGAAAAATATTTGTATAATTGATAAAGAAAGGAAAAATTGCAAATCATTGCAAACAAATGGACAAAAAAAGCATTAGGATGCAAAAAAGCATTAGGATGCAAAAAAGCATTACGTATGAAAGAAGATATGTAAGAATACAATTATATAATTTCCATTTAATGATTATAAGTCTAATTATATGAGAAAGTAAATGTCTCTTCGTGTTGTTGCAATATTATATGTAAGTATAGTTGTAAAATCTGATAGTATGGCTAAATTATGAAATAAGTACATACCACTGATTTTAATTCATCCTTTCGTTATGATGATGAAGTCCGGTATCTCTTATTGTCAGTATGAAACTGTTTTTGCTGGATGATGTCGAATTATAGTCTAAATATACATTGCGACAACGGACTCGTTTTTCGTTAAACTTCCTATCTGGAGTTTCCTTGTTGTTAAATTTCTTTCCCGCCATATAAATCAATTTAAGAAATCAAACAAGTTTACGCAATGAAATAATATTATATTGATTAATGTTTTATTGAAAACATTGTATATATTTCATGAAAAATCGTGACAAAATCGTGATTAGGGAATATATAAGTGTTTGTAATAAAGAATGACGTAATCGGTAGCAACTCAGTTATTATCGAACCAACGTGGTTCGATAACGTTGCACTTGACAGGCGGTAAGGAGATTAGCATATTTGATGGTAGCGACGTGGGTAAAAATTCTCCGGGCCACAGATGAAGAGCATCTACGAACAATAGGCCGATCAGGGCACTTCGCAACAAAGGTGCGAGAATATTCGACAGTCGGCTCTTACTGGCTTTTTGCGGCCAGATAAATACAAGTCTAGAATCCCCTGTAAAGAAAAAAGTGTAAAAAATTTTATTTTTTTTGTCCTTAATAAAATTAGAAGTCATTTCATTTATTAATTTTTTATTTTATCGCATAATTTATAATCGCAAGAAATAGAATATAAGATTTTACGACTATATCGATATGTAATAAAAATAACACGACATTGGCCTTCTAGTATATAATTAGACTGAATTATCAAACTGATATACTTTTATGTCAAATCATTTTATAAGATATTAGATGTCCTTTCAAAGGATGACTTAAAAGAATGAATCATCAAGAATATATCTTATAAAGTATAATATAATTTTTCGATGACTTTACATATAGTATTTTTATATGCAGAATTAATTATGCAAAAAATGTATAATTGCATTTAAAAAAATACAATTCTAATTGCAGATGCATTTGCAACAAAAGTAGTATACACTGAAATATATCATACACTGAATATGATCATACACAGAAAACAATTCATGTACTATCACATGGAAATTACTTGTACAAAACTGGAAAAATTACTTAATTATTATTGTAATATTTTTCCATATTTTTTTACAGTGAAAATACATATTAATGTAAAAATATATGTAAAATATATAGATTAAGTTATTATTTTTATACAAAAATCATTTGTAATTTTAATTTAGTATGTTTACTTTATTAGAACTTTATTTTATAAGCATTTATTCATTTTATTTATAAGATTATTTTATAGCATTTATACATTACTAAAATTTCCAATGTGTAATTCCATGTTCAGTGGAATATTTTTAATCTTGAAAATATATAAGAATGTATTTCATATGAAATTATATATACCATAATTTATGTAATCTTCCATATGAGTAGCAATATTGAATGAGTATGCTAGATCAAAAAAAAACTCAGCATAATCATGTAATTTTACACAAATATGTTTTTCAGTGTAGGAAGTTAATATATCTGTACGTTTCTTATACAAATATTTTCTCACTATTTTTTTCTGTCTTCACTTACAAAACAATAATACATATTTCATCTCAATTATCAGAAATCTTATATAAATGCATATATTATGCATATATATTTATACACAGTAGGAAAATTTTTGCGTCTTGTTAAAAATGGTCTCCGTTAAAATTTTTGTACTAAATATTATATTTTTATATTAACATATTTATGTATTAATTTAACATATTACTGTTATGTTAATTAAACTTAAATGTTAAATTATTATAACAACTGAAAAAAGATGTAAAAATGACACACTCTGCATCTATTTTTAATTTTACACAATAAATATGTTAGACAAAAATATTGACTTTTTATTTTATAATATAAGTGGGAATAATAAAATCTAAAATTAACATATTTTTAGTTAATTTTTACATTAAAACTATGTTAATTTTACACCAAATTTATTTTAAATTACTTGAAGTTTTGCATTTATTTTGTGTTAAAATATTAACACAGTACTGTTAATTAACACACAGTTTGTGTCTTCATTTAACATATCTATATATTATGTTAAATTAACACAAAAATTTCTGTGGACCATTTGGGACATATAATATTTGTCAAATTTAACAGAAGTTTTTCAACTGTGTAGAAAGAATACATTTGCGTAAAAAGTAGTTCTGCGGACACACAAGATATTAATATACATTTGATAGGATGAAAATTTCATTATTATAAAACCATTATAAAATATCCATCAAATTTTGGCAGGGCTGTTATTTTTCGAGAGAGAAAAATAATTAATCGACAGCTCAAGATTTACAAAATAACAACTTCCGTCTTTTATCCGTGATTTAACAATGAAACCTGTATTACGACGAATGATCGATGAGGTGATGCTACGCGGACAGATGCCAGCCGGTGCGCTAAAGATCCCATCGCCGACGTACAGCTTCCTTCTTCGGTAGTTGAAGGTGCGACCTCGCCTCTGTAATGCGCGACACGCGAATTTCTCTTCCCAATTCGAGTAGACGGATTCCGCGAAGGTACTGCCGGTGCTTTCTTGAAGGGAAATGCTGGTCACGGTTACCAAAGAGAAGCCGTCATCGTCCACGTCCCGGCGCGTCGACTCGTCTAATTTTCTGCACGAATTTATTTATTTTTTTCCCCTAAGATAACATTTTCTACTCGCTTAACATTTGTAGCGGGACCAAATATAGACTGTCCTTTTACATAATTAATCGTTTTGAGTGAGAGATTGAAATGTTTGTAATTTTTTTCATAAGAAAAATATGTGCGCATAAATATAGCAAAGTTAGCATTAGTAATTAAAATATGAAACGTTGTGTAAATTGGAGTCGCAAAATTTATCGATGGATCATGACGCAAAAAGCACGAGTCATCTTATGATCATTGAGAAAAGCCTTAATCACATTCGTACTCTTCATTATATTGCAAAACTTGATTGCTGTTGACAACAACATCGTGACTCGCCTGACACGGTGTTGCGTGCTCCAGATTTCAATTTGTCGCGATAATCTTTCGACCTTGGCTTGCAAAATGATAATCGATACCGATCAATAAACGTTTGTTCTGTATTTCGTTCGAAGCATCGTAATATTTCTAACTACGACTGATAGGCTGAAAAAAAAAATAAAACGCCAGGAAGAGAATTTGACTGACGGATGTGTCACAAATTTCTTTTGTTTCTTACATTTTCAATCGATTCGTAAAGATCGATCCCCAGATTTACTTCGACAATTCACGACTATCGAAGTATCAAATTTTCAAGGACGCCTATGAAACTGTACAATTCTCCACTCGAAACTGTCATCCGTTCTCCGACGAGGATCCCATATTCCTATTTTTTTGTATTCTAATTTAAAAATTTCAAGTAAAATAACTCGTGAATCTCAGCAATTTTATCATCTATTTGATATTTTGGAATATAATCAGATTCATCGAAATGTCGGCCAAAATCAGTGAGTAACCTGTTTATATTTTATTTCAAAGAATACAAATAATGCAAATAAAAGGATAAATAATCCAAAACAGAGAAAGAAAAAATATAAGTGCTGAAGAGTTCAGTTGAGCATTTAATTAATAAAACTAGCACTTTTCAAATAGATAAAACTCTTGATTCGCCTTTGGCGAACGTCGCATCAGAGATCGAGGAACGTCGATGCGACTTGATCGGCCGCCACAGAGACCTTCGGGACAAGATCACTACGATGGAACGATCTATTCCGGCCTTGATGGCTTACAATCTGTGCATAGCCGAGGACCATCATCGAGATATGCCGTGCGAAAAAGTGCGCGAGATCGTGAATAAATTATCGCCGCAGCCGGATCCTGCCGATAAACTTCTCGCCGAATTGAAGAGCACAGTCGACGACCTTCATAAGGAAACGTCACAATTGCATGTACGGCAATGATTGACACATTCGACGATAAGAATTCTGGGTAAATCTTGCCAGTGTGCTTTTTTTAACGCGATAACGATTTTTTAACGCGAATGATTTTTGTTAACGCGTTATCGCGTCGAACAAAAAGGGCGACGTTTATGAAAACATCATAAAATTAAGATGGACCGTGAAGAAATCAATTTTATAAAATACATGCAACTGCTACGAATCTGTACTACAATTTTACAATTACGCTCTCTTGTTATTTATACGATTATTACACAATTGAAAAATTTGTGTTAAATTTAACAGATATCACATGTCCTAAATCACGGTTCACAGAAATTTTTGTGTTAATTTAACATAATATGGATATGTTAAATGGAGACACAAATACTGTGTTAATATTTCAACACAAAATAAATACAAAACTTCAAGTAATTTAAAATAAATTTTGTGGAAAATTAACAGTTTTAATGTAAAAATTAAATCAGAATATGTTAATTTTAAATTTTATCATCCCCGCTTATATTATAAAATAAAAAAATCAACATTTTTTCTATAAATTTTAATAGATGAATCTTATCACTAATGAAACAGAACATATTTATTGTGTAAAATTAAAAATAGATGTACATTGTGTTATTTTTACATCTTTTTCATTGTTTTAATAATTTAACATTTAAGTTCAATTAACACAACAATTTTAACATAATCCGTTTTTAACATGAAGACAAATTTTTCTACTGTATATTATATAGGATAAGATCATAGACGCAGATGTGAAATTGGAAGAAACTGGCATGGAATTGGAATCCTTGGAGCTGGCTAACAAGGAGATGGAAGAGAGACTGGTAAAATTACGAGATGAAGTGACCAAGTACACTACACCCAGCCTACACTCCATTCATTCCGATGATCTGATATGCTTGAGAAAAATTCGTCAACTCGCCGAAGAGGAATTGAAGTTGAAGAACTGCATCAAGGGGCTCGAGAACAAGGAAATGACTTATAGACGACAGATGAGCAAACTACTATCCTGCAAGAAGCTTCAACGTCGAAAGACGACGGAAACAGGGAAGAATAGTAGACTGTGGTCTCCGCTGAAAAATCACGAGCACGATGCGTATGTGACAAAGAGAAAATATATTCCCAAAGATAAAGGACGAGTGAGTAGAAGAAATGTATGTGTGTCACATAAGATAGATTCTCTTCTACAATTTTATGCGTTTCTTCCGATTTAGAAGACTTGTTGCTCGTGTGCGACATCAGGGGTGTTGACCGGTTACGAGAAAACGTTGAAAGAATCGTTTAAAGGACACCAAAAATTATACCCTTCGTGCTGCATTGCGCTAGACAATCGTATAATCAAACCTCATGGTTATAAAGTATGTTGCAAATCTTGTCAACAAATCTCATTCAAATCCAAATCTCCTTACGAATCGGCGAATGCTTCTTGCGAATCTCTATACAGTATCACCTCGAAGATAAGTACGTATTCGCCTTTTGATTTATTCTCTATATCGCATAAATTTTCCTGGAATATTTTACATATAAAATTAATAATTAATAAATATATAAATATAATTAATAAAAACAGAAATTTTTGAATATTCTCTTCTTCACGTTAAAATTAATAAATGCAAAGGTATACGTACATTAAAAATTTCAGATATACGATCGCTCAAACGATTAACACAATCTTCTGTATCGTGTGAACTCGGTAAGACATGCAACGAGTGCAAGACTCCTGCTGCATGCAAACAAATTAATACTTGCAAATGTGAAGAAAAGTGCATACGTGAATCATCGACTGCACCCTGTGATGATTGTACTGTGCCGTCGTTGGAGAAGACTCGTCGATCAGTGACTTTGCTATGTTCGGAATCGGAAGTAGACAGCGATAGCGACGATGTATTTTGCGAATGTTGCACTTGCGGTTGCGACGATTTATCGATATGATTAATATCAGCAAAAATTTATCGATATAAATATCTCAACAGTTAAATATCAATCATTTAATAAAACATGTACAGTATATAAAGTCATTTTATGTTGTGAAAATATTTTTATTTTAAGATACAATTTTACAAATTTTGTAATTAATTCAGAAAAAACTTTCATATTTTTGCAAAATAACGATGTTATTTTGCAATTTTTAATATAAAATTATAAAATTTATTAAATATATATATGAAAAATAATATATTATAAACATGGTGCACACAAAGCAATTGATAGAGCACTAACAATAAAAAAAAATATATTTTAATGTAACAAATTTAATGAAATACATATAGATATATCATATCGACTTCTAATTTTTAATAATAATAATACATGAATTTTAAATTCTCTTTTGGTTACATGTTCCTTGCTCACTTACTATAAAAATTAATCTCGAACATATACAATATAGAAAATAATTTTAAATTCTAATTTTTAATCTTGCTCAACTTAAACTAGGCTGGAATGATTGGACTGATGGATTGGCGCTGAAAAGAAAAAATATTAATATATAGCGCAATTTGAAATACATAGAAGTACTAATTCTAATTGATATATTCTATATATGCCCCCATATTACGATCTAGAGATATGAAATATCTTCCTCTAATAATGATAAACAAATAGTAATGAGATCTTACCCCAGTAATGGACAAACTCGTCCATTGCAATCAAAGCTGTCAATATATGCAATATCATCAGGTGCAAGTTTAAAGTCGAATATCTCACTGTTTTGAGCAAGTCGTGACTTGTTGACTGATTTAGGAATTACAATATGGCCACGATCCAACTGCAAAAATAATTATTAAAATTAAATTTTATATTAACATATCAATAATATATAGATTTTAAAATACAACTTAAAAGTTTGCAATTATATTTAATATATTGTGATTTATGAGAAAATGTAGCATACTTGATAACGTAGAAGTATTTGCGCAGGTGTCTTATTGTACTTCTGTCCAAGCTCAATTAATTTCTTATCTGCCAGCAATATTGGGTCATCTGGTTTGGCCCATGGTCTGTCTGGTGATCCGAGTGGACTGTATGCAGTAATGAGAATGCCCTTTTCTTTGCAGAAATCTGACAATTTCTTCTGTGTTAAGTATGGATGACATTCAATCTATAATATAAAAGTATAATAATTAAGATATCCATAATGAAAATAACTCTAGAAAATTTCGTTGATTATATTATGATTATGATAAAATTATTATATAAATTTATATAAATTTTATATATATATATATATATATTATATAATTTTATAAATTAAAAAACAAAATCTCGTTAACATGCATTAGATCAAACTTTCACTTAAAGATAATCTTATTTTAAAAATTCAATATAATAATGCAATTATATTAAATTATATTGAATTGAGAATTAATCTCTTTCAGTTTCCTTCAATTGTTATCTTTAATTTACCTGATTTGTAACGGGTTTAACTGATGCATTCTTAAGTAATCTGGTAATTTGTTCAGAATTGAAATTACTAATTCCAATGTTTTTCGTCAGGCCTTTAGCTAACACTGCTTCCATAGCCTTCCAAGTATCCACATAATCTACATCGCTCAAGATAATGGTACCATCAGAAGCTGTAGGAAAATCAGGTCCTCCTTCTTTATATCCGACTGGCCAGTGGATTAAATAAAGATCTATGTAATCAAGATCCAAATTAGCTAGAGATTTCTTGATGGCTGGTTCAACTAGCTCGGGTTTATGGTAAGTATTCCATAGTTTAGTGGTAATAAACAGATCTTCTCTCTTCACGACACCCTCTGCTATTTTTTCTCGAATAGCAAGGCCAACTTCCTTCTCATTGCCATAAACAAGAGCGCAGTCAATATGTCTATAGCCGATGTCAATAGCATCTTTTACAGCTTGGGTAACTTCACCTGGTTTTGACTGAAATAAAATTGAGTCAAATTAAAATAAAGTTTTTGATAATCTTGAAATTTTTTTCTTAAGAAAGATTTCTATGAGATGAGAATATTTAATTTTACTTTTGTGTTAGAGTAAGTAAAGATAATAAGATTTTTGTTATAATTAAGAAAATTAATTCGCATTTAGGATTTCATGCATATATATTATTGTAAAATATAAATTTTATCATTCATTTTGAAATTATATTACTTTAATAATACATATTATAACTCATGAACATTGCAATTGTTGTTATTCAAATTTCAAGGGAATGATGCGATCAATTATATAATTATGTAGTAGGTAGATTGTGCGTAACATATTTGCACTTTTGTATTTTCTTCAATAAAAATGTAGTAGCATAATAACCAGTGCAAAAATAACAAGCCGTATCTTATATCATATTGGCAAGTTCCTACAAATCTATATTTACATACTTCCTTGTTTCTTATCTCTTTTAATGGAAAACAGATCTAACTCGTGAATATTGATGTAAAGAGCTATCGCTTCAAATAAAAATAATAAATTCCAATTGTATAAACTCTTTCTGTGTGTGTAGATTATTTTTCACGAAAGAATCTTAGAAAATTCGATCCAATGATAAAATCATCGGGCTATGCCGGCATCATCAGACATCAAAAGATATCCGGCTCGCTAGGACATAACACGAGATGAAAAGGGAGAAATACTTGCCTTCCAAGTGCCCAAGCCGAAGGCTGGTACCTCGTTGCCGTTGTAGAACTTTAACTTGGGTGCGTTCAAGGCCATTTTACACAGATATCACGCACTGGTCTTCGCAAAAAACAGTTTAAATGAATCTTAAGAGCTCTCACGCAGACACAACCGATCCCGAACGATGCTGCGCAGTGATTGCGGTCTCTTTTATAGTATAAGCGTCCCCACCAAAAACCAGCTCACAAACAAGACCGGTCTTTACAAAGATGTCTCTGTGTATGATACGACACGTCCGCAAATATTTCCCAAATCAAAATTATACTCATTTCCGTGAAATAGGTCGAAATTTAAATTCTTAATAAAATTATTCTTTTATATATAATGTTCAAAGTTTATTAAAAACAAATAAATATAATTTATTTAATTATTTAATTATATTAAAAACAAAAAATATATTTATTTGTTTTAATAAATTGCCCTTTAATTTTCGCAATTGAAACATATATATATATATATATATATATATTATATTATAATGTATATATATCAATATATCTATATCATTTTTATAAAAAAATGTAACATCTCAGCAGTTTTGACATCTTTTATATACTCTTTATATAGATATCTTATATCTATTATTGCGATCATGTAGGTTTTGCGTAAGATATCATTGATACGCACATTCACGCAATGATTAACATTAATCAAACACAAGCTAATTCGCATGACTTTTTGTTTGTAGTGGCATAGATTTTAAAAATCGCAATCCTGCAAAGAAAAACAATCATTCGGAAATATATTTGCTTAATCGACCCTTGCACCTTTTCACAGACTCAGTTTCATTAAATTGTAATTGACTAGTATATGGTATAACTAAGGGTCGAGCAAGTATCTAAGTACCGAGCGCCGTGAAAACATATGTTCTTCGAAAGAGGATACTACTATGATAATTATCTATGGTGTATTACAACTGGTATCCTGTTACTTTCTATCTTAACTTTGATAAATTATAACGTTATCTGACTATAAATTTTGAAAAATACTATTAAAATTAATTCACATCTTCTAAATTAATAATATTTAATTATCTCTTTCGGGTATTATATATTTTATTTAAACTAGGTTAATGGGAAGAAGAATAAAGACTATATATTAAAGCTAATTTGAAAATTTTTTGAATTATAAAATATATAATTTATAAAATATATATTTAAAATGTTAAAATATAATTAAGAAATATATATGTACTTATTCGATAAAGCTTTTTTTAATTTTATTCTTATGGATAATCCTTTTTATGGAATAAGATCTGTCTCTTTTTCATATTGGTTTAAAATGGAATGTTGAAAGGATAATACTTGAAATGCTTAACTCTGAAACATAAAAATAAAAAAGTTATTATATATACAGTTATATTCAGAAACAAAAAAGTATTAAACTGCGAACATTTTATAATAAGTCTCATACAGATACAAGTGTTCAGATTTTTTATGCTTACTATTTTTAAATATGTAATTTTTCAAAAATAAAAATGCTATTTAATTGAAATATTAATTAAAAATTTGAACTTGAATAAATTGATCAAAGTACTCGCATTCATGGAAAGAGATAAATAATATAAATCATCTTACAATCTAATACATTATAATAATAATAATATTTACATAGCAAAGCCTGCTACTCTGTCTCCAGTGCCGAGTTTTCGGATAGCATTCATTTCGTCGGATGTCAGTGTAAAATCAAAAATTCCATATTATCTTTAATTCGACTTTTAGTTACAGATTTCGGTATCGGTGCAACTCCGTGTTGAAACTATAAAAATAATAAAATATATATACATTCAAAATTTGTCAATTAACGCAAAACATATGTTTTATCAATTTTTTTATTACATACCACATATCGAAGCGCTACTTGTGCCGGAGTCTTATTGTATTTTTTTGCAATGTTCACCACCACAGGACTATCTAATTTGTTTCCAATACCTGATGAATTTCCGGGTTGTCCCAAAGGAGAATAACCAGTTACCGTAATATTGTGTTTCTTGCAAAACTCTACTAATTTCTCTTGATTTACGTTTATATTAATTTCAATCTATGACCAAAATTTTTACATTAAAATTAAATCTTACAGCATTATAAAATATGTAAAATATTTATATATAGGTAATAAATATTAATATAATATATTTTAATGTAATATATATTTGGTATATTTTCTCTATAGTATAACACAGTAGTGTTAAAGCTTCTAAAACATATTTTAGATGTTTCTAAAATATGTTGCAATAATAATATTATATGTGCGCAATAATAAGATATACAGATATACATATGTATAAGAATTGAAAAGATGATTTATCAAAAAAAATATAAAGATAAAATTGTACCACAGTTCAAGTTGGATTATTCGCACACTATTACTTTTGACATATTTCATTGTTAAAAAAGATGAAAGGTTCAATAATTTTTGTAGGTTTTTTTAAGTGATTATCGAAATTAACATTTTCTTTACGTAATTAGAATTTTTATTAGAAAATATATTTAACGCATACCTGATTATTAACCGGCGGAATTATAGCTGATTCAAGTAGACGGGTTATCTGTTCAGAATTAAAATTACTGATCCCAATGCTGCGAGTTAATCCTTGGCGAACGCATTCTTCCATTCCTCTCCATGTTTCCAAATAATCGACATCTGATTCAATAAATTTTCCATTTTTATCAGTAGGTAGTAAATCATCTCCTTCCTGAAAAAAACATATAGTATCTCTTAGATGAATAAGGGATAAGACACATATGCTAAAAAACTGCGTGCTCCGCTTTACATAACTTGTTAGAATTTGCACATTTTTTCAAATTTTAATTTTTATTTCAACATTTTTTCTTTAAATTTAAATAATTATGGAACGATTTTCACGTCTCAGATTTAAATGACTATTATTTGACTTTTAAAACAGCTTTGTAGTCAGAAAGTTTAAGTGAAATATGTACATTTCTATTTGATTTTCATTTTTTATATCAATATTATATTTACCTTGAAAGCAAATGGCCAATGAACTAAATAGAGATCTATATAATCTAAACCAAGTTTGGCCAATGATTTTTTGCATTCCGGAACAACAAGCTCTTCTTTGTGATATGTATTCCACAGCTGGGAAAGGAATAAAATAATAAAAATGTTAATTAAATTTACAAAGAAAAATACTTTAATTAATTTAAATGTTTACATTTACTGAAATTGAAAAAAAAACGATTTTAGTTTATAGAATTGTAGATATATAGTAAAATATTAAAGATTTTAAATAAAAGTGTACAAATATTTAATTGTGCATTGATCTTACCTTTGTAGTAATAAATAGCTCTTCTCTGGTTACAGTACCATCGTCGATTTTTTCACGAATAGCTTCCCCGATCTCTTGTTCATTGGCATAAAAAGCAGCCGTATCAATATGTCGATATCCAAGATCTATTGCTTCTTTAATAGCTCTTGCTGCCTCTCTATTTTGGGACTATTTGTTTAAAAAAAAAAGAAAATATAACTATATAATATTTTAATCGACAACAAAATTTCGAAAAGACTTGTTTCCTTTAATTTATTAATTTATTCGTACGAAGGGTTTTATCTCAATAGTTTTCATTAATAATTTCATTATACATTTACTTAAATTTCAAACACAATGACGTTGTTTTTGTAACATAACTCTTACATACAATCTTCTATCACTGTCATATGCACAATAATTTACAAAAGACTTACTTTGTAAGTTCCAAGACCCAACATCGGCATTTTATATCCATTGGAGAACATGACTGTCGGAATTTCAGCCATTATGATCAACAGTAGAAATAATCTGAAATAGAGGAAGAATAAAATTCTTATTGTTAGTGAAAGTAAGCACTACGAGACAAAGATTCTCCTACTACATCTACAAAATAACTAAACGCTATTAAGTATGAAACACTTGATATCGTAGATATGTAAATTGTAGTCAATTATTAATTTTTATTTATTTATTTATAAAGGAACACAAGGTCTTTTAATGAATATTTTAATTATTTAATTATTAATTTGTCAGATTTATTACACACCGTGACACACTTCTCCGGTTATCAAATACAGTCTTTTCGCAAATATTCGATTACTGATCGCATGCGATCACACGAATATACATGTGTCGATGACTTTCTGACTCTAACATAATATCCTATCTCTACCTAAGCCTAAGTAGTTCGTCACTTTTTCACTGTTTTGATTCCTCGAAACTTCGACTTTCTTTAACCGTCCTTTTATCTTCGGTAACAATTAAAACAAAATATCAAAGAAAATACAATCAAATATTTATAAACATGAAGATTATCTCAACATTTAAAAAATATTCTATTTGCCTATTTATTTAAATAAAAATTTTCTCGGGTTTTCTGTGGTATTTATTAGCGCCACAGAATAATGAAATAATGATATTAACAATTAATTCTTCTTTCGCTTATAATTAAATATTTTAAAACCTTTTTTTCATTGATAAGAAAATTATTATAATTAGTTACGTAAATTATATTAAATTATTAATTTAAAAAAAATATAATTAAGGGAGCTACTTTTATTAAACAAATGTTTTAAACAATTTAAACTAATAGTTCGCGAAAAAGAAAAATGTGACAAAGATATTTAGAAGAAAGAAGATTAGTCTTATAAACGACACGAATAAATCTTATTTTAATAATATTAAGAACTTTTAGCATTAATCGACATTTTTCAGAAATTGGAAAAATGATTACAAAAAAATACACTTAATAATAATAATAATAATGTACTATTATTACGCTGTACTATTATTACATTAGAAATATAATTATTCTTTACGATAATTTACATTTCGCTAGGTGTGTCTACGATAAGACCAATAAAGATTATATTTACCGGCACAATATAGAAACACACCTACTTTTAATAAAACTGTATATGATTCTACGTTGTAGGTTGCAGCTAAACTGTTTCTCATAATACATTCACATATGCTATTTATAGGTAGCTATTACATAATCAGAACGTACCACCTCCATCCATTCTGTTTTCTATCAATTACATGATTAAGTAAATCAAGAAAAAATTATATTAAAATGTGTGATAACGCTATATTACTTGTTTCTTTTTAACTTTTCCAATGATTAGCTATAAATAATAGATATACAATATATACACATACATATATGTAGTTTCAGATTAGATAATGCCGCATTACAAATAGATACGTAATATTATGACATACAAGAATTTAGCAAATGGAAACATAAAATACTTTTTAACATCTTTTAAAATTTTTATTTAAATAAATAAGCAAATAGAATATTTTTTAAATGTTGAGATAATCTTCATGTTTATAAATATTTGATTGTATTTTCTTTGATATATAAACCCTTTGTCATGTTTCAATTTTTCGAAAATATTTACAACATCAGCAAGAGAGATTTTAATTTTCTCGAATCCAAATGTATTATGCTTGTAATATAAATTACGATATTGCAAATCACGCTTCTATATTAAATATATATATATCTCAATGATATGTGCGTACATCAAATTTTATCTAGACTGATTGCGATTATACAATATTTGAAGAGGCATTCACTATATGTACATAAAAGCCGAGTATTCGGAGATATTAGATTTATCATGAAAAATAAGACCAATGTATCAAATATAAAGATTGCACGTAACCGATTCAAGGTTTTCCACCAAATGCATCCATATATATTATGCAATATATTCCATAAACTTAATCGATTACATTCATATGTTTAATGAAGATGGAGATTCAGATATAAAACAAAATGCGAATGTATTTTATACGTAGTGATAGAGATTTCTCTAATTCTTATTCTTTACGATTCTCCTTGTAATCTTAAAAAGAAAGAGAGAAAAGGAAATTTTGTCAATTTTTTTCATGTATAATATAAGCACAATAGAAATATCGATATCAAACCTCGATAGCATCACAGTTTGTTCGACGATCCCTTCGAATTATTTAAAAATAATATAATTTCAAATAGAAAAAAATGTATACAGCTATTTGAATATTTGGAGAGAAAAAAAGTATTTTTTAAAAATATTATGTGAACAAAAGCAGAAAAATTATTATATAAAAAGCAAAATACATGAAAAAAAATTAAATAGAGATTTCTTTAAAATGTGTAATGTTCAATTAAAATGTGTAATTTTCGATTACAAAAATTCACAATTTGATCTATCATAAGCTATGTAAAGCAATTGCAATTTTAACGAATTAAATGTTATCTCTTATTTAAAGTTTTTATAAAGAGAAGATTTGTCCATAAATTATACAAAATAATTATACTTATTTCTATCTATCACCTATCAAGTTCTAATATGTATTCCAGTACATATTGTCCAAGATAAACGGAGTTTTTATTTTAAAAAATTAATGTTTTTTGCGAAAATTAATTATACGGATAATAGGGTGACTAGCAGTGATACAGTATCAGAAAGTACTTCCGTTATATCTTATGCCAAGTCATGTAATATGGTAAAACGTAGCCTATCTGTTTAATTTGAGAGATTAGAGATTATCCAAATTGAAATAAAAATTCAACTCTAAAAAATTGTGTTATGTAATTATCCTTATTATATTTAATTATAATTAAATATAATTAGACCATATATAAATTCGAAAAATGTTATGTTAATTTTTCTTTTTTCTTTAGACATCAAATAATGAATATATAATGTACACTCTAAGTTACTGAAATAATGAATAATGTATCAATCAAACGACAATGTTCTTACGTCTATAAGTATGTCTAATATTGTAATAATATGTCTATAATATTTTTTGAAACCCAAATTTTTATTTAGACAATTTAAATTTTGAAAAATAAATCGATAATCATGTAATTTAAAAGATACATTTTACAATTCTTTCCAATATTTTTTTACTAAAATCTGAATACTGCAATCGACATAAAATAATACACACGCTTTAAAAGTATGCATAAATAACGTTACAAAATTTGTAAAAAATATATATTATATATTATAAAAATAAAATACATTTATTGCATACAACAATGCAAAAACTACAATTTTTTATAGTATAGTGTACGAAGATCCAAAATATGCAAAATATGTAACTTACATATTACTTTCAGTTATAATTTATCTTAATTTTTTCGTCATTTATTTGTCAATATATAATGATCCTATACGAAGCTAATCACAAAAATTATTTATATGTATAACATCGTAGTTTTCCTGCATTTGAGGTGTCAAATAAAAAAAATTAAAATAACTTTCTGAATTATATTGAGATATAAACCTCGAGCATACAATTACAAGAAATTTTTGTATTTATTATTGTATTACTGATTATTCTACAGTAGTTAATTTCTTTTTACTATTTTTATTTTGATTTTTCACTTTTTTCGACTCTTCCACTTTATCTTCAAGATCTACTCCGATCCTTGCACGAACTCCTGGTCCCCAATTTACAGTAGGATTTTGTTGAAATCGTGACAAATGTTTTTGTCGAGAAATTGGATTTGCTAAGGGGTGTTCTGCGAAAGAAATGACACTCGTAGACGATGCATTAAGTATATGCGCAGCCGGACTATTTGTCAGCTTTTCCCGTTGGCAGGATGCTCCTTTTCCCAAGCACGCACAATATCCCATATCACGTCATTTGGTGCGTCTGTTTTAATAGAGGTTTTACTCGCATGAGAGTACGATACTTTATATCCTGCGTTTAATAATGCTGATCTAAATTTCAATATTGATGGAACATTACACTTAACTATGCACATCAAGCGATCCAGATTATAATATAGCGGAATGTCCAATTCCTCGTGTATCATGGTCAAGACACCTTCCATTCTTTTGGATGTGCCTAATTCTATATTACTTAAATTGCATAACAATCGTGATACAAATCCTTGATCATGTAAAGGACCTAACCATATTGGACCTGCTATGTGTTGCCGATACTGACAATGTTTGCATAGTTTATCTACTGAAGGTGCATTTGATAATTTATAACTGTTGGAGGATCTTTTTGTTGCTAATGGTTGAAAGTTCATACTTTCACATCCGTTGCATCGATATAGCATTCCTATTTTAGTTGAGTTTTCTTTACATTTACTATGGCCTGTGAAGACTTTGACGAATACTCTTATATAAAAATCACTACTTATAGATAATAATGGTACTATGTATCGCCCATATCGTCCTGCATAAGATGCAATGCATTGGAGTAATATCCGTAATGCTATTTCATGACAAGACTTTGACTTGATAGATATCGCTCCATATTTGTAATAACAAGTTTCCGGAGTATTGCCAGCTAGTACAGCCATATCAGTAGCAGTGACCAAAAGTATACCACCATCGGCTACACACTGCACCGCTCCATCTAGGTATATTGAAGGACAGCCATACGGATCTAAATCAACTGCATCAAAACGATTTTGTCTACGTTCATACATCAACAATGTCGCATCCGCATGATGCGGAGTTACCAAATTTTCAACTCCATTATGCAAAACATTTTGTCTGATGCTGTCCACTGCCTTTGAAGAATATCGTTGGCTATAATTTGTTGGACATCTTCCACTTCCTTGGCATATCGTATGCTACGCAAACCTGTTGCAGATAAAGCCTCCAATATAGTGATTCCCTTCTGACTCTCTAAATTTATCTCCATGTCGCATAATGCATTAGTTTTATTGTCTTTCTTCAAATTGGTTTTCTGTAGCTTTCATTACGTCTGTCCTTGCGCAAATATTGTTAATACTGCTACACTAAGATCTCTATTAAACTCTTGAACAGGATTATAAAAGACTTCTTTATTCGTAACTACTATTTGAGCTTTCCCTTCGTTTATAACAGGAAAATTTTCATCAAGTTTTTGTTTCTTCGTGCAATCCTCCTGAGCCATATTTGTCTTGTATATTAATTCTGAAATAACATTAATATATTATATATGTTAGACCTATTATTATAGTATATTATCATAATAAACAATTTACTTATTTTCATAAAGTTATTAAAGCACTTACAATTTGAATTGATCTGTACTTTTAAATACAAAATTGTACTGTTTTCTTAAATGCTAAAATATTTTCTTGCAATAATCGATTAATGTACATATAGTTTTCTTTTCTCACAAATTCAAATGTTTTCAATCTTTATACATGTGTTGTATTTCTCATCTTCGACATTGCTGGACTTACGATTCATACACTAACGTTTTGTCGGCAAATTTTGTAACTAGGAAGAGAAATTTTAAGTCGAAACTACAGATGGTAAACGTTTAAACTGTCGATAAAAATGTCATCGATATGTATTTATATTGATATTGATAGAAAATCTGTATTTCATTTAAATGTTTCTTACGTATATAACACTATTATATCAATAAATTAGATCATGATAAAGATACATGCATATATATAAAAAAAAGTATTATTCCAACATTTATTCATGATATTCGTACACAAACAATCTCTTACTCCTCTATTGTATTCTTATATCTATAATTCAAACGATACTGCGTGTCGATCTGTGTGTTCTGTTCTACTTCAATTCTTACAATAAGCTAGAATAAATACAACATCTTAAACTAGAGATCTATTATGAAATTATTTAAAAAATTCTGATATAAAGAAACACATTTTTTTTCTCTGTCTTTGAGCTATTATAGATCTTTTTTATCGCATCATCATACAATGCAAAGTAAAAAATAATAATCTTTTCCAATTTTATTCTAATGTGGAAATTTCATAGAACTAATTTACTCAAATTTAAAAATTTTTGAGTCAAAAATTTTAGATATTAATGAAATACCTATAAGATCAACATAACAAAAAAACGGAATTACTTTATATTAAAATCTTTTCCAAATAGTTCCATAATAGTCTGCTCTCAAAATAAAAGTTAACTTCACACGCATATATAATTTCTTCACAAACTCAGCTTTAATTTCGGCGAATCATTCCATAAAACCAAATACAAAAGGTATGTTTTTAATGTATGAATGTATTTGCTGGAGTATAAATCAACGATTTAAAAAATATATTTTAAACCAAGCAAAAATAAAAATAATAAAACACCTTTACTTGAAAATAAGTTTTTTTACATGAAAAATCATGAAGAACGTTAATTCATTACATACGCATACAAACACGCACACACTCATACACACACATACGTACGCACATATATAATAAACGATAAAAGTGTTACTAAATTTATTCTTTATACTACTATTGTTATCAACTATTACTATCAACTTCAGTCATAAAGTAATTCTATTTATTCCATATATTATCATAAAAATGGTTTAAGAAACTTTATGAATAGAAATATGCATATTAACTTTTGGCGTATTCTGACAATCATTTGTATTACAAATGATTAAATCTTATCTTTAAACACAAAAACAATTTTTTCAAAGAATATTGTTTTTGACGTCAGTAAATATTTCTATATTATAAAAAACAAATTGATATTTGTATTTATATATAAGACTGCACAATTATAAAAGTTTCATTTAATTTGCATCTCACATAAGGCAATTTCAAATAATAAAAATTTTAAATGTACGTCAATTTCTAGAATACTTGGGCTATTATTTTCTATTGATATCTATATTGAAAATGAATTCTCACTAGTTGATAAATTGTCTTTTTTTTTATAGAAAACCATTTTTTTATACATCAGCAAATACTATTCCTCTACATCATCGAGAAAAATATCAACATTTTCTAGTTTTTAGAGTTCAGATTATTCTAAACATCATAATATCAGATACTCGCACCTTTCACGCTACGTCTTTTTCTTGCAACGGTTTCTTACAAACAGCACCAATATCCTCTTCGTCTTCTGTCTTGCGTTTTTTTCTTACCAAATGCGAAATATCGCTAGCAGGTTTAGACGCATTACTACCACTTCCGGAAGCTTCGCTCGCTTCACCATCATTAGCAGAGCATCCATTCAACCTCTCTTCTTTAATCTCCTTAATTAAATCAGCTTCTGTTTTCATATCTTTGATATCCGCGATTTTCTCCTGAATTTCTGGAAGAAGTTCCTGTAGTTCCTTGATTTCTCCTTCGATAGTATAGAAGGGATCGTCGGATCGAGGTGGATCGTCCTGCACTGTCTTCAGATGCACAATCTTCGCCTCCAGCAGTGCGGACGCCTGGTTGAATTGCTCGACACTCACATCAAAATCATTTGCCATTGCATAAGTCAATCCTAGCTGATAGTGGATCTCGGCGATTGCACGATGATCGCGCGGAGTTATTTTTCCAGCAGATTCAAGCAAGCTTTGAAGTCAATCAATGCGCTCTCGTGGTTGCCACCTTCCATCGCCACCTCGCCCAAAAGACGATATGCCTCAGCCAGCAATTTCCAGCCGGTAGATCCGCGTTTTAGCAGTACCAGTTTTGCCAGTTCCAAGACTTCCCAAGCGATCTAAAAGAAAGAAAATTAAACATTAAACACAATTCAGTATCGACATTTAAATACTACCAATTTATTATATTAAATTCGCTATTTAAATTCAGAGGAAAAGATAGCAAATTCGATATTGCGATTTAAAAAATCAATCACCTGTAAATTATTCACGTCGTCCTCATTTTCCTTCTCAACATCTTCCTCTTCTGCCTCTCCGTCCTCATCCTCCTCTTTAATCGTATTACTACCAGAAGCTTCGCCATTGTACACAGGATCTCGACTACAACCAGGAGTCTCCTCCCTTTGTGTTTTTTCCTCGACTTTGATATCGACTGTTTTATCTTCCTCCGTCTTTTCATCCTTCTCACTCTTCGTGTCCTTTAAATCTTCATTCCCCGTTGATTCTAATTTATCATCTTTGTCATCCTTGTCTTCTTTATCATTCGACGTGCAAGGACTATTTTCCGTGCCGTTGTTGCTGCTCTCTGCGGTTCCCTCGTCGTTCTCCTCCTCCTCTTCTTCGGCCTGCTCGTCCTGACTAACTTCCTCGGAGCCGGGCACACCATCTCCCAAAACCCCAGCCTCCTCGCGCGCCAGACCCAGAAGGGCTCGTCCGTAAAGCAGATAGAGCTCGCCCATCTCGTCGCCCGTCTCCCCGTGTTCCTGGGCAAGAAGTTCGCAGGCCTGGGCTAGGACGACCACCGCCCGATTGTAATCGCGAACCAGGAGATGGCGTTTGCCCTGAGAGATCGCTGTCGCGGCGTCCTTGATCGGTACTTCTTCCGACAGATCTGCCATCTAAGAAAGACGGAAAAGTCCTCATATATATATATATATATATATATATACACAAAGAATTAGCACTTGTATGTTTGAGAATCGCAACAAGCGAGAAATTCGCATCCCAACGATGCACGAACAAAGTCGTATAGGTCAAGCCAATTGGCGATCAGTGAGAGAACATTGTTCTTCAATGTTGTACTTACAATTAGATGATTTTAAAATTAGCTGAAGATGATACGTAAATTCATCTTAGATAAAATAAAGATGATTTTGTTTTAAATATATTTAGATAAAATTATATGGCGATTCATCTAGATAACTTCCAGATAATATTATTTTTAAGATTATGTAAACACAGTTATAACAAAATTATAAAAGGAATATAAAAATATATTCATATACTTTTATTTATAAATTTTTATCGCTTACTGCTTAAATTTTGCAAATTAAGTATTTTTATGTTCTATGACTGTAAACCAAATTATCTCTGAACATTATTCTAGATCATTTCTAGCTGAAGATAACACCTTTCATTTAAGATGCGGATAATACATATTTTTATTATCTATATAAAAATAAGTTGACGCCCAAATTTCATCTAGATAATCATCTATACATATAATTTTATTTACATAACAGCAAACACTGTTGTTGACATAAGCATATATAAACGCTATAAATGGGCGGTATTAAGTCCTTATTGAAGTAGACATTGACATTTCTGCAAAATATCTGATCAAAGTCATAGTTTTTGCTATAACTTTTTTTCTTAGCAAAAAATTGTAGAGTAATATTTTTTTCAACATATTTACAGGAGTTTCAGCGTCAACATATTTATTAATACTTTAACTGAATAATTCTAAGAGTCTTTTCTCTTCTGCCTCTCCGTCCTCACCCTCAAAGAAACAAATGAGACGAATTCTTTATTAACAAAGGATCCTACCTTAAAAAAGAATATAATCTGAATGAGCAATTCGAGAATTTAAATTCATTTATCTACAAATTTAATTAATAAAAACCATGCGCATAATAATCCACAATAATAATATCTAAATAAAGCAATTTTCTCTCTCTCTCTCTTTCTCTTGAATTGATTCACCAAGACAGAAATCTCAGTTTGATTGTTCGCAAGACGCATAAACGTCGGCGTGTAGGTGATAAGGCGGGTGATATCCATCCATGGGGGTGGGAAAGAACGGACGAGGGTGGTTTTCCGCGTCGGTCGATTCGACGCGGAGGGACGAGCCAGACGAGGGCGTCCGCGTCGCGAGGATGTCCAGAGGGAGAGATAGAGAAAGGGAGAACGAGGAGTTCCAAGGGCGTACGTCGGCCAGTTACGAGTCGGGGGACGCGAGCGACGCTTGCAGGCGTCGCCCTGGGCGCCGGTCTCCGAGAACAGATGGAACCGAGCCGCGTACCCCGGGTCCCGGTCCGCGCCTCGTCTTCCTCTTCGCCACCCTCGTGTTGACCTTCGCAGGTAAAGAGATACCTCTCGCGTTCCGCGAAAAAAGAAACTTGACGTCCATCTTAAAAAATCCTCCCTTAGGATGCGTTACGAGAATGAATGAAGTCCTGGACATTTAAACAGAAATTCGTGATAGAAGAAAAATGAGTTACATATATCTTGATTGGAATTATAAGAAGCTCGATCTCTCTTGACATTTATCGCTTGACATTTCGTCCAAGAAGCGATAATTAAATATTTTCTATTAAAAAATATTTAACGAAAAAAGTGCAGTGAGAATAAAAATCTGGGTTTTAAATTGCGTAATATTCACGTTCATCCTTCCATAATTTGTAGCATAAATGCTAATGATAATTATGTGTGAACGTATAGTGAAACTACGTAGATTCTATCAAGTATATTTATTACAAACGAGAATTCTTTCTCGCAATAAATGTCAGACTGGTGCACAAGATTTATTATGTACTTACGAAAAGAAAAACTTAAAACTGTACAATTTTAAAGTGTATTATTAATTTTAATTGACTTGTCTCATCTAGAAAAAAATTTTGTAAAAAAATTTTTCAAGAACGAAACAACACGAAAAAGATTTTGCTCCGATCGAATAATTAATTTTTCTCTTCATTTCTCAGCGACGGGGCTTCTATGCGGTGCAATAATGTCAGATCATTGGGAAGAGATCGGCTGGGACAAAGAAATCCTAATTCACACAAACGTCAATCTCACGTGGTATCTGGACGGTCAGGTGGCAATGCTAAAGTCTTCCGTTTATCATCGAACTAATCGTATTACCAAAAGTTCGTCCTTTTTGGTCCCCATGCACGGCGGAATTTGGATTATGTGTGTTACATTGTCAGGTACAAGCTGTTACAATTCTAAAATTATATGTTCTGTAATCAATTTTATTTATTCACGAATGATTTTATCCCCCTTTAATAATTTTTTAAGAACAGTAAATGCGAAAAATGGAGATTGAGATTTTTCCTTTTTTTATCAATTATCTCTCTTATTGTTAGACATATGAAAAAATGTACACATTATTCTATTATTTATTTCATGAAAGTAATCTACGACTTATAGTTGTTTTCAGTGCTGACTACGATTTTAATTACTTGTAAGTGCTGTTATTGCATTATTGTGTCAAAAATATTTGAAATAATAAATAATGAACAAATTACTGAAAAATATTATTCGCGATTAAATATATTTTTATATTTTTCTTTGATCTTTTTATTTAAAATTCTCATATTGGTACCGTTCATATATATTTTTTTTTTCGTTTGTCGACAAATATAGAATTACCGATTGTATGAATTGGCAAACGGACAAAGATTAGGTCTAGGTTAATAGGATTGTGTCGTTTTGCTCAAGTCTACGGAAAAGACGAGAATCTCACGGTCACGCGATCGTATGGATGTGCTGTTCAAACTGTGTGATTCGGCGGTTCGATATCTCCGGCCAGAGTCAAGGTAGCATCTAAATATAGTCACGTATATGTGCAACATAAACATCATTTCTTCTAATAAAATTCTAACAAAGAATACTTGTCACATTTCTACAAAATAATATTAATTTTTTATTTCTGTTATATGTAAATGTATTTCTTTTTAATAATTTTAATAAATTTTTTCCTTAGTAGCAATAATGTCCTTAATAGTGATAGATAATAGTATAATAGATAATGTCAATCTTCAAAAAAAATCATAATGAACATTTCTCTAAATAATATACTTTTTCGTAAAAAAACAATTTATAACTGATGTACACGCTAATTGAGTTTTTATACATTTAAATTTATTCAAATTTACTGTCTTTTTGCAACTTTCTATGAAGCATTTATTCAGAAGACAAAATTTTTCACTTGTTTTTATAGTTGCTTAAAATTTTAAACTATAAATCAATATGTATTTTTATTTAAAAAAAATTCATAAATGCTATATAAATTAATGAACATTGTTGCAAGCATTCCATACATTAAAATTGATTAAAAATAAATAAAATATGGCATGATAAATCTCGAACATCCTGTATATCAATATCTAGACACGATTGCGGAAAAAGTGGCAACGATATAAAAAGAATGTAATCGATGTATCTTCTTTCATTTAATCGAATATGTGTAACCTTGTAGATATTATTCGAAGAATTTGGAGGTCTAATTGTTTCATTTAGTTATTTTTGTCAGAAAATTACCTTTATAGTACCTGAACACGCCAAGCACAGTGTCTAACACCACCCTTGCGCGATGAACTAACATTTATATCACGCAGCCAAGGTGTTAATGACAATACAATGTCAAAAATGTCATAAGACACTGGACCGTCTTATATAGCTTCTTCATAATTCACTTTTTGCTTGAAACGACACATAAATATGGTTTCCTTTCACTATGATTTTTTTTACTTTCCCAATTGAAAAATATATAAGATTATATATAATTAAAAAAATATATAAGATAATATAATTACGAATTTTCTCTGGAGAGAAAACGGTTTTGACACATTTTCTCATAGTGATATTTTTATTGAAGAATCTCAAAATTGTTTCCAACAATAAAAACATCATTGGAATAAATGCATAAACGCAGAAGAATTTTACATATTTTTTGAAGAATATAACATAAAACATATTAACATAAATAAATAAAAAATATTTAAATTTAAATATATTTTATCCATGAATTTAATTATCAAATATTTATAAGCTATATAAATTTTCATGTCAAATTTATCGGAAGTAAAAAAATTACCTTGCAGTAATTTTTTTTATCTTGTAAGAAAATGAGCAATTCTCAATAAGCAAAAATGTATCCATTATATTTAAATAAGAACAAAATATGCTTATTCTTTTAGAGGAAGAAATACAACTATTAGGTCAAGTGGGCTTCCCGCAAGAAAGATGCATCAATTACTTGACACCGAGTGAAGCGCATGAAGAAGTACGCGTAGCTTGGCAAAATCGTAAGTGAATACTAAACCACAAATTAAATTGAACCATACAGTGCAATATGCAATTGACTTTGTGTCTTATCATATGATAATGGATTATTTTAACATGATTGATCATGCATTCTGTATCAAAAATCATTTTGATACAGAAGTCCTCTTCTGCAATCAATCGGGAAATACATATAGAAATAACATTAATAAGAATAGAAAAAATTATCGCAAGCTTCACATTCTGTTTCAGGCATGCAGAATCTGAGTATCTCGTGCTCTTTAGTGTGCCTAATTATTCTAGGATGCGCCGCGCTTATAGGATTTTTCGGACTGTGCAGGCATCAGATATCAGCCGTGCTCGTGACGGGAGTAATGTACCTCCTCGCAGGTATAATTGTTTACATAATTTCGATAGATTAATGCTGCATCAAGATTTCAAGCAAATTTTGTTTCATTTTTTATCAAGACTCTCCTTTTGTCAAAACCCACCACTTAACATTACTTTGACTTCGACATAATTAAAGAAATATTTTATTAGACAAAAGACAGCATCAAAGAAGAGATAAATTATATATTTTAAAAAATATTAATATTTTATATTTGAAATTTTTAGATTAAAAAAATAAGATATGCTTCTGAACTTTTAATATTATCAAACTATCTACCGGGGATTAAACTATGGGATTATCACTAGGTTTCATTTCAGCAACATTCGCGTTGTTCACGCTGACGATTATTCATTTCAAGAGGGACCATGAAATTAAATCAGTAGTGGACAGAGGTCCCGAGGACGGCGTGATAGGCATGCCTGTTCCTCGTAGCGTCCTCAAAGCCAGGAGGTTTACTACCGCGTGGAGCATGGACCTGGGATGGGGAGGAGTCACCCTCTGTGCCCTCGCTTCAGTCGCCTGGATCCTCCTCAGTAAGATCATGCGCTTCAGCCCGATCGCTGCCATGATCGCGTAGCAGTGGGACGCCTTCGAGGTCTAAGGTCGTTTCTGATAACCACGATATTTCGATCCCTCTTCTGCGATTCTTTCAGAAATATTTCGATATTTTTCTAATCGACATGTATCTCACGGTGGTGCAAAAGATTTGTTCCTTTTCTGTAAATTTTTCAAGTTCTACTTATTTTGATTTTCTATAACACACATAGATAAATTTTCAAACAAAGTTTATTACTTAATTAAAAATAATTTATCTTGCCATATGTATATGTGAAGTTGAGGCGTAGCATGTTAAGAATTTTATTAGTTTCACACACTGCAATTTTCAAACATCAATTATGTAAACAATTCTTTGAATTTTTATAATAGTTATCTTACGTTGAATAAATAATTTTATTCAACTGTTTTCTTTATAAATAATCTATATATAAATATTTATCTCCTATTAACAATATATTGAAAATTACCCAAATATCATAATTTTCAAAATTTGTTGTCTTGCGCCTAAGAATCGAAAATTTGAGAAAGACTTTAAAAAGGATCGCAGACTGTTGGACGATTATAAATAATACTTCTTGAAGAAGTTGTATTCAGAAATGACCATCTCGAAGGCGATAGCTGCTACTTTGTATTATTTGTCATTTGCAATATATTCGTTACTCCGATTGAAGGAATAAGTTTTATAGAAAGAAAAATCTCTTTCATTAGTGTATACAATTCTCGTCTTCTTCAAACATAATTTAATCTAATAATTCCAATTTGATCGACGCTTTGCAGCAAATAATTATGCCATTTTCACACAATTTTCTGTGTATCTTTTTTTATCATTCGATTTATTTATATATTACAAGTAACTAAACAAACTCATTAGAGGATCCAAGAGACAAGAGAAGTAAAACGAACAAAATGCAACATGCTCATGGTGTAAAAAGACAAGCAACATTTCTGTAAATGCACAATGGATGGACAATCAGGAATTAGTCCCAAAAATAATAAAAATGATATAGCAATTAATATTTCTATGAACGTTACACAAAAATTAAAGAACGTAATTTTTGAAACTTGTTACATTCTATTTCAAGTTTTATAATCACTTTTAGAAATATTTGTTATTCTGTATATTTAAATATAATTTAAATATAATATGATATTAAACATAATATATATTTAATATTTGTTATTATATATAAGATATAAATATTTAATATTCAATATCATTATAATTTGTAAATTTTTTTTAGTCACATTTTCACCATAAATAATTAATTTCATCTTCTTCCATTATTATTTTCGTAATTAATCTCATAAAGATACGATTGTCATTATGCACAATATAATACTTTCTCTTTTATACCATGAGAACAATGGCATTACATTTCAAGAATTAATAAATAAAATATTGTCTAATGATAAGAATATATACAATATAATGATACTCTGATATATAGTTGCCTATAATGTAATACAAACGCCTTACAGTTAGAATGATAAGCATATGTAAAGCGTATTTGTAAAGCATAGCGTAGTAAAATATATTAGTCATATACAGGATGAAGTATGTGTATAAAATGTGACATTAATCTCTCTCAGAATGAAGCAAAATAATATACATGTCAAATATTCTCTTCTTGAAAATTATAACTTTCTCAATAAATATCTTTTCCTATAATCTCTATACATTCTGAGATATCAGATTTGATGTCACATTTTAAACTCAATCTCAACTTGCGTACAGCATAAATTTTTTCACGTGGCAAAGAAGAGCTTGTTTTTGCTACTACTTGTTATAGTGATTAGATGAAATAATTGTGCATGTATCCTGCATGAAGGGAGTTGCACTTCGTCCATTAAAACTTAAGAAGATTCCATACATTGTATGCGCTTATAAGGAAAACACCATGTTTTTCTAACAATGCATTCTTGATTGCCATATTTTTTAATGCAATCCTTGTTGTTTGTTATATTGAAAATGATAAGAGCACAATAAAGAAAACAATAATGAACCCTAACTGAAAACCACTACAGTTTGTTCTGTTTGGTCTTTATATTCAACTTTACTAAGATTTTTTTTCCTCTAAGATTTTAGCACATATAATGATATCCAAAGTATAGTTTAATTTTTCATATTTATGATTAATAAAATATTTTCTGTTAAGCAAATATATACCTTGCAAAGAACTTCATTTCTTTTCTAAATTTTGGAAACCTACTTGGAGCAATCTCTGATTAACATAATCGATGATCAATTTATTAGCAAAATTGCTTATAACAAACTTTCTAACTGTATAATTCATCACATTCCCAATGTAATCAGTTTTTCCATCAACAAAACATCAAATTAATAATTTTATCTATATTAATAAAATATATGTTGCAAAACACTATTGATAACTTAATTGCCCTTGTGACTTATCAAAATGATCCTCAATCTTGATATTCTAATCACATTAACGTAGAAATTATTTTTATAACTTGAAAGTTTGTAATATTGTTATGAAAATCGACATACTTTTGTAATAAATTTACTCGAATAAATTATGATTTGTAATAAAAAATTAAAGAATAACATGATGATTTTGTGCCAATATATACTAATTAACTTAACCTTAAAAAGAGCATTCAATGGCTGGTTGTTATTTTTAGTACAAATATTCAGCATCAAACGAGTTTAATGATAAAATTTGTATTTTACTAAAAAAAGTGCAATATTAACATTAAATCTCGTCCAAATAAACAAAAAATCTATCTGCACAAGAATCAATATTTTATTGTTATTGCCTCTTCTACACTTTCCCATAATATTCATTTTCTGCGTCTTTTCTATTTCTCCATCACATGCTGCTTCCTTCATTTTAAGTGCAGAAGGTGTAACTGTACTTTCTTTTTTTTTTTAAGCTATTTATTATATCGACACTCGAGCAGCGCATCGTAAATTATATTATTCGAGAAGAAAAATGTGCACATATATATCTCCTTCTCTCCTTTCCTCCCTTCTCATTAGTATTCCCCCCGCACAAAAAAATCGCAAAATCTCTCGAAAAAATATAAAAAATATAAAATATAAAAACGCTGGCGTATTCGATATCGCATATCACATATAGATGCGAGACGACAAAGTGACATTAGGACGTGCATACGTACCTCTGGTTTGTCTCGCGAACACGAAAACGTTTCTTCACACGCGACCCTCTCGAGCTCACAAATCCGTGTGGCTGCAGACGAGGAATGCACGATTTTCCGTTATGCACGCGCGAAACTGCGTAACCGCACGCGGGCAAATTTTACGGAGGACTCGGCGCACGGGCATCGACAAGTGACACACTCGAAGACGGCCAGCTCGGCTCGCGGAGTTTGACAGCGGCGCCGCGTGACGTCATCGGCGCAGCGAGGCGGGAGCCAATCGCGACGCGCTTCGCGTGAGACCGACCAATCGTGCGGCAGCCTTCCCGCGAGAGAATCGGCCAATCAGGTGACGTCGCGTTTACATGTAGTCGCTGTTTTTTTTTCTTACGTCGCGTTCTTATCTATCCGATCCTTTTCGTTCGTGATCGGACGAGACGTGAAACGTTGTCTGGTCAGTTCACGTTTCTTATGCGTGAAAAGTTATTGGAAGGGCCTTAAATGGTAAGGGAATTAATTTCTCATATGTGCAAATGTGTCGTCGAATTTTTTATATCGCGATTCGCGATCTACTCCGTGAATTTCGCATAATTTCACGGAGATTACTTTGCCCCGAAAGATTACACCCTGTCGCGTGCTCAACGTAACAATCTCGTATATCATCTAATATCCTGGGAATAATTAATAAATTTTGATATCTCATTTTCTCTTATTATTTTATAATAATATTTAACCTTATTTCATGTGCATGTTTCTCGCGGAAATTTGTGTATGTGTAACACTTTCGTTAGCACGTGGATCGAGGCAGCATATCCGGTATAATCCGCCATTACACGATATTGATGTGTAAGAAATCAGCGATATCTATAAATCGTCAAATGAGAGAAGTTAAAATCAAGTCTGAATTTTGATGCATTAAATGATTATGGGCAAAATAATGATCTCCGTGATTTTTCTATTCGCGATAATCGGCTACGATATTTTCGTGACATATGTCGCTTGATCATGTGAGACAGGTAAAATTCTTTTTTTCCCAATGTGTTTAAATGTGATCTCAAGTGAATACTAAAAAGTCTATTTTGAAAACAATTTTAGAAATAATAACACTTAAAAATAATATATTAAATGTAAAAAATTGAAAATATTGAAAATTTTTTTCATTCCCCATAATTATTGTATTAAAAAAATTTTGTATAAAATGTGTTTAAACAAAGTTCTTTTTGCAATTTTTTTGAAACTCCTAAAATAAGACATTTATTTTAATCCATATCTGTGAAGAATCTGTAAGATTTTGCTAGTAAAATCTCATTCTGACTATATATTGCCATTAGAAATTGAACTGATACTTAGAATTATAATATCTATAATAAGATGACATGATTTTATTAATATATTGAATTATGTATAACGTACACATCTTTTTTCAGTCGTTATCAACGGCACGACCGCTTATTACGGTGTACACCGACAAGAATGAGGCATCAGGTGAGCAACTTTCCCTGCCATCTGTTTTCAAAGCCCCGATTCGCCCGGATATTGTCAATGTTGTCCACCAATTGATTTCAACGAATAGCAGACAACCATACTGTGTATCCAAAGACGCTGGTAAATATATATATATATATATATATGTACAATCTTAACAACAATTAGTGTATAGCTTGATCTATCAGATTATTAAATATAGCTTTTATTCCTTAGGTCATCAAACCTCTGCGGAATCATGGGGCACTGGACGAGCCGTGGCGCGTATACCTCGTGTACGTGGCGGTGGTACTCACCGTTCTGGTCAGGGTGCGTTTGGAAACATGTGTCGAGGTGGACGCATGTTTGCTCCTACTAAGCCATGGCGACGCTGGCATCATCGCGTTAACGTCAATCAGAAACGTTATGCCCTTGTTTCCGCTATTGCTGCTTCTGGTGTTCCTGCGCTTGTACAGTCTAAAGGTGTGTACTTTCGTTATGATGATATTTTTACTAAAGAAGAAATGAGAACAAAAGTTTGAAAACATTAAAATTTACTTTGTACCTTTCCTTCACAATTGGAAAATATTGTAGAAAATTAATACAAAACATTTTTACAAAAATAACTAACAATAAGCAATAATTAATTTTATAATTATTTTTTATTGTATATTTAATTTATTGATGAATTTTTGTGTGCAAAGATGAACAATTGTAATATATAACATTTTATATACTGAATGCAGGACACTTGATTGAAGAAGTCCCAGAGTTTCCACTGGTCGTTTCTGATAAAATTCAAGAATACACGAAAACCAAGCAGGCTGTTATTTTCTTGAGACGTATCAAAGCTTGGAATGACATCCAAAAGGTTTGAGTCTTAAGTTTTAATCTTAAGAATCTCCTTTTATATCATATCTTTTATGTTACATCTATATGCACAACAAATGTCCGCATTTTTGCTAAGTGCATTTAGCTTAGATGCTCCTGACAAGTGCTAGAAAAATATGGTATTCAGGCGTTCTTTTCTAGTTAATTTACGTATACTAGCAAAGGGTATGAATCACCAAACAATGTCTTCTTTTTCTTTATATTTTAATTACAAGCTAAAGAAGTTTCTATATATAATATACATATTTGTCTAATAAAAATATTTAATATACATTTCTATATATATTTTTTTTTATAAATTTTTTTATTAAAAGATATTCATAATTTCATTTTGTGAATCAATTAATTTAATCCCTCCTGAGTTGTCTTTTAATTTAAAATTTTAACTATTTGTATTGTAATTAATATTTTGTTGTTTATTTTATTAGGTATACAAATCTGAACGTTTTCGTGCTGGTAAAGGTAAATGCGTAATCGCCGACGCATCCATCGACGTGGACCTTTGATTGTTTATGGTCAAGATCAGGTAAATAACTTTCTTTCAAAATGTAATATATTGTTTTATTAACTTTCCTATAGACATATTGTTCAAAATAAAAATTAAAATGAATTTGGTTCCTAAACTTGGTCATTAGACCTCATACATATATAAATCATAAAAAAATTATATCTATAAATCACGTAATTATATTAATCTCTGATTTTTAGGGTATTCGAAAAGCATTCCGCAATATTCCTGGCGTCAGTCTGATGAACATCAACAAGATGAATCTTTTGAAATTGGCACCAGGTGGTCACGTTGGACGTTTCGTTATCTGGACGAAATCTGCTTTTGAAAAACTGGATGCTCTTTATGGAACCTGGCGCAAAGAGTCACAACTCAAGAAAGGATACAATTTGCCATTCCCTAAAATGGCCAACACTGATTTATCCAGGCTTCTGAAATCTGAGGAAATTCGAAAAGTTCTGAGAGCTCCTAGGTAATTATATGTTTAATTTAACACTTTTAAAAGCTGTAATATTAATTTAGATTTGTATTGTTCAATGAACACTGATTATTCTGCGATTATCATAACTGACTCGCATTGTTATGAATTCTGTAACACATTGATAGACAATTTGTTCAATATGATTATAGGAAGAAGATGGTGCGCAGAGTGAAGAAATTGAACCCGTTGGCCAACACACGGGCTATGCTGCGACTTAATCCGTACGCAGCCGTTTTGAAACGTGCTGCTATTTTGACCGCGCAGAAGCGCCAACATGAGAAAGATCGTCTTCTCGCTGAAAAGCGAGGCGTAAGTACAGCTTTGCTCTTGTAATTAATATTTCTTTAGTGATATATATATATATATATATATATATATATATATAGAGAGAGAGAGGGGGGGGGGGAGAGAGAGCGAGAGAGAGAGAGAGAGATAGAGAGAGATATATAGAGAGAGAGAGAGAGAAGCTCAGATAATATTACTTGATAATATGTTGAATCTGCAAATATATATTAATGTAATAAATTTGAGTTTTTTTCATATTGAAAGACATTTATGTACATAAGTAAATCACAATAAATAAAGAATTTAATAATATTGTGAAATATATGTATAAATATATAAAAGACATCAAACTTTAATGTAATTTACGAGTCACAGATACAAAAATTATTTGATATAATAATAATTTATTTTATTAGTATATCTTAATTAGCATATTTTAATAATGTTAGTCTATAGTAATAGTATATTATCTCATTAGTATATCGTATTTTTTTTAATAAGAGAAATATAAATTATTTATATGCAAAATCACATTTGTTTAAAAAAATTATTTTTTTAATTCAATTACAAAATGCTAATAGTTAGTGTACTGGAAATTTTTATTAATTAATCAATTTCATGCATTGCAGATAAAATTACCGAAGAGCGCACCGGCATCAAAGGCTCTTACTCTTCAGAAGAGAAGGAAACAACAAGTTGCTAAAGTAAAAAGTTGAAGCCTCGTAAAGTAAAGAAAATCGAGAAAGATCTCACAAAACAAGCTGCTGGCAAACAGCCAGCTAAGAAATAATTTTGAAGTTGACAACAATTATTGGTAATCTTAATATTGTTGTTAGCACATTTTTATTTCTGTCTCTGAATAAAAAAAAGATAGAAAAATTGCGAGTTATCTTTTTAACCTTTTTTTTTAATTTCCTTTTAATATTATATGAGGAATTTATCAATAAATAGTTTATCCAATACATTTTTCATTCACAATACCCAATTATTTTGGGAATTGTAATTGATAATAAATGACATGCTTCTTGATTTTTTACTAAATCAAACTTGTGAAAATAATTTGATTCTCGATTAGATTCTGAAGTATATACAGCACAATCATATTTGTTGATTTTATAAAATTGGAACTTTATGATGTATATTCGAAGGATAGTCTGAAAGCACAATTTATAAAGTCTAAAGTTAATTTAAATCAAATCATAAACTTAATAAAAGCAATAAAATGTATAACATACTTTGCAAAATAATTAAATATATATATTACGACAATTTTTAAATTGTTACTTTATACATTAATAAGTTACTCGAATATTTAATCCATTATTTTATATTAAGTATTTAATTATTTCAACACAATCTAATAAAAAGTATAAATATATATGTTTATTCGTATTAAGTAAGTATTAAAATTTTTTGGGAGAAAAAGAGTAACGAAAAAATAATGGAGGAAAGGAAGATAATTAAAACGAATCTAACAATAAATATACATAAAATAAAGTAATAAATTTTTGAAGATATAAATTTAAATAAAGCATGAAAATGAGAGAATTGAATTTCAAATTTATGTGATTATATATATATATGATTTTTTTATAATACAACTTTATTTAATATCGACATCAGTATATCTGCTTTATAGAGGCATAGAGACTTTCCAGCAAGACAATATCATGACTGAATAGAAAAATTCGGAACTTCCAAAATTTTTATTTGCTAGTTTATATTCGATTATTTTTTAAATTTTAATTACGTGACGTATCTACTTTTTCCAATAGAAGAATTGTATTCGATATAAATGCATCTAGGGCTACGTTCGAAAACGTCACCCGATGTATCCCTCTTCTGTCAGAGGAAAATGATAGAGAGAGGGAGAGTACACACCGGGTGACGTTTTTGAATGCAGCGATATGTCCAAGCACGGTAAACCTTAGCAACGCATGACCCACGGCGTCCAATCAGAATTGCTTTCCCAAAACGAAAAACGACTCGCTACCGCATCTATGTTCGCATTACGATTCTATGAAATATGAAAATGGAGGGAAACGTCTTTTTCCACACCAGCTACATCCGGATCCGGTGAAAGAGGGTAGTCCACGAAGAAGCTGACGTAACATAAAGGAAAATGTGTAAGTAATGTTTAAACTTTAAGGCATTTTGCGTTAGGATGAGCTTTTATATCAATTTAAGCATTGATAATTGTCTACAAGTGATGAGAGAGTACATAAGAAAATTGAATAAACATATAATTAATTTTCAACAAAACACGTGCAGTATGAAGTACATTAAATATTGCGAAATAACGTTCAATTCGATACAGTAGAATAAGTAATGAATATAATTGAATAAGAATATTCAACAATAAGGAAGATTAATATTGTAATTTAATGAGAATTGAAAGAGAAAAAGAAAAAAAAATTGCATTCATGTGTGTATTTATTATTATCCACGTGTAGATGAAAATCAAAAGCAGGCTAGAGATAAGAAGAAGGAATGGCGAAAGCAGCAACGACTCTTGCGAAAACATGAAGAGTTGAAAAAGAAAAAAATTTTAAGAGTACGAAGAGAAACGAGCTGCTGAGCTGTTGAGAAAAGGCAAGTATTATATCTTTTTATGTAATACTTATAACTATAAAGAAAATTATGACATATATTGCATAATAATGTAATTATATATTAAGTAATTAAAACATAATGTGAAATAAAATAAATAATGTATACTATGAATTAATTAATTGAAAAAAATGATGACAGATGAAGGATATCCAGTATTTGAAAAAATAAGAACACAAGATGAAACAAGAACGATCAGACTCTTGCAAGACAATGAATTAGGTATTTGCATTATTATTTTTAATAAATTTTATCATTATATTTTTATAAAAAAATAAGTAATTTATAAAAACGATTTTATTATGATTAATTAATAATTTAATGTAATTATAATATCAAAATAGCATAGATGAAAAAATAATACATACACTGAAAAAAATTTGTATTTTTATAATAAACAGTAATAATAATGAAATGAAAATAGATCTATATAACAATTGTAGTTTTTAAATAAAATACATTTTTAGTCTTATAAAATATATGTTGATTTATCTTTTTATAATTTTTATTGTTTGCAACAGTTTTTCTTGTAAAAGGATAAAATATTTTAATTATACATACATTTATATATCTTTATTAATTTATTAATAAAATAAAATATAAGTAAGATTAATAAGAAATATTCTCATTATTTATATGCAATTATACTCCTTATAATTATTTATTTGTATAACTGTTGTCATAATTTTAAAATAATATTTTAACATTTTATTTCATATATTTTAAATGATAAGTTTTATATTTAGATTATAATAAATTATATATATAAATGTGATAACATCTTTAATATATATTAAAAAATATTTGAATCATATTAATATTTACAGAGAAACAAGAAATAAGCTCTACTAATAAAAGTATATCTAACACTGATGAAACAGTTCTTCGATACAGGTATTTATTCTATTAAAAATTATAAAAATTATAACTTATATACAGGATGTCTCAGAACTGGTGGAAAAGTTTTTAATGGTATAGATTCTTGGTATCATTCGGAAACGATTTTTTCTCAGTGAAACTGTTGAGACACAAATAATTTTCAAACAGTTGAAAATAAAGACTTTTTTGGAAACTAAGCCTTGTGGAAATAAAAAATAACAGAACTATATTCTTCAGTTATTTTAGATGGAGTTTGCTTTAATAGAATTTTAATATAAGGCTTAGTTATAAAGATACATAATAACAAAAATTGGGAACATGCTAAAAATGATGGCTTCCCTCAACATTTTCATCAAGGAAAAATCCTTTCCAATGATACCAGGAATTGCTATTAAAATCTTTTTGTCCAGTTCTGGGACACCCTGTGTATTATTGGATTCCCTATATACAGGTGATAAACAAAATAATGTGAACACCTGTGAAAAAAAATATTTATATTTGTTTATTAATAAGATTTTGGGCCACCATTTACCTTTTTTTCAGTGGAATGTTATCTCATTTTTCTATCTGCCAATTGCTTTAGAGATGTTGAAGGAGGAAATCTGCTTCTCATTCTTTCAAATTGCCTACAGTCAATGATATTAAACTATTAAGATGTTTAAATATTTTCCCTGGCCAGCACAATTACCAATTTAAATATCAAACCACTATGAGCAGTTTTGGAGAAGAGAATGACTAATACTTTTCAATGATATGTAAATTTGGTAATTGTGCTGGCCAGGGAAAATACTTAAACATCTTAATAGCTTAATTGGACTGTAGGCAATTTTGAAAAAGAGCGAGAAGCAGATTTCCTCCTTTAATATTTCTAAAGCAATTGGCAGATAAAAGAATAAGACGACATTCCACTGGAAAAAAGATACATGGTGGCCCAACATCTTATTAATAAACAGATATAAATATTTTTTTTCATAGATGTTCACATTATTTTGTCTTCTCCCTGTATTTTTATATGGATGTACATATTGAGTATTGCTTATACATATATTTTTATATGAATATATATATTAAGTATTGCTTACATATATCTTATCACTTGTGTACGTTCTTAAAATACACACGTGTATTATTTATTTAATGTGTCAATTTGATAGCTTATATTAGTACAAATTTTAACAGTAAAATTAGAATCTACACATTTTATAAATAGCTTCTAATAAGTTGAATTTTTTCTTGATCTTGTTTAATAACATTATATAATCATAAGTATAATCACAAGCTGATATGGATATATATATATATATATATATATATATTGATATTGCTTATACATACATATATTGAATTGCTTGTGTATATTTAAAACATATGCATACATATATAAATATTTATGTATACATACATATTTACATATATATGTGTATATTTTTTATTTAGTAAACTTCAGTTTGACGTATGCACGAGCACAAAATGGTTTTAACATATAAAAGACTTAAATAAGAAATGTGTAATTATACATGTATGTATGTATGCTTTGTTATGTGTATAGATTTATTTATTTTTATTAAGGCATTTGTATTTGTATACAGCTGTTATATGCATAATTATATGCATGTACAACTGTTGTATGCATGTTATGCATGCAACAGTTGCACATGCTGTACAAATTCTAATTTAATTAATAATATAATTAGTTCTACAGTGAAGACGACTATTTGATCACATATTTACATGTGATGGAAGACAATAAGTTGAACTGCAAGTAAGAACAAAAGATAATTTTATTTAAAAATTGTTTATATAAATCCAAATCATTTATTAATTTATTCATGAAGTATCTAATTTTCTTAATTTTTGAAAAGGAATAGGTTTGATTTACTTGATCATGAATAGGTAAGTTCAGAAAAGAAAATATTGTGCTAAAAAACTACGACTTGGAAGATGCAAACATATTAAATAAAGAGTGAACGTCCTTACTCAATAAATATTAAAGTAAATACAGTAATGGAAATTAATAAAATTTACAAAAAGAAAAAATTGTTATTTGTCTATCGAGTTAAAAAAAAATTAGACAATTAATTGGATTAATCTATAAAAAACGTCCACTTTTACAAATGTTATAAATATTTATCCAATCTAAATTTGGAATCTATAATCTGTATATATTATATTCAATCTTACAAGACATCAAGATAAGGACAATTTGGTTGTCTTGTCTAAGAAATTAGAATGAAAAAAATCAGAATTGGAGAAGATTAAAATATTACGTGAATATCTAAGAAAGATGAAGATCTTAATGAACTCTTAAATATTTATAAAGCAAACGTTACATCACAGAAGATCAGCAAGAAGAAACTATTTGAATATATCGATTTTCAAAGAAAAAAATCTTCAATATTTTGCTCATATACATATATCGAATCATTGATGATATATAGTGCAACAATTAACATAAATTTGTGTCTTTTATTATTATTTGCTCTATTATCTTCTTTTTCTTATCTTTTTTATTTTATTTTATATATTCTCTTTTACATTATATAATTTATATTTTCTAATTCCTTTTTATTTTTTTACTTTTGTTTATTTGATATTTATATATATTTATCACATTCTTAGATCTCATATATTTTTTATTGATAATAAAATATACTCTTCTCTTCATAAATCTTAACTTTATAAATATAAACTTGTATCTTTTGAATATAATATAAATAAGTCGATATATTATAAATATAAGTGAACGTTTACATATCATTTATAAATATTATTTTAATATATATTCATCAATGTTACAATAATAAAATTAAGAGTTATTTATGAATTTTTCATAACAGTAGCATTAGATATATATAGTTATAAATAATTAAACTATGAAGTTATATGTATTGAATATTGCTTATACATAAATATTCTTTGAGAACAGCATCATTTATAAAGATGGTTAATATGAATCGATAAACTAAATCGAGACTACATACAATTTGCTCAAATGACTTTTAAACTTAATATTTTGAATATAATTTACAGTGAAATATTCAAGAACAAAATGGAAATTATTCAGTGATGAGCAGTAAGTTTTTCAGCAGGATAAAAAAGCTATAACGTGTGAAATCTGCTTAACAGGTAAACTTTATATAATAGGTAAGCTCTGCATAAGAAAAGGTAAAGAAACATTATATATATATATATATATAATAATTAATATAGATATAAGAGAGAGAGGAAGAGGAAGAGAAAAAAGAAAAGAAAAAAGAAAGATACCCAAATATCAGATCAATGAATGACCTAATATTGAATAAAGTTACATTTTTTGGAGAGAAAAGAAAAGATATATAATTTGGATGGAAAGAATATTTTAAAAACAAAAATAATGATGCAAATTTCGATATTTTTGGAAAAAGAAGACTAATTTCGAATCGCATAAGTTTTTGTTTATTGAATTATTAAAATTTCTACATTAAATTACAGACGTCCTTGAACATTTTTGTTTTTTTAATATTGCATTTTTATTCAATATAAAAGAATACTTTAATAATGCTAAATCTATAATTTAATGAATATTTTAGCATCAAAGTTGGTCGGATTGAATATTGAATATATTCAAAATTTATATCAATATGTACATAATGATAATATATAATAAATAAATAAAATATTTGATAGCATTTGTGAATACAATATTTGGGTACTTTTTCAGTTTATATATACACGTATTATATAATTGAAGTTATTTCTAAATAATTTTTAATAGCTAAATATAATTATACAATATAAATGTATATTATAAATATAATACGTGTATGTGTTAAAATATATAGCTATATTATAGATATAAAGTTGATTGAACTATTTATCCAATCTAAATTTGGAATCTACAATCTGTATATATTATATTCAATCTTACAAGACATCAAGATAAGGACAATTTGGTTGTCTTGTCTAAGAAAATTAGAATGAAAAAAATCAGAATTGGAGAAGATTAAAATATTACGTGAATATCTAAGAAAGATGAAGATCTTAATGAACTCTTAATAATATTTATAAAGCAAACGTTACTTCACAGAAGATCAGCAAGAAGAAACTATTTGGATATATCGATTTTCAAAGAAAAAAATCTTCAATATTTTGCTCATATACATATATCGAATCATTGATGGTATATATAGTGTAACAATTAACATGAATTTGTGTCTTTTATTATTAATTGCTTTATATATTCTTTTTCTCATTTTTTAAATTTTATTTTATATATTCTCTTTTACATTATATAATTTGTATTTTCTAATTTCTTTTTATTTTTTTTACTTTTGTTTAATATTTACATATTATTTTTATCACATTTTTAGATCTCACATATTTTTATTGATAATAAAATATATTCTTCTCTTCGTAAATCTTAACTTTATAGATATAAACTCGTATCTTTTGAATATAATATAAATAAGTTAATATATTATAAATAAGTTAACGTTTACACATCATTTATAAATATTATTTTAGTATATATTCATCAATGTTACAATAATAAAATTAAGAGCTGTTTATGAATTTTTTATAACAGCAACATTAGATATATAGTTATAAATAATTAAACTGTATGAAATTTTATATATGTATTGAATATTGCTTATACATAAATATTCTTTGAGAAAAGCATTATTTATGAGGATGGTTAATATGAATCGATAAACTAAATCAAGACAATTTACTCAAATAACTTTTAATCTTAATATTTTATAATTTACAGTGAAATATTCAAGAACGAAATGGAAATTATTCAGTGATGAGCAGCAGAAGTTTTTCAGCAGGATAAAAAGGCTATAACAGGTGAAATCTACTTAACAAGTAAACTTTGTATAATAGGTAAGCTCTACATAAGAAAAGGTAAGAAAACATTCCATATATATATACACACACACACATATATTTCGAATTTAATTTACAGTGAAATATTCAAGAACGAAATGGAAATTATTCAGTGAGTAGCAAAAGTTTTTCAGCAGTATAAAAAGGCTATAACGAGTGAGATGTGCTTAACAGGTAAACTTTGTATAATAATTAGGCTCTGCATAAAAAAAGGTAAGAAAACATTATATATATATATATTACACAGTAGAGAAATTTGTGTTTTGCTAAAAACGGTCCACGTTAAAATTTTTGTGTTCTTTAATTCTAACATTCACGTGTAAATAAGAAATTACTGTTATGTTATTATATATATATATATATATATATATATATATATATATATATATATAATAGAGAGGGAGAGAGAAAAGAAAAAAGGAAAGGTACCCAAATATCAGATAATGAATGACCTAATATTGAATAAAGTTACATTTTTTGGAGAGAAAAGAAAAAATATATAATTTGGACGGAAAGAATATTTTAAAAATAAAAATAATGATGCAAATTTCGATATTTTTGGAAAAAGAAGACTAATTTTGGAGCACATAAGTTTTTGTTTATTGAGTTATTAAAATCTCTACATTAAATTATAGACGTTTTTGAACATTTTTGTTTTTATTAAATTTTTATTCAATATAAAGAATACTTTAATACTAAATCTATTGAATTTAATGAAGAATATTCTAGCATCAAAGTTGGTCAGATTTAATATTGAATATATTCAAAATTTAAATCAATATGTACATAATGATAATATATAATAAATAAATAAAATATTTTATATTTTATTTGAGATTACAATATTTGGATACTTTTTCAGTCTATATATACACATATTATATAATTGAAGTTATTTCTAAATAATTTTCGATAGCTGAATATAATTATGCAATATAAATGTATATTATAAATATAATTGGTATTAAAATATATAGCAATATTATGGATATAAAGTTGATTGAACTAACAATAAAAATGATTCGTATCGTAAGCGAAACAAATATTTTTTTTATTTTATCGCTTATTGAATATGACTCTGTTTATTGTTAATATCTGGAACATTTATATATAAAGTTGATTGAATTAAATTTTATTTAAAAGTTATTTCAATATTAAATATATATTAAATATATACTAGTATTTTATCGTTGCGTTTTCAAAAAAATTAACAATATTTTAAAATATTGACAAAGAAATTTAAGATAATACTTGCGCAACAATCATTTCTGATCTCGGTTAAATTGTTACGATTTATTGTGAAACAATAGTCACTGGTAAACTTTTATTTTACTTAAAGTTATTTTTTTTATAAAGAATATAAATCTGCAACAGTGCAGTTATTTTAAGAATAATAAATGACTAAAATCTCTCATATAGCTTTCTTCATCATGTAGAATGTAGAAAAAAATAGATGGTACATTATACATTAAATTGAAAGAAACTATTTATACTAAAATAGAGAAACGTAGGTATGTTTTTAATATACAAGAAGGAAAATGAGCAGAAAATAATGGGATAAACACTTTGTTGCTTAATAATAAAAATCAAATTTTATAACCAGATATTAACAATAAACAGACTCATTCAATAAGCGATAAAATAAAGAAAAATATTTATTTTGCTTATAAAATAGATTTATATTTATTGTTAAGCAAAGAGATCTAATAGATCTAAATATCTAATCTAATTGTTAAGCAGTGTTTACACACGCAAGGATTAGTGACACCAATTTATTAACGCTAATAAAATCGATTAGTGCCAAGAAAAATGCAAGTAACTTAATCGATTTTTATTAGCGTTAGTCGATTGGCGCCACTAATCGCGTGTGTAAACGCCGTTTTAGTTCCAGAACAATCTAACAATAATAGAAATTTCAGATCGTATAGATCATCGGATAGATCACCGTATAGATCATTGGATAGATCACCGTATAGATCATCGGATAGATCACCGTATAGATCATCGGATAGATCACCGTATAGATCATCGGATAGATCACCGTATAGATCATCGAATAGATCACCGTATAGATCATCGGATAGATCACCGTATAGATCATCGTATAGCCGTGGACGAACAGATAAAAAATATAACAGAGATAGGTCAGTTACAATTAATCTATCAATATACATACAAGAACTAATATAAATTGTTAAATAATATTAATATTTTAAGAAATTCTAAATTATAGTTTATTGAAGCTTATATGGATATTCTATATATTGATTAATTTTTAGTTTAAAAATTGGACAATAAAAATTATGACACTTTTCTATTTTGAACAAAATTTTCTCGTTATAATAGAGTTGACTCAAGTATATTCCTAAAACACATTTTAATCGGATGTACTAGAAATAAATAATTTTTTTCTGCATTTCAGAAGCAGAAGCATGTCACCAATTGAAGAAAAAAAAAGGAAACAAGACTATGACAGAAAGAAATTTGTATATAGAAATCGATCACGTGAATCGGTTCAGTCATCATTGCGTTCAGAATCGGCCTATTCATATAGACCTTATGATTATTATACTTATATGGTATGTTTAGTTATTGTTGAGAAAACTGATAATATCAAAATTTTTCACAAATTGTTGATTGCCAGTGACAAATTTTAACAAATAATGAGATGCAATTTAATTCGACCAAAACTGGTTATTCCTTTATTCAAAATAAGTACACTACGTTTTGACCAACATTGTGGTCCTTATCAAGTATTGTTCTTATTCAGCAATTACATTAATTAAAGGTAGAAACGTGAAAGCAATAGGTAATAGATTGTTGATATGACAGGAGAACTTTCACGTTTCTACCTTTAATTAATGTAATTGCTGAATAAGAATTGTACACTACGTTTTGACCACAATGTTGGTCAAAACGTAGTGTACTTATTTTGAATAAAGGAATAGTCAGTTTTTGGTCGAATTAAATTGCATCTCATTATCTGATAATATAATTTAATTAAAAGGCCTTCGCTCAATATTGAAAGGAATTATCAAATTAAAGAACTAATGAATTCGAAATATAACAACGTTGAATTAATTAAGAAAACTGTAGATCACGAAGTTTACATAAAATTATATTTGCTCTAGGGTTATCCTAGGCCGATGCCGATGCTGATGCCGATGCCGATGCCGATGCCGATGCCGATGCCGCCGCCGCCGATGCCGATGCCGCCGCCGCCGCCGCCCATGATTCGCCATACTATGCGAGGGCCGTTTCTCGCACCATTTCGACCAAATATGGGCTATAGGCCACCTCATAGTAAGTTTGTACAGCATTGACTAAAAATCAGATTCTTATTTTATTTTATTCTAAAATTTTGTGATTGAACTATTCTACATTTCTATTTCTTTTCATTCCTTCTGTATTTTTGATTTGCTATCATTAGATTGTTTTATGTTCATTAAAGAGTCGAATTTGATCATTAAATACTAACTTTTATAGAACATTAATTAAGATACAGATTGGAAAATTAAAAAGAGAGAATTACATTTTTCTCTCTGCTAATTCTATATATATATATTATATATATTTATTTTGCAATTTTATATATTGTACTCTATATTAGAGAAATTGATAGCAATCAATTTATGATTTATTGAAGATTGACAATATGTAGAATTTTAAATAATTTTTTTTTTTATTTTATGAAATTGATGACATATTGTGTAATAAATAACATGATTAACACAAACTTTATACATACTATGCAATGAAATTTTACAGGATTTCCCAATTACAACGCTAATAGAAACTCTTCAAGAAATCTGTACTAATTAATGTCGATTGTATAATAATGTTAAAAAAAATATAGTTTAATTACACATATTGATAGGATAATTACATATTATATCTAAATTTTAATTAGTAAGCTTAATTTTAATTACGAAGACTGACTATAAAAAATATTATATTAAATATTCATATTATTTATATTAATTTTTATTTTTATTTTCATAATAGAAATAAAAACTTTTATTTTATATGAAATGGACAGATGATTGCATTGTTTTTGTAATCAGCATTTTTTAAAATTGATTCAGAATAACAATAGAAGAGTTTTATTATGTACATCGCTATTTCAATATAAAGAATTTTTTAATTTTGCATTAAAATTATTTAAAATAAGGTTTTTTTATGAAAGTAATTAAGGATTTTAAGTATATAATAATAGAACGATACATTATGCTATTTTATTATTAAGATATTTGTAAAAACTATATATTGTGTTTTATTCATATTGTACTTTTTTGATTGTATTCTTACTCGCAATATATAAAAAAATAATAATGAGTCTTTGGTATTATACTCTATTGGCATTTTTATTTTATTTTTTTCACCATCTTACATTTATATCTTGAGCTTAGAAAATTGAAAAGCATAAATTCTGTTGAGATTGAGAAAAATTTTCCTTCTTCAGTTCTGTCATTTTTATAATGAAGGGTCCTCCCTTCAAATGCTACATTACATATATGGTGTAGGACAAAGATAAAATAATTATCTTCCCTTGTCGAATGAGCTCTGCTAGAGATGAGATCTTATGGAAGTATTCCCTATGATATCTGCACTTTATTCACTCAGCACATGCACGCGATTGGCTATGTGATATAGTTCAATAGTGAGTAAAGCGTATATGCGTCATATATGTCAGTGATACCTTTGCAAACGGTAATATTCTTCATTATTTCGATAATTTTTGAACATAATATTGACTGTTCATAATACGAAGACTGTGATAAGATTAAAATGTACTAATTCAGACAATATTTCGTACAATATTTATATCATTAAATGGTAGGCACAGGAAATCGTAAAGAATTGGCAAATTCTGGTGTATAATGTAATAATATGTATTTTATACGTAAATCGCGCTCTAGCAGTAGGATATACGACACATTTTGACATGACACAATAATTAATAATCTCACGCGTGTTTTCACTATAGTGAAAATTAGCCAATCTGAATGCTCAGTCATTTTCATTTATCTGTCTATTAATCTTGTCTTGGAGAAATGATATTCTTTCGCGAAATTGTTTTTCTTACTATTTATAAAAATAGTGTTAAAAGAACCGGATTCTATAATTTAGTTTTTGAAAAAGTTTAGAATAAATAAAATACTCTCTCTGACATTCATATGGCCAATTATATCCAATCGATCTGTGACTAGATGTGACTAGTTGCATGTTTGAGATTTTTAATATTTTTTTCTAAAATAGCTCTTTAATCTAGTCTCTTGCTGCTTTGATAATCAGTATCATAATTTTGTTGGAATTTTCAATATAAAGTATTTTGACTCTAATATGACGACTACGAATCCATAATTTAATTTTTGACTTTTCAACAGTGGTTTCCATAGTCTTTCTCAAAGTGAGTGAAATAAACAATAAGCAATAAACAGTATATGTGTTATAATAGTGCTTGCATAGTCAATAACAAGAAATCCAAGGAAAATGGTGGCATTCTTTATGTGATAGATTTAAGTGACAATTATATATTAAATTACATACAAGAATAGAAACTGTAAACAAAATGAGGGCTATATTGATATTCGATCATCTGAACGATGTATTGTTCGCAAAGTACAATAAAAATTTGCGAATCACATTTTGAAACTGGCAAAGATGCAAGGATTGCTTGATGATGATAAGGTTTGATGATAATAAGATTATGATTAATTCTAAAGAAGACTTGTTAAAGTTGTATACAAATTCTTCTAAATACTCTCTTGAAAGAGAGAAAGGAAACAAATATTAAATATATTTAGATGTAAAAAAAGAATTTAAATATAATAAGCAAATTGTTGACTGTAATTCATTAATAAGTAATTGTAAATATCTTTAGGATACTAAAGACTTAGAAAATTCCATACCGAGTCCCAACATCATAATGCAGCTGTTTTCGCCAATTGTTACCTCTCAACACGTGATGGCTTCTCAATTTGGAAACTCCTATACTTCCATGAAATTCCAAGATGGAACAAACATGGTATTTGATGAATATATTGGTTACACCTTCATATATATTGCCACGAAAGAGGTAGAGCTCATGAGACGTACGCTGGGAGTATGTGTATCCATTGTACGGCATGTGTGTGGTCCAGATATTGCAATGTTAGTATGTAGTTAATAGGTTGTAGTTAATAGTTGGTAGTAATATAATAAAAAATAAATAAGATACAAAAAAATGTAAAGGGAATTATAAGAAATGATATAAAAATAATATTTATTATATAGTGGCAAGTGTATATTAAGATATTAAATGACAGTAGTTTTATACATTTCTTGTCAAGAAGACTGTAAATTTAGCAAATAAGTTATATTTGAAAATTAAAATTGCACAATGCTTAGCTAGCATTGTATATTGCAACTAGATTATAATATAGTTTTTAATAGAATAGTTCTGATAATGATTACTTTATATAATAGCAATTTTCGCACTTAATTTATAATTAATGCAACTTAATTATTCAATTAATCAATTTTTTCTTTGTAGATTGAAGACCAACTGGCAGAAAGTGTGCCTGGTATCTTCTTTGTTGGATGCGTGGTCTACTTTAAGAAATTGTGAACAGAGTGTACTGACAGAAGCAGTGGAACAGTTGTCTGTGAATGCAGAAGTAGCTTCCTCAGTTCTCAAGGTGCTGCATGATGCCTGTGACAAGCTAAAGAGTTCACAACCTGAATTTAGTAATTTGCATGTGCTGCTCTTAGTGGGTTCTAAGTTTTTGTCACTGTACTCCAGCAAAAACGCTCATGATTTGTGTGCTTCCGATATTTTGTTAATGGTACTACTATGCTGGGTGATAAATAATAAACGAAAGCATGATCGATTGGAGAGTAATGACGATAGTGAAGATAATGATGATGACAGTGATATCCTATTACCAGAAAGTAGTGCTTCCAAAAGCGATGAAACGAAATTAAATTTTGGAGCTAAACTGGCTACTCCTACTTCAGAGGATATTACAAATCTCTTTCGTAAGTTCTTGCAGCATATCACTTATTCTTGCTAATGAATAATATTTCTTCATTTAATTAGGATAATAGAGAACTCTTAGTGAATAAGCAAATGTTTAAAATAAGTTAGATAAATTATAATTATCTTTTATCTATTATATTTTAGGAGGTTCCAGGGATTCTTCTGTGAATGAAGGTTTTTCATCATTGACTGATGATGATCTTTATAGTGAATTGCTTCTTCTTGGCTATCAGCACAACTATACAGCTAATGCAGTTCACATTTTCGAGTTATCAGACTCCATCAATCTGATAACAATTGTCGAAGCCACAAATATTTCCATTTCTTCAGGATTATGTGACAGTTTTCATTATTTAAATCTGATAAACAACTTGCAGTTTCAACAAGATCTCGACGAATTGAAGCCTGCTTTTGAGAACCTCGATATAGCAATAAAAAAAGTGCTGGAAGGAATAAAAAAAAATCGTTCTAATGTTGGTAATGATGTCGATATGTGTCAGAAGAGATTGCAAACTAAATGGGACTTTGTCCGGAAAAAGTACAACGATTTGTTGCGCTCCAGAGATCTCGAAGTGGTTCTGCAGATCGAGGCTAACATTTCTGGCTTCCTGGAAACTTTGAAAGAATTATTACGTTTGACCTGTTTTGATAGGAATTTTCTGAAACAAGGAATCGATGTTCTAACGACAGTTGGAAGACTTGTGAGACAGAAGCTAAATGATTTCAGCGATTTTCTGAAAGTTAAAGCTCTGAAGAACTTCACTCTAGGATCATATCCTTTTCTAAACAAATTTTAGAGACATGATTATGATTAGTTTTGTTCCTCTCCTCTAAATATTATTTTATATAGAATAGTAAAATTATTTTTTAAGTTTATTTATTGGGTCTTTATTTATAAAATAAAATTGTATAAAATTTTAATTTATAAAATTTAGAAAATTCATAAAGTAAACTCCTTTTGAGAATCCAAGATAATAAGAAAAAATATAAATAATATCTTTTTTAAATTTATAAAACATTACGATTTTATAGTTTCATGTTACATTACAGTTTATAATATTTATACTTATAATTAAATAGAATCTTACTAATGCAAGTAACATTTATTACGTAAATTTTACATATAAAATATGTTTAAAAATTATATATAAAATATTAAACATATGTGAAAAATATTAAAATTTTTTAATTACAAATATTTTGTCCTTTCAAAAATTATTTGAAAATATTTAATAAAAATGATATGTAAAAAAAAAGACCCAATAAAATATATGAACATTTTTTATTTAGTATATCTCCTTAATGCTACATTTTTCAAGAACTTCCCTAACTATCAACAAGTATCTTGAAGAATTTCCGGGTCTGGTACACTTTATTTACATCGACAGGACAACCCATAGACTCATTGCACCCACATTAGATTTCACGAGTACAGAGACACTCGCACTTACGACAAAAAAAGTGAGTCCTGTCAACTAACTAGATATATACATGCACACATAAATTTTGTATTTATATGACCTTATTTCCTGCATTTTATTTTTCACATTCGGTATATATAGGCTTGTACTGGTGTTTATATGTATATTATACTATTTTTTGCATTTCATTCTTGAGCAAACAATTAGAGTGAGACTGACAATATAAAAACAAAATATGTTAACTTTTCTAAATATAAAGTACTTGAAAATATCTTCCTTATAATCTTTGTACTAAAATCAATTAAAATAATTTTAGATTTTTCAAACTTACTATCAATTACAGAGATTATATTACTTTGATTTACAGATATATTTAATTTAACCACACACATGCAATATATAATATTTAGAAAAGTTAACATATATTATTGTCTCAATCTAAACGTTTGCTGAAGAATGAAATGCAGAATATAGCATAATATATGTATAAATGTAGGATTTCTGTACGAGCTTGGACTATATACCAAATAAGATACTTGAGCAATAACATATAGAAATAGAAATTCTTTGATACAAATATAAATAAAATGTTTATATATAGAGAAATCTTTTTTTCTTGTTAGATTTGGAACATGGTCGAGCAAAGCAGAATGCATTTGCAAAAGGGTCATTTATCAGTTATGTGGAAAGATACTACATTCAATTATTCCTATTTTCTGTGGTTCGAGGATAATTCTGTACGTGAAAAGTTTATATATATAGTGTAAATAAATTATATATTCTGTAAATAATATATATTATAATATAAATAATTATATGTATATAAATATATATTTTTTTCAGAGTTGTTCACCGCCGAAATGTAAAGTTTATCTCAATTATGTGATGAAAAATTTTCCAGTACCAGGTATACTTTGTGGAGATTATTACAGGTTATATTTTTAATTATATTCTCTGTAATTAAATATTTCTTTTTTGCCATAGTAGAGCTTTTTCTGTATAAATTATAAATTAAAATTATAATTACTTGAATCTGACATTAAAAATATTTTTAGACACTATGTAAACAAAATTGTCGTAAATGTATGAAAATTTTAAATTCTTAACTTTCAAAATACATATTAGAAAATATAATAACAATATATATAAAAATAAGAAAGCTAAATGGATTGTTTTATCAATAAATATATATTAATCAAAATCAATTTTTTTCTATTTAGTATTTATACATAAGGAGACTGTTTAAAAATATATATATTTAAAATTATATTTTACACAACACAAATTAATTTGTTATTAAAAATATTTTTCCTAAAATATAATTACAGTGATAGAATATTATAAATTATATAGTATCATAAAAGTCAAATACCGAAATAATTCTTTTTCTGTGTAGAAAACTGACAGAGACGTGTTTTCCCAAACTTTCGCCAAGCAAGGTTCGGATTTACGAATTGTACTGCGTACATTTGGGATTGACCACATCAACTTGCGTCTTGGAACATTCCCGAAGGCTGGCAGCCACTATCTGGGAAGTCACCGGGGTACCGAGCAATCTTGCAGATATATTCTAAAGCGACATTTCCCAAACAAAGTCTTTGATTGACACCATGTCGTTGTTTCATTCTTTAGATCTTGCATTTCGATATTTTTCAAGTCGTTATTTTAACATTTGTGTTTTTAAGTAAGATTTGGATTTCTGTGATAATTTTGTTATTATGTTCTTTTATTTTCCATTATTTTAAAAATATTTTAATCTTTTCTGACTATTTCATAAATATTCTTTCGTGAAATTTTTAACAAAATAAAATAAAAATGCATTTTAATTATATATAATGTATATTTAAATTTCTTATTTTTATATTATAAGGCTTTTGTTTCTTCACTGTTATAAGTATAAAATTAAATTGGCATCACAGAAACGAGAAATAATATAATTTTTTTTTTGAAGTGAGGAATCAAAAGCACTATTCAGTAAAATATTATAAATTAATAACTTCATTAATCTAAATAAAATTTTATTTATTTTTTGTTAATATTTTCAATTCTAATTAAGCATATATGTAGCCAGAAAGTTAACTGATATTAATTATATAGGTTTATTAAATTATTTTTATTTATATAACAAAATGAAATATTCATTATTATACATAATTTATTTTTATTTACAAAGTATTTTTTCAAGTGTGTACTAACTAAAGGTTGACATATCATTTTTATAGCAAAATATATTTACGTCATATAGAAACTCAATGGCACAATACATAATATGAATTAAGTGACAAACATGAAATAAGAAACAAAACGTATAATTAATCTCTTGTAAAGTTCTTTTCGAATTTTTTGCAGAATTTAAGGCACCTATAAATAGAATAATTAATACAAAAATTGTTTTTAATCTTCCGCAATAAACATATTTCCTTCTCAAAGACCAGGCGCAGTTTCGTCCATAGATGTCTTAATTTTTTTAAACTATGAAATCTCTATTTTTTCCTTTATGGATTTTCTCAAATTCTTTTCAATTTCTTTCGATCTTGTGCTTTCTATGACTTTAAAATTCTTTTTTATTTTTTTAAATTCCTCCAAATCAAATTTTTAAATCAAAAATTAGATTAAAAACTGAAGTATTTTTCTCCAAGGCTTATATTCTCCACTCAAATGTCCAATGGCGCTATTGTACTGCACTTCTCCAGATTAGTTTTTTTGTGATCTGGCTATAGCCTATGAAATACAATTAAGTATTACTGAAATAAACATTTATTTGCTATATCAATAACATTTTGTTTCATTTAATGAAAATTTGAAAGAGAATTAAAAATTTTTAATTTATATATTGTCAGTAAAATGATTAAATTTTTTGTAGAAATCTTTTATCTTTAAAAAACTTATAATCCATAATCAACTTAAATGGGAAAATTGTTTTTTTACTATATTTTTTACTATAATTACTTTTTCTTCTAAAAACAATTAATATTCCTTTTAAACAACTTTTTCCTTCTTTTTTTTTATCTTTGCCTCTAGGTCTCACCTGAGAATAGGAGAGTTAAGAGGTATGGAAGCAGGACATTCTGCATCAGAGAAATCTTGTTCTGGTGGTGTAGTGCTTCTTTCGCGAGAGGAATGCATGTAGGATGTGCCTGGAGTACGACGTACTTTTTTCATGCCTGGCGTGATTTCATGACTGCTCCGACCGCTACTTCTGCCCCTACCTATGCTTATGTCACTGCCTTCTTGGCAAATCGGTTCAGTGTCAATTTCCGTAAACCGTCTACTATTGGTAAAGGAGTTTTGCGTTTCCTGCTGTTGATTATCACTTTCTTGTGAATTGTTACGTCCCAATCGACGAGATTTTTCTGCGCTTTTAGCGATACAGGCAGCGGTATTACGACAAGGAGTTCGATTAGGAGTAACTGATTGACCCTATAATTAGAGAGAATACATACAAACGTACAAACATGCGTAATAATAAATATGCACATATAATTTTATGCAAATTCGCTCTTTTTTGGTTTTTTCTCATAGTTTTCATTATTAAAAATTTTTAACTAAGTTTTAAATTAGGCTTTACACTAAAATGTTTAACAAAAGTGTAAATAAGCAAATAACAAAAAGTAAATAAAAGGTAACAAATTTGTATACTCAATAAAAAACTAATACTAAATTCTTAACGTCCGTGATAAATTAAAGAAAACGTCTGTGACAAATCAAAAGAAGTGTAATTTATCTAAACGATATATCCTAAATATTATAACATCTAAGTTTCTAAGATAACATACACAAGGTGGGGTGTGCTCCCTGTGAAGACGTGCGTCATCGCCGATTTTCATCTCATTTTTTATCGAAGAATCGAGTTTCTCCAGAAAACAATTTTCTTTGCTTGCCTTGGAAATCCTATCGCAGTTTTCGCCGTTGACTTTCGAACTTGCTAATTTTTTACTGCGATTTTGGTTCTCAATTCGCACACTTGCCTCTCCAATTCGGCTACCTCCAGATCAGATTCGCACACCTTTGGGATCAGTGATGTCAAATGTTTTTCAGCAGCCTTCTGAATTCGCATAGCGGATTCTAATCCACCTAGCTTTGCTACGTCCAAACTATAAAGAATACATATCTAACTAACTGCTAATTGATATTTTTGATTGTTGTATATTTTAATGTTAAAGTAAAAATGACAAATTTTGAAATTTTTAATGCAACATTCTTATATCTATAAAGTAAATATTTTCTAGCGATAAAATATATTATGTATTTCATTAAACAGTAATAAGATTCTTTTGTAAAAATAAGCTTCAATTTTTTATAAAACATTCGAACGATTTTTCAAATAATAATGAATTTAGAAATAGAAAATCGTAAAATTTGCATAACATAAGTATAAAGTAAAAAAATTCGAGATTAAAATTATATATAATATTATTAAACATACAAGATAAACAATTTACAGTATATGTACATTCTATTTAGGAAAAAATATTAAAAAGAATGAATATTTGATAATATTAATTAATTACTAAACGTTGTAAAATTTAATGCTTTTCAAATTAATATATATATATATATAATAAATATATATTTACATACACTTGATTAATAGATCAACAGATTGAAATAATAAAAATGATTTCTTACATTTTAAGAGGAAGAAATTATTAAGTGCAATAATATAATAATTATTACATTGTGTGTCTGATAAATGTATACTCACTTCAATGATTCTATTAGTTTGGTAAAGCCATCAGGTCTGCGTGTAGATTTTCTAACAGGTGTCGGTTTATAGTCCGAACCATCGTGTCTGGATGCATCGTCTCCCAGATTGTTTATTCTCAAAGATATAGGTTCATATATTCTATAATAAATCAATAATAAAACAAATTTTAAGATAATAATATAAACTTTCATTGCTTGTCAAAGTCCAAATTATTTTGTTTTGTAATATATTAACATATTTATTAAAATTATCAATTTAATTATAAGAAGTTTCATAAATTCATCATGTAATCCTAATATAAATATGATTAAATATAACATTAATCACAAGAAAAAGAGAATCATGCAGAATTGTAATGTAATCAATATATTCTAAAACCAAATAATGATATATGTTAGATTAAATTTATATAAAAATAAAAATTCTCATAATTATGTTATAGATCTTTTTTAAAATATCTATTCGAATAGTGAATAAATATAATTAATTTTATGTCAGAAATACAGGATTTTAATAAAAAAAATTTAAATCACAAACAATTGATCTACAAATGAAAGAACCAAGATCCTGACAGAATACTTACCCACGTTGATTACGTCTGAGGAACACATGTCGAAATTTGTAAGTGCCAGATGTCTCAGAAGTAGAGGCATTGAGAAGACAGGTAAGAAAGAAATCCTCTTTACAGCCATTTACACCAGAGAAATGTGAGGCAAATTGTTTATGCAGCATTTTGTCGTTCATTGTAAGAGTCAGATTGGTAATGTTTCTACGAAAGCGAAACCAACCAATCACTTGTTTGCTTTTATCACACACAAAATCTTTCAATTTCTCCTTGTTGATACGATTATTGTGCAAAAGATCAGGCAAAGGACATGTTACAATGGCTTCCACATCTGAAATGTTTATATAATTCTTAATAGCAATAATAAATTATATAATAATAAAAGTAATAATAATTTATAATAAAAATAATAATAATGATAACAGTTATAATTAAGATATGAAAGAGTTTGTTAGATTTTACTATAAATTGTTCTACTCAAGTGATTATTAGACAAATCAGTTTTTTCTCCAACAATGCAGGTAGTAAAATAATTATTAATATTAATGTTACTGCTTTCTTAATAAATAACTTTTTTAACATATAATTGCTTGTTAAACTTACATAGTAGTGAATATTACACATAGTATTAAATATTAAATAAATATACAAACTCTTTACAAAGATGTTTTTCCATTTTAATATATGATACACTTCACGCATTATCAAAATTTATTATTAATTATTCAATCGAAGATCTTAGAATATGTCAATTATACAATTCCGCGCGTTTTTATTTCATGTGAAAAATTGTCTGATCATAAAAACTTTTTAATAATTTATTATTCTATTTACAATGCCAAATAATAATTTTAACTTTTCAAATCTCGTTTTATTGTAAAAAAGCTCGAATAAGTATATATTTTCATCGAAATCTGAGAATATTTTTAAACATTTATCCTTTTTAACTGCACTTTTTACGTGTAAATATAGGTTTAATTTGCACTTTCTACACTCGATCTCTCTCGTCTCTTCGTTGTTTACAAGTAGATGCAAAACGTCGAGGCAATTATACTCACTAATATGAATCTTAACGGTTTCCACTTGATTGTCGGAGTCGGTGTAGGTCTTGACGATAAATTCGAGAGCTTCTCCGAGAAGGAAGCCCATCTGCAAAATAACAAAACGTCATCTTCGTCGAGCGTAGAGGTTATACGGAAGTAGAAACGCGTTTAATTTTGTTCAGCGACAGAATTTTCATCAACAAACGATCACGTAAGATTTATAAGGAAGTTATTACGCGATTCGATTTACCTGATCGCCTTTGCTACGGACATTCTCGAAGAATAGCAGCGAAAGCGCCGCGCCCGAGATCGTAACGAGCAAATCGCTATCCGCCATGTTGACGACGTGTGACGAGTGTCCACTCTTCCTCTGACGTAGGCGCGCACATGCGTCGATTCAAAATACTACATATATGAGCGTTATATATGCAGTAGCGCGTTTAAAAACCTGAAAACATGTTTTATTGTTACATTAAGTTTAATTATACAAACGAAGATGTATTTTACATTTGTAACAAAATAAATATATTTATGTTTTCAATAAATATAAATATATGATATAATATACATATATAATTTAAAAATTATTTGAGATTTATTTTAGTATAAGAAATAATTTTTGTTTTATATATATATATATATATATATATTATTTTATTATAGAAAGAGAGAGAGAGGAGATACAAATAAACAGATAATAAATTCATCTTTCCACATGTAACATTTATAAATTTTCTATCAAATATTTATAAGATTTATTTTTATATTTCACATTTTAACTATACATTATATTGCTTTATTTTATGAGTAATTATTAGTTTTATTTTATGACATTAACAATATAAGTCATGTCTTGAACGAACATATGTATCTTCCACTGATCTCTATATATAGAGATCAGTGGTATCTTCTCATTTGAATTAATGAACCTTACCTGATCGTTCGGCCAACATCTGGTAACAGTTCAGCTTTGATGTCGAAAATTATTCGCTTTTATTCTGGCTGTTATCATTGTTGCTCTATGAACGATCTGGAATATTTATAGAATAATTCTTGGAAGAAAAATAATAGATTCCTTTGTGCTTGCTGGCAATGATCGGTTTCAAATATAAAGTAATATTATAATGTAGATTTGTATTATATGCGTATACTTATATGTTTAAATATATTATTATACTATATTAAATATATTATTAATTATTCTAAGTATATTATTAAATTATATTATTATAATATATTATATTCAGAACTCAAGTAGCAAACTGACGTTATAAACGTCAAAAATTGTCATTTGAATTAATCAAAATGATGTACGTACGCTTGCTACCTGGGAAATTGTTCCATTTCTTATTATAAAAAGAAATTTGTCAGAAGTGGGATTCGAACCCACGCCCACAGAAGTGGACTGCGACCTGAACGCAGCGCCTTAGACCGCTCGGCCATCCTGACCTGTCTGTCGATCTGATGATCAAGGCTGAGTCAGAAGACTCGAACGTTCAAAGTATAGAAAAGTTTTTTTAATATTAGAAGAATATAATAAATAAAAAGCTTCATATGAAATGATAAGCATATGGAATGTTTAGAAGCTGTGCAAGAAATTTCAAGGAAATACAATCAATAATTTATACTGCGAGTTAATTAAAAAATATGAAATAAAAATGATTGATGAAACTTTTAAGTAGATTCGAATTTAGATAAGATAAAGAGAGATAAACTCGTGAATTTTTTTTATGAATATTTGAAAGAAATAAAAGAAAATAATATTTCAATATAAAATAATATTCTAATGAAAAAATAATATTTTAAAATTAAGTAGAATGCTGAATAAATTTAAATTCTTTTCTATCTTATTGAATTATTAATAACGTAATAATAATCTTTAGTTTAATATCAAAACTATATACATATACATATTTTACTGTAAAAAATACAATTAAATATTAATATATAATATCTTTCCAATTTTCAAAAAGAGAGAATACATGTGCAAATACTAAACACTTATTTTAAATTCAGATAATTTAGTTTATACTTTGCAAATATATAAAGCAACAAATAAAGCATCAATTTTATAAATAATTTTTTAAATCCGTTTTCTCATTCACATAAAATCCGGATACTGGAATAAATTTCGATTTATTTTGAGTATATCTTATATTGAAAATGAACTTTCATCCCTCTAATAGATCTCTTGAATCTCATCATCTACGATCACATCCTTCAGTTTTAAAACGCTTTACGCATTCTTGAACTAGAGGACTTTTGCTCTTGTTGGATACTTAAAGTCCTGAAATTTATGAATCACGATAAATAATCTTTGGAATCGACCGGAATCGATATTAGAATGATTGCAAATTACTTCTTCTGACTTTATCTTTGGCTTCGTTTTCCTGTCTCGATAAGTAATCACGAAAAATTTGAAATTACTCGCTATGAGTTCGAATCTCTCTTGCGCAGTGTTGTGTTTAGATGATTTTAAAATTATCTAGATAAAAATGAGATGAAAATATGTAAATTTATTTTAGATAAGATAAAGATGATTTTGAATTTCAATATATCTAGATAAAAGATAAAATTATAGAAGAATTCATCTAAGGTAGCTTTCAGATATTATTTTTAAAATTGCTTATGTATAAACACAGATATAAAAAAATGTAAATTATATAAAAGAAATATAAAAACATTCATACTTTTATTTGTAAGTTTTTATCGCTTACTGTTTAAGTTCTATTACTTATTTTTATGTACTATATAACTTTAAAGCAAATTATTTGAATATTATTCTAGATAATTTAGTGAAGATAATACTTTTTTTATCTAAAATGTAAATATAGATAATGTATATTTTTATTATCTATATGTATACACAGTAAGAAAATGTGTGTCTTCTTGTTAAAAACAGTCCTCGTTAAAATTTTTGTGTTAAATATTTAACACATTCATGTGTTAATTTAACATATTACTGTTGTGTTAATTGAACTTAAATCTATTTTTAATTTTACATAATAAATATGTTCTGTATTATTAGTGACAACATTTATCTGTTAAAATTTACAGAAAAAATGTTGATTTTTTATTTTATAATATAAGTGGGGATAATAAAATCTCTAAAATTTACATATTTTTTTCATTAAAACTATATTAATTTTACACCAAATTTATTTTAAATTACTTAAAGTTTTGCATTTATTAAAATATTAACCCAATATATTTGTCTCACGAAAATTTCTGTGGACCATTCTGTGGACATGCGTAATATCTGTTAAATTTAAGAGAAATTGTTCAACTGCGTGGTTTTGCTTTCCTGTCTCGAGAATAGCGAGAAATTTGAACCTACTCGCTTTAAGTTCGACCCTCCCTTGCGAGATACTTAGTCCCATCTCTACTTCTGCTCTCGCCCAAAATACTCTGAGAAAACACGCGCTCAAAGATCATCTACATAATCACACTTGAAGAGAGACACGCGCACACACATTCAAGGATCAGGCTTTGGCTATATTTGCGGCCGTGAACACCGGCGCAAGTGATGTAAGCCCGCAGTGATCTCGAGAGAGTCGTGATTATCTGTCGCTAATCACGACCTCCATCCGTGATTATTTATCACATCTCGTCCTCATATTTTCATCGTTCCTGTTTTCTTTTCTCGCGAACAATGACCGAACAAGCCTGGGATTATGTCGGGGAGAAATGGGAGCACATTGACCAATCGGTGAGTCGGTGATCTCTCTCCCTTCCTTTCATAACATCCTTGACCCTCGTTGCGTAAGTGAATTTAATTTTTCTGCAAATTACTAATTCGCCCTATAACTCTTAACAGACACAACGAATCTCTTGAAACGAAACCGAATGATCCTCGATGCTCTATGAAATTAAAAGCAAAATTGTTCGCATGATATGTGTATTATATTTTAACACATGATAGAATTTACCATTTCAAAATTAATAATGGAACAGAATACGATAATAATAAATGCGATAATAAATAAATATATGATAATGATAAATGCGATTTCCGACCTGCGAAAAGAATTTCGAAAGAAAATCGCGAAATCGATCTCGCATTATTTAATCTGATTGTGAGAACATGTTTATAATCAAGAAGAATTAGATTACATTTATTTGTAAATTTCTGCATTCTGATATATTTTTATATAAAAATTTTTATTTTTATTATTCATAATATAGACTCTATTACAGCAGCTTCCTTTTGCATATATTATATCCAAACAATTATACACAAAACGAAGCAGAAGGATTAAGTCGTAAAATAAAATGAAAATGTTTAAAATTTTCTTTGAGGACTATCTGAGAAAAAATATTGTATCACTAAATAAACTATTTGTCAATCCTATGTCCTATTTTTAAATAAATGTACTTTATTGCTGTTGTAAAGATATGATAGTTTATAGGGCATATTAAAGATTTTATTGGACAATTTGTGTTTAATACGTGGTATGGTGCAAATCCGCGTTTTTTCTCTCACTAATTGAAAATGTCGTCCTGTTTGTTCTATCCTTAAATATGTTGTCTTTAGGATTCTATTGTTAAATCGCTCCTTATTTTCATAAATGCAAGAAAAGACATTCTTTAATCACTCAAATATTACAAATATTTTATATAACATATAAATAAATTTTCAAAAATATAAAATTTATTTTTGAAATAACAATAATGTGTTTTTTATTTTTAAGATATTTGAATTTCGAGCGAGAAAGTTACATGCTAGGACATGACAGATCTACTTATCAGACATGCTCAGATACAGAATAATCCTGAGGTAAAATGGCGGGATATTGAAATTTACTGTCTAAATGCGTTTTCCAAACGTTATAAATTTTAGTTATAAAATGACGAAAAAAGACTTCGATTTTTTGGGAAAATCACAGAAATTTTCGCATAGAAATATAATTAGAAAAGCAACATGCTCTTCCTATTTTATTTTTTTGTACTTTAAATTTTCTTCTTTAAATTAATTCTTTAAAGAAAGTGACGTCTTCTCAATTATTATATATGACATATCATACACTATTTTCTTTTTCACATACGATCTGCAGTACCATAATTTTTGGCGATGCGGTTGACTTCGGCCAGTGTCATATTGATTTTCAGTTCTCGTATATACGTATCGAAAGGAAAACACTTTCAGATGGCGCTAAAAACGTGCTGGCCAAAATTATTTCGCAAGAATTGTTCAGGGTCAGATGACTCCTGATATCACTCTCGGTGAGTGGACGGTGCAATCATTCGTGCACGAATTAATCGCGGATTTAATTTTGCTAGGAAAGTATAAGACAGTGGAAAAAGTCAAGGTCAAGCTATCAAAGTGAATTAATGAAATGAAAACGAAGAATAAGTCGTTATTCAGTAAGCTGTGCAAGTGTTACAGCAAGAAAGATATACCGCGGAGATGTGAGAACACTGACACTGACAATGAGAACGAGGCGGATTTCGTCGAGAATTTGGTGCATCCAAATCCGACGACCGAGGTAATATCTATCTTTGTATAAGTTAAGAAAAAAACGAAACAACTTTTGTTTACGTCGTAGAATTATGGATTCCTTCTTGCACAAATTTCACCTTCATTTGCACATGTGGATCAAGTTAACGTAAAAAGATACGTGTATAGGGTATATTTTAATTTTTTAAATTAAAATTAATTCTAAAATCAATCATGTTATGCGAAAATATTATTGTTAACGATTTTTAAATGCCAAAGAATGAAAAACTATAAAATATACTGTAATAATTATATCTCAAATTATTATACATAAAATTGTAAATTTTTTTATGTTTGTGTATCATTTAAAAATGTTTTTTTTCTTTGCTAAATCACGGCATTAGTTTCTTAGAAATTAAACATTTATTTGCAAAGTTATGATTTTAAATTATAATGATAAATTTTTATTTTTATTATCATATACGTATATAGATACCAAATTACGATATCTATTTAATACTGTTGATATCTGAAGTATATTGATATCATAAAAGTAAAAAAATGAATAGATTTTACAGATCCAATTATTAAAATAAATAACGAAAAAGTAGTATGCCAACGCGAAAAATGGATTGCAAAATTAATGAGAAAGTTTTATATGATTATCTTGATCTAATAATGTTATATATAGAATTCGAGCAAAAATACACATATGAGCTGTCATTATGTATATTATAAAAATCCGAGAGAAAATATTTTATATAAAATTGATTTGACCTATATACATGTATAATAAAATTTAGATTTATTAATTCAAAGAAAATATTAATCTACACGTATGTAAAATTCTCTTAAAGAATTTATTTTTCTCCCGACTGCTGCCAACCGTAGGTTGGCGAAAAGAGAGGAAGTATGCGTTTCATCGAGCCCGGATCGGTCGTGACCTTAATTCTCGATAACTACTGCATAGTTTTATATCAACTTTGGAACATAAGTTTCTTATTAATCAAGGAAGGTTTAAAGCGTATTATTATCGTTATTTATTCTATTAATAAAAAGTGAAAAATGAGTATTATTTCGTCAATACGGTCTCTCATTGGCTGCTGTGTGAACCTAAGAGGAAAAATGATTCACCAATGAGATTCGTTGTAGTATCCGGATAGGGAATGTTGGTGACATTGGTATATACATCTCGAAGTAATAATGACGGGACTGATAGGAAAGGTTAGCTGTCACCTGTTGCGTGTTATTGTCAACAACAATATTAAGTGAAGTGTATTATTATGGATATATCTCAAGAAGATATAAATAAAGGAGTAAGTTTCTTCTTTTATATTTATTGTTTTTTTCTTTATTTAGAATATTGTTATTATTATTTATTTATTGTTTCTTTATTTATATGTAGGAAGAAGATACTCGCTTGAAGATATCTGAAGAAGAAAACATTATTAATAATAGAAAACAAGTAAATCTTGTTATTAATAATTAATAAAAATATATAATATAATTAATAATATAATTAATCTGTTGTAGTCATAACATGGCTATATGAATTTATATTTGTCTGCGTAGCCACTTATTTGCTATTAAATTTGCTACGTAGCCACATTGCTATAAATATCCACATATATAATTGTATAAATGTATATAGTTATTTTTTCTCTTATTTGTATATTATATAATAATTATATAATTAATTAAAAATATGTATACAAATATATTTATAGTTATACAAAGATATTAGCGCACCAATAATTATGGCAATGCAGACAAATATATTAACTTACATAGCCAATTATCTACTACAAAAGATTATTCACATATGTAATAATAATTAAGGCTATACAAATATATAAACTTACTTGTGATTACATAATGTATAAACTTATATAGCCATAAGAAAGTTAATATATTTGTCAAAGCCATAATTATAACTGCGTACAAGTTTACGTATTTGATATAAGATATTGTTGTCATCTGTCTTTGTCATCTGTCTCTCTCTATCTATCAATCTATCTATCTAGCTATTTTTTTTTATTTATCTCTCTATTTATATTATATTATATTAATTAAAAAAATTGTAGCAGAAAAATATTTGGAAAGAATATAGAACATTGCAGTCACATGGTGAGTGTATGTGTGTCTTTATTATTATTATTATTATATTATATACATTGTAATATATATATTACATAATAAAAACTTTTACATGTGTAGGATGAAGAAGCAGAGAGACAAAAGAATGAAGAAACAGCATAAGAACAGCAATAAATTAGAAAATAAATAAAAAAAAAAAAAAAAAAATTAGAAAATAAAAAATAAATAAAAAAATTAGCAGAAAAATATTAAAAATATAGAACATTGCAGTCACATAAAATTATTATTATTAATTATATACATTGTAATATATATATTACATAATAAAAACTTTTACATGTGTAGGATGAAGAAGCAGAGAGACAAAAAATGAAGAAACAGCATAAGAACAGCAATAAATTAGAAAATAAATAAAAAAATTAGAAAATAAAAAATAAAAATAAAAAACAATTAAAAAAAAATAAAAAATAAAAAACAATTAGAAAATAAATAAAAAAAAATTAGAAAATAAAAAATAAATTAGAAAATAAAAAAATTAGAAAATAATAATACAATTTTTTACAAAAAAAAAACTCCCGACTGCTGCCAACTAAGTTTTAATGTTTAAATTAAAAATAATGTTTAAATTAGAAAATAATAAAAAAAAATAATAAAAAAATTAGAAAATAAAAAAAAAAAAACAATTAGAAATAAATAAAAAATAAAAAACAAAACAAAAATTAAAAATAATAAAAGAACAAAAAAATTATAAGTATAAAAAATAAGCTTGTAAAAGTTGGAAATAATCACACATAAATAAAGTCTGTTGTTTATTATATAATTTTTCTTATTTAAATTTATTGTTATCATACATATTTAGCGCTATATAATTTACAAAAATTTCAGATTTTTGAATTCAAAAAATTTTTTAATTATAATTATTATTATTAATTCTACAATTTACAAGAGCAGTCGGGAGACGCCGCGCTAAATTTGAGACATATACGCACGCGCACGTTTTATGTAATAAATAGACACAAACACAAATATCGATACTCAACGGACGTTACAGTTTTTAGACGCGCGGCGTCTCCCGACTGCTCTTGTAAATTGTAGAATTAATAATAATAATTATAATTAAAAAAATTTTTTGAATTCAAAAATCTGAAATTTTTGTAAATTATATAGCGCTAAATATGTATGATAACAATAAATTTAAATAAGAAAAATTATATAATAAACAACAGACTTTATTTATGTGTGATTATTTCCAACTTTTACAAGCTTATTTTTTATACTTATAATTTTTTTGTTCTTTTATTATTTTTAATTTTTGTTTTGTTTTTTATTTTTTATTTATTTCTAATTGTTTTTTATTTTTTATTTTCTAATTTTTTTATTATTTTTTTTTATTTATTTTCTAATTTAAACATTATTTTTTAATTTAAACATTAAAACTTAGTTGGCAGCAGTCGGGAGTTTTTTTTTTGTAAAAAATTGTATTATTATTTTCTAATTTTTTTATTTTCTAATTTATTTTTTATTTTCTAATTTTTTTTATTATTTATTTTCTAATTGTTTTTTATTTTTTTTTTTTTTTTAATTGTTTTTTATTTTTTATTTTTATTTTCTAATTTTTTTATTTATTTTCTAATTTATTGCTGTTCTTATGCTGTTTCTTCATTCTTTTGTCTCTCTGCTTCTTCATCCTACACATGTAAAAGTTTTTATTATGTAATATATATATTACAATGTATATAATATAATAATAATAATAATAAAGACACACATACACTCACCATGTGACTGCAATGTTCTATATTCTTTCCAAATATTTTTCTGCTACAATTTTTTTATTTATTTTTTATTTTCTAATTTTTTATTTTTTTTTTTTTTATTTATTTTCTAATTTTAAAGAGATCATATCTCTAGCTATTCTCCCTTTCTTACAATCAGTAAGATTATTAATATAAAAATTAACTAAAATAGAAAAAATAAACAAAATATGAATTATCTGTATGTATCTTAAATGTGTGTATGTGTGTAAGATCAATTTTAATTTTGAGATCTATAATAAAGATCTTTACCGATCTTTATCTAATAATTTTTGGCTGAAGATCTAATAAATATCGAAACTAGTTCCGCTACGGAGAGCAAATTTTATGATTACTGAAAATAGTATACTACGTTTTATTATGCATCACACGAGCACAGCAATGTTTGAAAATTCATAGTGATCTGAATATTATCATTTATTGTTAAATCTTATTTATATCTTGCTTTTTCTTTCACTTTTATTATCGATTTTTAACAATAGCTGGTTTATTTTGAAAATAACCGTACGCTTTTAACATACTTCATTACAATAATTACTTATGTCATCTTGTAACGTTTCATTTATAACATTTCTTAAGAATCATATTCCTTAAAGAAAGTATACTTGCTTCTTTTAAATATGGAACATGGATATGTACCTGGAGCAAATTTGGTATATAATCATCAATAATTATATATAATTATACGATACATCAATGACATCTTACAATAAAATAAAGGAGAAATAGTGTATAATTCTAAATATATGATATATGTTGCACAAAATAATTGGAAATAAAAATATCATTGAAAATAATAATTACATAATTGAAAATCATTGAGAAAAAATAATTAAAACTTTTTTTATCAGAAATGTATTATTTATATGTATGTAAGATTATTCGTATATGTCAGCTAGCTAGCACAATGATTCCAGCCAGTTACGGTACTCATCCGAAGGCCTTGTTGCAAGAGCAATGAAGCGGAAATGTGCACCCCGGAAGTGTCTAAACAGGCAATCTATTCTTTTTAATATTTAGCTTAGATTAAACGGATTAGATTAAGCAGAAAAATTAATGACAGAAAATATTTAATTGGGTGAGAAGAAAAGTTGGATGGTAATGAAAGTTTTAGATGATTAGACAAAACTAGTAATAT